TAAAATTTACAAATGTAAGGTTTTTTTTTATTTTGGACAATTTCAGCTTTCACAAGAATCCAGGTTATGATATGTGGTAAATGATAGTTTTATTTCAGAGTGTTTGTATTGATGTGCAATGTTTTATTTTGTGAATCAAAATTAATTATTTTTAAGGATGTTATGGGATCTTATAAACAAAACGAGGTGTTTCAGCAAAATTACATTTGGTGTATTTTTGTGTCCATGATGGGAAAAGAAAATTGCATTTATTTTGCTGTGTCCGGATGATTCTGAATGTAGAAAATATTGAGCACTGCGTACTGGTTTGAGCTTTTTTTCTTGATTTAGTTTTAATTGTTTTTTTCCTGCTGATCTTGCACTTTTTGTCATAAAAAGTAACAAAGAGAAGATTTAATAATCATTACAGTGTTCAAACTGAATAAAGTCTTAATGTAAATATACACGGCTCTTTTTTTGTCTTTGTAAAATTATAATACAGCTGGATTTAGTCCAGTTAATAAAAATTATATATAACACACACACACACACACGTATGTATGTATGTATGTATGTATGTATGTATGTATGTATGTATATATATATATATATATATATATATATATATATATATATACACGCACACACACACACACACACACACACACACACACACACACACATACATATATATATATATATATATATATATATATATATATATATATTTTAGGAGCCATTTTTTGTGTTGTAGTGATTTATGTTGTCCACTAGGTGTCACTAACTGAAAACAATACATGAGGTGCCAGTGTAAGCGAGGAAGAGCGTCAGGTATGGGAAAGCGGTTTTTGACCGTGCTACAGAGTAACTTGTTTGCTAGCCAGAAAACAGCAGTGTTTAGATATGTGCTGTGTATACATGGAGTGAATGTTATATTGACATGATAAAGAAGAAAGGAGAAGCAAAGATTGAGGCTTTGTTTAATTCACCTGCACAAATAAAGACATTCTGCTTAAAAACAACTTTAGCATGCATGGACTCTGATTGCACGCGTGAAATACGTGCTCACCCCCATTTCTGGCGATAACAGCAATGGAAGGCTGTTATATGTTATATATATATATATATATATATATATATATATATATATATATATATATATATATATATATATATACATATACATACACACACACGCACACACAGTTGAAGGCAGAATTGTTAGCCCCCTTTGAAATTTCTTTTTGAAATATTTTCCAAATGATGTTTAACATACATGAAATTTTCACAGTATGTCTGATAATATTTTTTCTTCTACAGAAAGGCTGATTTGTTTTATTTCGGATAGAATAAAGCTTTTAATTTTTTAAAACCATGTTAAGGTCAAAATTATTAGCCCCTTTAAGCTATTATTTTTCTGATAGTCTACACAACAAACCATCGTTATACAATAACTTGCCTAATTAACCTTGTTAAGCTTTTAAGTGTCTTGAAAAATATCTAGTTAAATACTATTTACTGTCATCACGGCAAAGATAAAATAAATCAATTGATTAGAAATGAGTTATTAAAACTATTATGTTTAGAAATGTGTTGAACAAATCTCCGTTAAACAGAAATTGGGGAAAAAATAAACGGGTGCTAATAATTCTGACTTCAATTGTATATATATACACACACACACACAGTATATTTAATTTAACTGTTTACTAACGTTTTCACGTTACGACGTTGGTGACACGACAGGGAGGGCTGGAAGTGATTTTTCTACATAGTAATCGCTGTCAGAACATCAAAATGTTTATGTTTTATGTTGTTTATAATTGTTTAAATAAGAAATGCAGAACAGCTTTCTTTATAACTCCAATGGTTTCACCTCATAGATGAAAAGTTAAAGAAACTGGCTTAAAAACGACAGAAAAGGAGGCATGTACATATTTTTGAAAACAATGGGAATGAGCAATATGTGTGTAGGGGATCAACTCTTCAGCAATTCTAAAGAGATTGACGTCATTCTTAGCCAGTGACGTCGCGTTCTAAACATTCCATCTGCATTCTTATAAAGCTGAACAGTTCTCTCTCAGCTTTGTCAGTTTTCTCCCTGCTGCGGCTGTTTTTACTTGATCAAGGTGAGCTCAATATTCCAAACATTCCAAAGTTCCAAATTCACGAAATCCGTTTCGCGAAGCTTCACTCGGGCCCGTTTGTCTTCCTCGCGTTGTCTTCCTCGCGTAATTATTAGTATAATTTTGTTTAAAAATATACCTTCGTAAGAAGCTGTTGAGATATTGCATCAAATACAATAGCATACTCATTTGGAGTAACTAAAAAACCAAATGTATCTAAATATTCACTGTAAGTCAATAAATTACCATTTAAATTTAAAAGATAACTAATACTATATCATACCAATTATGGAAGATGAGAGATATTCCAAATAATAGACTTGTTAGGAGAAAAGTGTGCTTAAATACCAGCATCCATGCCAATAAAGATTGTTATTGAAATCTAGCTACTTTACCATGTCATTTTATAAGAAACTTTTTATTTGGTTCAAATCAAGATATAAAAAACACTTTACTGCCATCCAGTGGAATAAAATAAAATCTTCAGGAAAAAAAAAACGTGGACTAACCAAATCATAAATAAAATAAAAACTTAAAATGCAATCAACAAAAATATTCAATATTCTATATGTATCGTCAAATTAGGAGGGTTTTCTTGAAAATGAAACCATAATTATCAATCTACTCCAATGAACGTGACCAGGGCACTCTTCTGAACTCCTCTGTGTACACGGCAGGTGTTAAACGATAATTATTTATATTATTCATTACATTTCCCATTGATTGTATTTTATTAACGTCTACCCCTACCCCAATCATAAACCCAACTGTCACAGTAATGTAAAAACAGTATTGCATCTAGTATTATTTATGTAATATATTACATTTCCCAATAAATTGTATTTAATTAACGCCTTCCCCCACACCAATCCAAACGTCACAGTACTGTGAAAATATGAATTATTGTTATACAGTGTCATAAAAATGATGCTATAATGCAGCTGTATCTAGACTTTACCCTAGAATATTTGACGTTTGGAAGATGATCAGAAAGACGACGAGTAGATGATGATGGAATTTAGAGAGAGAGAGAGAGAGAGAGAGAGAGAGAGAGAGAGAGATTACAACAAAGTTATACGTGTAATAAATTAATATAACCTTATCTGAAAAATGATACTGGTGTGATTGAAAAGGGAGAGGTCTCCACCAGATCTCCACACTTACGTGCCACTTTAAAAGAGTTTCTTCGACTGCTTGGAGGGCTTTGAAGGCAGCAGGGGTCACTTTTCTTTAAACGAATAACAGATAATTAATCTAAAATATATACGTGACGCAATTGTTTTAGCAGCCCGTGGACACAACAGCAGAACTGACATCATAACGCGGTATTACAGATTAATGAGATCACAGGTGTGATTTATTTTCAACCGCTTTCGAAAGCGTCTCAGCCAATCAGCATCAAGAAATGGACGCCTAACCCTCTCATAAAATACAAGTATATTTTTCTTGTTGCTAAATCGAAGTTAAAGTTTATCGAGTATGTTTATGGCAAGCCGTGTTGACCGGTTTGACATTTAATTAATAACCCGTTCTAACTGTTTTAATTTTGTTAGTATTCTTTTTAGATATCTTAGTACTTATTAATTAGATACCAGTGCCTATTCTTTAGATACCGTTAGACACTAGTGCTTATTAAAAATAAACTAGTGCTTACTCATTAGACACTAGTTCTTTTTATTAGATAATAGTACTTGTTTTAATAGTGACTAGTAACCAGGGCTTGGAGCGAAGCAGTGGCGCAGTAGGTGGTGCTGTTGGCTCACAACAAGAAGGTCGCTGGGTCTAGTTCGAGCCTCGGCTCAGTTGGCGTTCCTGTGTGGAGTTTGCATGTTCTCCCTGGTTTGCTTGGGTTTCCTCCGGGTGTTCCGGTTTCCCCCACAGTCAAAAGACATGCGGTACAGGTGAATTGGGTAGGATAAACTGTCCTGAACCAATTAATTAGGACCTGAACACCACGTGGTATTTACAGGCAGGTGTGTTTGATGTGGGTTGCAACTGAAATCTGCAGGAATTGCTCTTCAGGAACAGGGTTGGCCACCCCTGCACTAGTATCTAAAGAATACAGCACTAGTATCTAATGCAAGGATTTCAAACTCAGTTCCTGGAAGGCCGCAGTCTTGCACAGTGTAGTTCCAACCCTTCTCCAACACACTTAAGCTGCGGTCACACTGGGCTTTTTCTCCCATAGACTACCATTCATACGCCTGTGAATGCGTCAGACCGTAAACACGCGAGAGATTTGACATGCATCACGTTTCGCAGGTTGCTGCGGTGCAAAGTTCAAGCTTGGTGAACTCTGACCTGCGAAATCACATTATTGGACAGCGTGAGACCAATCGAAAATCAAAACATGACATCTCTGGGCAGAAATTTAATAGTGCAATCGCTCGCTTTTTAAAATGTCTAATAAACTTGTTTAGTCCCGCCCCTTTTTGGAGCACCGCACAACAGAATATCGCATGCTCAAACTCTAATGTGACCGCAGCTGTACCTGTAGGTTTCAAACAAGCCTGAAGGAATCAATTAGTTTGATCAGGTCTGTTTAATTAGGGTTGGAACTAAACTGTGCAGGGCTGCGACCCTCCAGGAATTGAGTTTGACATTCCTGATGTAATGAATAAGTACTAGTACTTAATGAGCACTATACTACTTTAAAATAAATACAAGTAACACGAAAATAGATACTAGTACAGACTATAGAATAGGTGGGCTTGCCATGTTTGATAAATTACACCGTGACTCAATGAAAATATTAATTCTACACTTAAAAAAAACAAAAAACAACAACAAATAAATTATTTTAATAAATAAAAATCAACTTCACCAAACATGTATCGAGTAAAAATTATGCATAGTTTATTTTATTAATAAATATAATTAACTTGATGGAATGAATACATTCAATTATATTTTTATTACCATCAAAAATCAAGATATATTCTCAGAAACAAGACCAAGATACTGTTTTCAGTCAATACCACAGAGTAACAAATAAGGTCCATTAAGAGAAGCTCCACTGTTTTGCATTTAACAATTTAAGAGAAACAGGCTAGATTGTAAATGGAAAGAAATGACGCAAGGCAACATTCATGAACAGAAATAAAACACAGAGCATTTGATATGTGGTTCTTCAGTAGATACCTTGTAGAAACGAATTAGAAGGAAATAATACTTCATCCACGTACATAACTGCATTTATTGCTTGTTTAGTTGGTGTAGTGTGAGTGCACGTTGATTTAAAATACTCAAAGATATTAAAGGGTTAGTTCACACAATTAGTTATTCAGTAGAGCATTCACAAGAAGAGTTTTAGCTGAAACTGTGGTCCTTAGGGATTCATAAAATACAAGTCAATGGTCATCGGCACTTATAGAGTCAAAAAGACACATACAGGAATAACACAGTAAATACAATATTTACAAAACTGCAACATTATAACTTTCAACATCACCTTTATTTAAAAATAGTCATGTGATCAGGAGCTTATTTACTGATTTATTGACTTTCATTTTATGAACAATTGAGGAGCACAGCTCAACTAAAAATCTGCTTTTAGAAAAGAAAACCATCGCCCATATCATTGACAGCCAGTGGATGAGTAAATGAACAGCATATGTACATGTTTGTGTGAACTATCCCTTTAATACAGTGTTTTTCTTTTAAACAAACACATAATAAACTAGTCGATCAGTATCTGGGCAGCTCCTTACCACTTTATACTCAGTCCATTGGCGGTTTTTTCAACAGCGTGATACTGTGTGTGCAATAGCTGTCGGGCTTTCTCCTCTCCCACGCTCTCTAACCAGCTCTGATAGAGTTCAGCCACTTGTGAGTCGTCCTCTGGCACTGAGGGATGTTCACTGCGGTAAACCTCCTCCACCTGTTGAAGTAACTCTTTGTTGGACTGATCTGCAGAAGGCTTGAGCTGCCCGCCGCCATTCAGACATCCTGATAAAACAAACAAAACGCCACTTAACATTCATGCATTATGCAAATTTACAACGGACAGTCTCTTATGATCATGCAAATTCAACATGTTTTACATGCTCTCAGGATGGAAAAGATTCAGTTGGCAATGACACAAAAGCCAAACTATATTATTTTATATTATATACTGATGAGGTTATTTTTAAATCCTCGTATGACATATCCCTTATGTACTGTTGGCAATGTTTTCATCCATTCTGGTGTGATCAACCTTAGTCCAAATCAAACCTACTAAATTGTTAAGAAAATTTACAGGATTTTAACTATTTAATTGCCAAATTCATAAATGATGTCATTGATTTGGTAAAATAAACACAAAATAACGTATTTTCAATATAAAAAGTAATTGTGGACTGGATTTGTTTTACCTGTATCAACCACGTGCGTAGAGTAATGATATTTGCCCTGCGTGCTTTTTAAAGAAACTTCATTGGTGCATTAATCTTGTCAATACTACTGGTCAAAAAGGTCATGATTTGCACTGATCAAATAATTGCATTGTACTGTTTTTATTTTTACATTCTTCGGGTGATACAAAAACACAATCATTTTGGCACAATGCCTTCCTCAGTGTCTGACACAATCCTCTCACTCCACCCTTTTATCCCATGATCAAATTCATTGTGTATTAATAGGGTATTTGCCGAACCATGCTAATAGGACTTTTAATTTGCCAGGGTTAAGCGCTTCCGGTGAACTGTATGCCAATGCAAAAACCAGCGCATTTAAGGCCTTTTTTCTTTAAAAATCAGCGATCTCCACTAGCTGAGTGATATCCGATATAAAGTGGGTCTCAGATTGTACAAGAAGCACTGCAATAAATTATTTTCCCCCGCCATGTCTTTATAATATGAGCCTTTATTTTACCCCAGTAAATTCAATGGAGCTTCTGAGCTAGCCTGCTGATTCTGACGGGCTTGTGCGAGCAGACGGCTTTGTGTCTCATTTTACGCTTGAACAACTAAATGAATGCCAAAGTTTATTTAACTAAATGTATTTTAATGACATCAGAACATCAATGCTGTAAAGGGAACCGTATAAAATGGAAAGTTCACAATAACAGGTCACTGGACGTTTATCAGTATGGGAAAAACACTAGCTCGGTATTTACCCTATTAGACGGCCACTGGATGAATAAAAAAACAATATAATTTTCATTTCATTAATTCACGATTAACCACAAAAGGACTATTATTACTATTCACAGAAAAATAGCATATCTATTATCATCATTTGTTTTTGTCTACATCAATATAATGAAAACCCGACAGTCCAAAACATAAAAAAATACATTTCACAGCCACTTGATGATTAAAGACAATTTCACCTTTACCTCAACACACATAACTAACCACACAAGAAATATTTACCCTCACCTTCAAAAACATCATTTCACAGGAGAATAGCATATTAACACACTGCTCTAGTTTCAAATTAAAGTTGCATTACACAATAAAAAAAACCACAAAAAGAAGTTTTGAGATTTCCTACCTGAAGGACACGCCATTACTTCGACAAAGTGGTACGGTGATTTTCCTCGCTTCAGCTTCTGCACCAGGTTCTGAATGTTCCTAAAGCCGTAGACAGCAGCGAACTTCAGCAGAACTTGACCATCCTTCTCTAGAGTCACTTCCTGGAAGTCCTTATTTCTATGTGAATATATAAAAAAGAGAGACACAAAGATCTCTTACACAAAAGTGCTGAGCAGCTTCCAAGATACTTGTCCAATAAACCATAAAAAAGCACTATGCAAATTCAGGAGGTTTTGTTAAACAAATTAAAATGTATGTGTCTGTAAATAAATAGTTTTATAGTTTTTTATTTTTGGAGTGAAATTTTCAACTTCTCCTCTGACCTCGCCCCTGATCCAGCAATCGCTGTTTCTGGTTGGTCTGACTCACTTCGTGGGTTTAGTCATCAAATTAAAAAAGCTGTCCAATATGGTGATAGCTAAAAAATATTCTTTGTTTGTGGAAAAGGGCATCGAAACCACTTTTAATTCATGGCTTTCAGAATTCTCTAGCACTTTACATTTAGAGTGACTTAGACGCAATCTATCTGATAACATTGCTGGCTTTGAAGCCACGTCGAAACCCTTTATTATTTATTTGTCAAATGCCAAGGATAACAGTTTAAAGGTACATATCCGTGTCATTGTCTGCAAGATTGCCATATTGCCTGTGACCACTGGCCTAGATATACAATTTTAACATTGTTGACACATTTATAATACTGGAGGAACAGACGTAATAATGGTTTTAAAATCTTTTTTTCTGTCTTTTTTTTTGTTTTGTTTTTTGTTTGCTTTTTATTTTTTATTTTTTTGCTTTATGTGTTGCTTTAAAAAATATAGAATATATATATATATATATATATATATATATATATATATATATATAGAATAAAAAAAAGTTTAATGATTTATTTTTAATGTGATATTTATGGAAATTTTAAATCTTAAATGGTAAAACATTCGTTCTGTCAAATGCTAAACCAAATGCTTTAATGTGTAAGAAATAATTGTCATATTTATTTACATTTGGTTATTTTTTTTTATTTATTTGGTTATTTTTTTAATGCCATATCAGTACTAATGTTGATGGGAATATTTTAAATCAAAAAGGGTAATAAAAAAAAGAACAAAAAAAGATATTCAAGGCAGCATGGGGGCGCAGTGGGTAGCACAATCGCACAGGGTGCTGGTTCGAGCCCCGGCTAGGTCAGTTGGTGTTTCTGTGGAGTTTGCATGTTCTCCCCGAGTTTGTGTGGGTTTGCCTCTAGGTGCTCTGGTTTCCCCCACAAGTAAAAAACATGTGTGGTACAGGTGAATTGAATAAGCTAAAACGTGTATGTGTGTATGGATGCGTGTATGGACGTTTTCCAGTGATGTGTTGCAGCTGGAAGGGCATCCGCTGTGTAAAACAGATGCTGGATAAAGTGGTGGTTTATTCTGCTGGGGCGAACCCAGATTAATAAAGGGACTAAGCCCAAAAAAAATGAATGAATGAATGAAAAAGCTATACAAGTGATAAGCAATGCATTTACTGCAGGTATTCCTTCTGTCACATGCTTTAATGAGTATTGATTAACTGCCATATATATTATATTTTGCTCATATATTTCTTGCATTAGAAATACATAAGCATGAAGCATATTTATAATACATACTTCATAGTCTTGTAAGTGAGCTCATCAACGTCGACACCAAACAGTTGTTTGGCAGCATGTTTGTAGATGTGATGAAGATACCCGCCAGATCCGCTTCCTGCGTGGCCCAGCAGCTCCTCACCACACACATTACTAAACCTAAAACACACATTCGCATCACAAAACTCACCAGACGACTCCATTTCATAATGTATAGCTCAATTAGACTGTGAAGAGATGCAGAACGCACATAGTGTCTAAAGGTGCCGGCTGAACATCCCTCAAGGACACCTTCTCCTCTTCCAGCATCTTCAAAACTTCCCCTGTCAATCAGAAAAAATCCAGAGACATTCTAATAGTCATAATGGTTGACTTTAGTTTGTCTTTTTGAGGCATGGTTCACACCAGAATAAACATTTGCTGCTCCATGCTCACAGATAATCAAATATGTAGGAGATTTGTTTTTTATCAGTAAAACATTAAAGAAGATTTTTGGCGATTATTGCTGACCATGAAATGAATTAATGCCAGATCCACACAGAATCTGCTCCCACAGGCATACATAAAACAGAGAGTTCTTATTTATTTACTTATGCAAATGTGAGCTAAATGTGATTTTAAATGTAGATTCTATCTGGCCCTGGTCAATAGTAACCATCACTATATTAATCTGAAAGACATACAAAGGCAAAACAAAAAATATACCCATGGTTCTTAATGAAACATTTAAGTATTCAGACAAAACAATAACTCTGTCCAAATATTTGAACGTTATATTTAGCATTATAACCTGTAATTCACAGCCTTGACAAATGGTCCTGAGTGGCGTCTGATTTCTGCACTAGCCATCAGTTACAACCGGTTTATTTTAGATTACTGGATTAACCAGTTCTCTCTGTCAGCAAAGATCTGCAAGTTACTGTATTTAATCTGTATTTAAACAGACAAACCACAACCCTGTAATGATTACAAGTAAAGGTGCGGTCATACTATTGATCCCTATTGCCTTCTATTCATATACATGTGAATGTACTAGACTGTAAATAAAAGCTTGCATGTAATGATTGTGTTTCACTGCAGAAATTGAATGTCGGTAGTCACTAATTTCATTTTAGAAATAGAGAAGGACCGCAGATTACAGAACAAATAAAAAAGCCCCGACATTTTCAATGTCTTTAGAGGGACTAAATTAGCAGCTGATATTGGGGGGTGAACTGTCGCTTTAACGTGATTAGATTCACTCACCTGAAGTGATGACACAGTCCACCTCTCTGGTCTCGTGCTCACTGAGATAGAAGTCTGGTCTGGAAGCCTCTAGTTTTTTGTCATAGCAGGGCATCACAGTTACGTGGTAAATCATCTGTGGTGAAACACCCTATTATAACAAAAGATGGAGAATAAAGGTCTCATACCTCATCTGACATAGCAAAGCTTCAATATATCCTACTTTGAAATGAATATCGACATCAGAAATGTCATTTAAATATAAAGAAGTAAAAAAAAAAATAGTTATTTAGTTAAGTGTATATATACACAGTTATCAGTTAGATAACAGAGATAAAAATATTATCCCTCCTGTGAAATGTTTGTTCTTTTTCAAATATTTCCTACATTTACTAAAAACATATTTTTTAAACATAATGGTTTTAATAACTATTTTGTAATAACTAATTTATTTTGTCTTTTCTATTTAAAGGCAAAACTAGTTTACTTATTTTAACTAGACAAGTTAATTAGGCATGTCAATGGACAACAGTGGTTTGTTCTGTAGCCAATTGAGAAATTAAATATATTAATATTGACCTTAGCATATACTTATTAGATTTTTTATTCATGTTACAGGAGGGCGAACAAGTTTGTCTTCAACTGTATGTCTATAGAAACATGTATGTATGAGTGTGTGTATGCATATGAAGTGGAAGTCAGAATTATTATTATTATATTATCAGAATTTTATGTTTTAGAATAGAATATATAATATTCTCTATAATATTTGTACAGGAAACACAAGCCCTATATGTGCTGTTTACATATATTTGAATTATTTAGAAAGTGAGTGCATGTTTTTACTAAAACTGATATTGATTTTTTTTATGCGTGTGCGAGTAAAACAATACAATTTGCGCAAAAAAATGATGGGGTTTTTCTATAAAGAAGTTTTTTACCACACCGTTTAGAGCATTATTCTGGGCGTTTTACATTATAATTAACGTGGTTCAAGCGATGGATCTGCGAGAGAAACTACGGGTTTTGGGAAACACTAGTCACTACATCGTTCTTTTCCCAAACAATGCATAGTACTATGTTAGTTAAGCTGCGAGTTACGTCGTTGTTTGGGAAATGCACACCTGGCTAGTTAACCTAATTAACTGTATGTATTAAGCTGTATAGAAGTGTCTTGAAAAATATCTAGTCAAATATTATTTACTGTCATCATGGCAAATATAAAATACGTCAGTTATTAGAAATGAGTTATTAAAACTAATATGATTAGAAATGTGTTGAAGAAATCTTGTCTCTGTTAACCAGAAAATGGGGAAAAATCAAAACAGGGGGGCTAATAAATCAGATGGCTTAATAATTCTGACTTTAACTGTATATAACATCTTTGACAAATATTTGAAATAACAACATCAATTTCCTTTCAAAATCAATTAATCATTTAAATAAAAACAATGCTGTTTATGTTAATATTAAATCAAGTGAATCCAACATCGAACATGTGAGTATGCACTATTAAGTGAAAACATTAAAAAAATAAATAAATAAATAAAATATATATATATATATATATATATATATATATATATATATATATATATATATATATATATATATATATATCACTCACTGTTAACTTAAGTAAAAGATTTGTGAAGATCGCATGCCACTGTGTTTACTTTAGTAATGTCAATATTCAATGCAAATAGAGGAGTGCATCATTGGTCTTTTCTGGAGTTCTAGTGAAAGCTGACAAACAAAAACTTTACCATACAAAATGTCAAAGCCCTATGCAAACTTTACAATTAGTACAAATAAGAGCAACAACACAAGTAAGTCATAAAAAAACATTTATATTAAGAACAAACTAAGTCTTGCATAACATTCAAATCAGGCTCAGAAAATATTTCGACATGTTTTTTAATTGAGTATGGCACAAGGCATTTTGGGCAGGGCTTCTGTCTCTGAACAGAAACTCAATAACTATATGACGGTAATAGTTTAATTAAGGTGTTTCCATATCTGTACTGCACTTCAATAATGCCACTAAAGTAGGCATACTCCACTAAGTTCAATTATGTCTTTAGTCAGATTGACGTCATCAAAAATCTCTGTTTGCATGGTAGACTCTTAATCAGAGTATTGCCTTAATCATTTTAAAATCGAAATATTGTTGTCCATGTAAACATCCTCATCGTTTAATACCTTCTGAGATGCAAAATATCCTTTGACTAGAGAGCCCATGATCTGCTGGGGCGAGCGGGTTGTGCTGATGTATGGCAGGATGAATTCTCCATGAGTCTTCTCAGCATAGCAAATCCACCCTGAGCAAAACATTAAGGGGTTATTTACAGTTGACGTCAGAATTATTAGCTCCCTTTGATTTTTTTTTCTTTTTTAAATATTTCCTAAATGATGTTTAACAGAGCAAGGAAATTTAATATTTAATATAATATTTTTTCTTCTAAAGAAAGTCCTATTTGTTTTATTTTTGCCAGAATGAAAGCAGTTTTTAATTTTTAAACACCATTTTAAGGTCAAAATTAGTGCTCACTTAAAGCTATATTTTTTTATCGATAATCTACAGAACAAACCATCATTATACAATAACTTGCCTAATTACCCTAACCTGCCTAGTTAACCTAATTAACACAGTTACGCTTTTAAATGTCACTTTGAGCTGTATAGAAGTGTCTTGAAAAATATCTAGTCAAATATTATTTATTGTCATCATGGCAAAGATAAAATAAATCAGTTATTAGAAATGAGTTATTAAAACATATATGTTTAGAAATGTGTTGAACAAATCTGCTCTCCATTAAACAGAAATTTGAGAATAAAATAAACAGACGGCTAATAGTTCTGACTTCAACTGTAATTGTAATCCATGTTAGAACTTTCATAAGACACTTTACGGTGAATATCTAAAGCAATAACAAGCAGATGACTCTTTCATAACAGACTCTTTAAATCACCATTAATTTTAAATGAAGCACCTTAGTAATTCACAGGCCCAGCATTATAAAGCGCCATGAAAGTCCTTACTGTACTTAACATTTTACTTACACTTAACATTTACATTAAATATGTCTGAGTAATGATGATGTTTTGAATCTGTCATTTTCCAAAAATTGAAAAATTTGCTGCCGAGTGTGACACGGCTGGAATGAGAATCAGCACCTCCAAGTCCGAGGCGATGGTGCTCCACCAGAAAAGGGTGGTTTGCCATCTCCAGGTTGGAAGAAAGACCTTACCCCAGGTGGAGGAGTTCAAGTATCTCTGGGTTTTGTTCACGAGTGAGGGAAGGATGGAAAGTGAGATTGCCAGGCAGATAAGTGCAGTGGCAGCAGTAATGTGGTTGATGTGTCTGTCTGTTGGGGTAAAGAAGGATCTGAGCCAAAAGGCAAAGCTCTCGATTTACCGGTCAATCTACATTCCTACTCTCACCAATGGTCATGACTGAAAGGACAAGATCTCGGATACAAGAAGCTGACATGAGTTTCCGTGACAGGGTGCAGCCTTATAGACAAGGTGAGGAGCTTTATCACCCGGGAGGAGCTCGGTTCTCCTAAGACTGCTGCCCCCGCAAACCGGCCCCAGAAAAGTGGTAGAAAATGGATGAATGAAATAAAATGTGGTTTTTAATCCCTCACGTTGAAAAATTTAATCACATTTGTTGGATTTAATACTAGTAATGTTCTGAAATATTGAATTAAATGTCCACTATTTATCACCATTTGTTCTTGTACACGAATAACATTTCTAGCTTTTGTCGTTCTTATTTTGACAGCAGCACAACTGTTGAAGTAACAAAGTAAACAATTTTCATTTCACATTTAATTCCAGCTTTTTTCTGTTTTAAGTGCTTTCCAGGCCTTGAATGCACATGTCTGAAATTCAAGTACTTTCAAAAAGCATGGGAACCTGAGATGAGGCTACCTGGACATGCAGACGCCAACATCGGTAAAGCCTTCTTGTCTGCTTCCCTCTGACTGAATCGCTGTAGAAACTCCCTCTGGCTCTCAATCAAACTGAAGGAGCGACTGAAGGCTGTGTCAAACACATGATGCACACCTGAAAGACCAGAATGACACTTGCATGATCTCAACTTACAGAGGAAGAAAAAGGAACAGAAGAATAATAGAAACTTCAACCACATACTTAGGGCTTCTGACTTGAGTCTTACAATTCAGAACTTTTTATTCATAAGATTTTTGTTTACATTCTTTCTCTAAATTCAGACTATCCAGTTTGCAAATTTTCAGACTTTTTCTTTCCCTCAATACCATGAACTTACATTTATAATTTGTTTTTTTTTACCTAAGTATTCCGAATGCACTTTTTTATGTGTTTCAAAATTCTCTGTGATTTACACAAATTTTTAAGGGCATACTCTTACTATGCATAGTTGCCTTAAATCGTGCTGAAGCATGCTTGCCCCCCCTCACCCCACAGTCTGCACTAACACTGCTTCCAAACCTGAGCATGCTTTCATCATCAATGATGCGACGGTTCAGTTTAACAAGCACCGCACCACCGCCCGACCAAACCCGAGTACGGCTCAGATAGTGTGAGTGCACCCTAAGATTATAAATGACACACCTTGCCTTTTTAAAGTCTGTAATCTCTGTTTTGTAATACAAAAGTTATTTGAGAACTCTAAGAATTCGGACTTCTCTCTTTTAGCCAGAATAGTAAGTTCTAAACAGAATTGTACGATATTAACTATGAGCTGATCAGAAATATAAAAATCAGAAAAAAAATACCAAGATATAAACTCAGAATGGCAATAAATAAATAAATAAATAAATTGTAAGATAGGGATGCTCTGATCGGGACTTTTGCAGCTGATACTGACTCCCGATTCCTTGTCATGGTGATCGGCCGATACGGAGTACCGATTCTGATTCTTCAAGCATTATATATCTTTGCCATTGCATAAGCACAATCACCCTTTAAGTATGAGACCTCGCCTTACCTAAGATAATAAAGTAAGGATGTTGCATACATGTAATGGTCAGCAGCAGCTTTACAACAAGAAAAAACATAAAACAAATAAAACATGGTAAGAAAAATGTGAAAACATTGCTCATATGTTGTAGCGGTGCTGATTAGGGATCGGTACTGAAACTCTGTACTTTCTAAGCATTGGTGCTACATTATAAAAGACAGAATTATCGATAAGCTCCTAAGGTAACGATTCTGCTATCGGTATTGGAGAATTTTTGCTAAATAAACGTTACTTACAGAAGCATAATTTAACTGACCAACCTTTTCTAATTTGCGGTATTTGATTTTCGTCTGCACAGTTGGCAGTCTCACATGAGAAATGCTCGTGTTTCCAGTTCGTCAAGTTTAAAAGCTTTCACAGTTCTCTGCTGTGCTCACACACTCAGCGGAGGCTCGTGTTGAGCACACACAGAGCTCGCGACAGACTCGCGCACACACACACACAGTTCGTAAGCTTGCGGAGTGAACCAAATGGGCTGTATTTTCTGAGTGGACAGTGACAATGCCCACTGCAACAAACGCAACAAGTTGTTTTCTTGTATACGCCGAAACGCAAACAATCTGGCTAAGTGAAAGTATCCTTCAAAAGTGCATTAACTGCAATGAAAATCAATGAAAAGTTTGGACTGCCTAGCTACTAACGGTAACATTGCATTATTCACATTGTTATGCCAGCAGTCAATCACCTAAATTATTATCATTTTAATAGTTAAATAAACACACAGTTTCAGTCAGTTACAATGAAAACTGAGTCATTTTCCTTCATTTTCCAATCATTCTACATTCTTTTACAGGAAAATATTTATTCATTTGTTTTTACAATTATTGGTTTCATTTTACTTTACATTAAAAACGTAATAATAAAATAAAGTGTTGTTAATTCTGTTCCTTTTGTTTTTTTCATAAAAAAAAAAAAAAAAAAAAAACATTGCAAAAAATACCAATAAGAGAACTGTTAAAGTACCAAACCGGTAAGTGGTATCGATAAAAGTAGTAATACCATTAAAACCTTAATGATACCCATCCCTAGTGCTGATGCAGAACCCGGGCATGCACGTGCATCTTCCTCTGCTTGTAAACTTGTAAACAACCACTTGCGAGCAGTTCATGAGATCGGCCAGATCAGCAAGTAACGATCAAGTTGTGAAATGTGAATATCGGCCAATCAGCCAATCGATCGGACCATCCCTATTGTAAAATTATATTTTTAATTCTGTGGCCAGAAATAAAGTCTCCCATAGGATGATGGCTGTTCATATAAACTACAGACTCAAACTCACCCAAATGTTTCAGGAAGCTGGTGAGCTTACGAGCCACTTCACTGCTGCCAATACCATAGTGTGCAGCAAGAGAAGCTCTGGACTGAGGCGATACAGACACCACCACCACCTTCTGCTCAGTACTGCTAACCTGCTGCTGACAGACACGAGCATGTTTTAGATGAATTATTCTACTGGGACAAAAACTGTAGCTAAATACCTGAAACGAGCACCTTATTATGACGTAGCACGCGGTACAGTTCCTCGTGACTCTGTTGTGTGATAAGGACACTTTCAGCAGATGTGATGCAGCCACTGCAAGCCAGACAGTCATTCAGAGTAATTTTTGCTTTCTCCAACTTTTGTCTTTGGCCATCCTGGGAACCAAGCATTTATTTAATATGCCCATCATCTCTTGTCAAATGCTGGCTCAAAACAAAAGTCACATTAATCAAAACTCACCTGATGGACCTGAAAATAACTGCCATCATCTTCTATCTGGATTTTCGCCACAGATCGACCCTGTTTCTTTTCCACTTTCACAGGTTTCACACATTCCTGTGATTCAGGGAAATTAAGTTACTTTTATTCAGCATAAGGGCATTAAATTGATTATAGGAGTAAGAAAGGGTATTAATAATTGTACAAATTATTGATATTTCAAATACATGTTTTTATTTTGCTGTCTTTTTCATTTGTCGAAGAATAAATAGAAGTGACACTGAAGGCTAAATTAGACTTTTTTTCAGAATTTTCTTCTCAAAATTATATTCAAAAAATTCATTTAAATACAGTATTTATGATCAACTAAATATGGCTTTAATTTGCACAAAACACAGGGTTTCTGCAGGTTTCAGGAGTCATATTTAGGACCTTTTGAAGACCATTATAAAGCAAATTTCAGACTTAAACAGGGCTGAACGCTAATGTTTTTTCCTAATGGCATGGTTAAGCCAATGAAAAAGATCTTAACTTGCCTTATCGAAAAAAATTTTAATTGAGTTATTTCTTAACCACATAGTTTAAAGGCATCATAACAAGCTAAATCTAGTAAATCATAGAAGAAAAAAAAAGATAATTAACTAAATTTAAGCGCAACAGTCTATGGAAAACTAAAAAATGTTATTGTACAGAAGACAGTTACAGTTTTTATTGAGTATCACTATTGATTGGTCGGCCCGATAGACACAGGAAAATTAAGACTTGTTTAAAATTATTTAAGACCTACAAAACAAAATTTCTTAAAGGCCTACAATTTTGTTTTTGAAATGTAAAACATTTAAAGACCCCACGAAAACTGTGAAATCATATCATTTAAGTAACTTAAACTATTAAAGTACTGTACTTACAGTGGCCAAAAATAACTTCACACTTCAGTGATAGTTAAAATGTATGACATTTTATGACATTTTAAAAATCAATAATGGCTTATTCGTTAACTTATTTGCTTTAAAGCTGTTTTCACTGTCTTTTTCAGAAATAAAACACTTAGTTTTATATACTGATACCTACTGCGATGTCATTTAATTATTTTAGTGTGTTTGAGTGCACTTATTAGGGCTACAGAGGGATAAATAGGGGTAAAGTTGGCTTTATGTTCGCGTATTCGGCTCCTCAATACATACATTCTTACAGTCATTGGTTACATTTAAGCTCACTAAGTTAGGTTTTTACTGTCATTTTCTGTATCTGACATTGCAAGACTTGACAAGAACGCTTATATACAAATTAACGTTACCCATATCCACAGTTAACGTTACATCAGTTTATATCATGATCATCTGACCGGTGCTTTTTTAAACCAACAAATACATTCAGCGGAGAACCAGTAAATGGTCTGAATTTATATAAATTTATCCGTTTATAATGTTATTATAGTCTGAAAAAACAACAAATCAACCTGAGAAGGAGTGATAAAATCATCCAGATCCGTGAGCTGAAGCACTCCGCTGAAATGCGACGCCATTGTTTTTAATGCTAGACGTTTTTCTCAGAGGTGGTTGGTAGGGCTGAGTGCACGACGTCTGAATCCTCCAATCATAGACAGCGCTTAAGTGACTCTGCCCAATCAAAACAAAGAGTGAGAGGTAAAGGGTGGGACTTAAAGAAAAAAGTTTTATAAAGGTCAACTGTCAGGTTACGTCGAGGGAAGTCATTCAGTGTCGACAATTTTTCTTTACAAGATAGATAGATTACGGAACATTTCAATATTATATAAATAATAATATCATTTTGACCTAGACAGCGTATTTTTGGCTAATATATTTAGACACATATATTGACTGCTTTTGTCGTTCAGGGTCACATTTGTCATGACACGCTGAATTGCATTGTTTATATGCCCATATATTACACATGTTACAGCCGCGGAGTGTTTGCTTACCTGCCGTAAAGCGTCGATGTGACGCGCACACTTTTACTGTCATCGTTTGCGGGTTAACGTGTTTCTTGTAGACAAGTACAGAAACATGTTTACCACCATGTATTAATTGTGCAAAAGAGCAGTTGTAAAATCGACACGTTAAACTGGTTAAGCTTGTCGCGGTAACTCAAAAACACGTTCGCTTGATGGTCCATCAACACCGTACGGAAGTAAATGTATGTCTGTATGACTATATGCCTTTTAAACTCGTCTAGTAAAGGGACCGAGAATTTTTTTTAACAGAGTAAGTACACTTGTTCGATATTTTCTATAATAGTAACAACAGTGAGGCATTAATATAGCGTCATATGTTTTATTTTTGCAACAAACAATTTAGCTTTGATGCTGAAAAGTTAAAATTGTACGCAAACATTTTATGCACTAAATATTGTTGATCTACTTTTATTATTGATGCATTTTAGACACTCATTTGAATTTGCGAAGTGTTGCATTATTTTTAAATGTATTATAAGTACATAACTTGATCTTTATGCACATTTATGATCTACAAGGGTGATATTTTTCATCGTTTATGTTTTTTTGCTAACCTGACAGTTCATCCAAAACTGATAATTACATAATCATTACTCTCGCTTTACTTGTCAAAAACCTTTATGAGTTTATTTTAATTTTTTTCTATACAAACGAAGATATTTTGAAAAAAAAAACGTTAAATCTATAACCATTGATGTCCATATTTGCTGTTTATACTATGCAAGTCAATTTGGGCTGCACAACATATTGTTTCAGCATCAATATTGCAATGTTTGTGTCCACAAAAGTCACATAGCAGAATATGCAATGTTGAGGTTGGATGATTATAGTTGATCAACACCACAATTCAGAATACATGACATTTTTGGAGTCACTGCAAATAGTAACCAAAACAGAGAGAATCTTTATCCTTTGCATATGTTTTAAAGGCTTTTCAAATGAATTTAAAACAGGCACGGAAATATACAACTTTTTAACTTTCTACTACTGAATAATTAGTTTTATATTGTGCAGTCCTAAAGTCAATGGTTGCTTTTTTTTACATTGTTCAAAATACAATCCTGTTTTAAATGTACAAATCTGATTTGTGTATTTATTAATCATTTATTTGACTTTCCGAATTAAATTTGTTTATTTTCGGATCACTTTTTTTGAATTTTCATATTGAATTTGTGTATTTTGAGTTGTTTTTTGAATTGATGAATTGGATTTGTGTATTTTTTAATAGTTTTTGGAATTCAAAAATTCAATTTATTTATGTTTAAATCATGTTTTAAATTTATGAATTGGATTTGTGTATTTTTGAATGATTTTTTTGAACTTATGAATTGGATTTGTGTATTTTTGAATCGTGTTTTGAATCAAAGAATTGAATTTGTGTATTTTTTAATCATTTTTTTACTTTATAAATTGAATTTGTGTATTTTTTAAATAATTTTTTGAATTAATGAATTCGATTTGTTTATTTTTAAATATTTTTTAATCAACAAATTGAGTTTATTTATGTTTGAATCGAGTTAGTATTTTTTAATTGGATTTGTGTATTTTTGAATCATGTTTTGAATTTATAAATTGAATTTGTGTATTTTTGAATCGTGTTTTGAATTGACAAATTGGATTTGTGTATTTATAAATCGTTTTTGAATTTACAAATTGAAATTGTGTATGTTTAAATTATTTTTTTAATTTACTAATTGAATTTGTGTATTTTTGAATCGTGTTTTGAATTTACGAATTAAATTTGTGTACTTCTTTAATCATGTTTTTTAATTTACGGATTGAATTTGCCTAAAGTCAATGGTTGCTTTTTTTAACATTGTTCAAAATAACAAATTTTGTGTTAAACAGAAAACCCATAAAGGTTTGGAACAAACTGAGGGCAAGTATTAATGAGTAAATTAGTTTTACTTTTGCATGAACTATCCCTTTAATGCCTGCCTTCATTAGTTGGTTTTATAACGGTGACAACTTGTGATATGGTCTCTGTCTTGTGTACCATGTTACTTTGAATATTATGTCTGAAATTGAATGTACAGTTAGTGTGACTTCAAAACAACACGTTAACTCTATTTAATTGACTGTGCACGATGTGCTTTGATATTCATTGCCTGCTAATATGTTCCCTGTTAAGGAAATACAAAGAAAACTATTCTGAAATTATATTATCAAGGAGAAAGTCTGAATATAAAACCAGCTTAAACGTAATGCTTCCCTTAGAATATTCCAAATGCATATCTGTTTGTGTAACTCTCTGTAGTGCTTTGGGCATTAGAAACTTGCATTATAAATAAGATGTATTATCGTTGCTTGCAGCATGAGCAGCCAAAAGCTTATTAGGTTAATCATCGGCTCCTTAGTGATTGTGGCCATGGTGAAACTGTTCTTCAACCCCAGGTGAGCATCACATTTCACAAGGGTCTCTTTGTGCATCCATGCTTCAATGTCCTGAACAAGCTTGTATAGTGATTTATTTGCATTCTATTTATAGAGGAAGTGTGAAGTCTAAAAGTGAAAAGACCCACCAGATCATACAAGGTGGTAATTTCTGGGCTAGCCAACGAATCCCACTGATAAAAGTGGTTGAAAATAAACAGGATACCGTGAAAACAGAACAACAGCCTAAAGTTGAGCAAGAGGAAAGTGAGAAGATTCAGAAAAAACAAGAGCAATTAAAGCCAGAAGTTCCTGAAAAAACAGATCCACTAAAGATTGTGCATTTAGATCTGAAAGGTGCCCCACCCAAAGTTAAATACCTTGAGCAGGTGAGAATCAATGTATGCAGGTTGTATCAGATTGCACTTGAAATGTGATCAAAGCACAACAAAAACAAATGTGTTAATAGTTATGTTGTTTTCTAGTTATTCCCTCTACTGTCATCTTTGGGTGCTAATGGGATATTGCTGGAATATGAGGACATGTTTCCCTATGAGGGAGACCTTGAAATTCTCAAATCAAGCTTTGCATACAGGTGGGTGAATGAGTCTGTGTGTGTTAACTAAACTCGACTTCATTGCATGCAGGTTACTCAAAAAAGTAACATTTTGGCAATTGCTATTCACCCTTATGTAAGGGATTATGTGGGATGGAGGGTAAAAGTCCCTAACGTCTGGCTGAGATCAATGCCTTTTATTACGTTCAGCTAGCTATATCCATTTGCTTCTGGGAGGGGGTTAAAATCAGGGGCCGTGTGATTTACATCCAGAAGGAAGTTGAAATAGGGGGGCATGTAATTAGAGCTGTAAAGCTTAACTTTTCAATTCTAGGTGAAAATTTGAATCTGTTGAAGACGTCCATTAGATTAATTGCAGAAAATGTCCACAGAGGCTGGGTGATCACTAGAATGGGGAAGTCCCAGAGTAAAATGAGAAAATATGATATATCTGTGTTTTGGAATATGAAAATCTGTCCCTACTCTGTTTTTAATCTGTTTTCATAATATTTGTTTCTATTTTATTTATACTTGTTTATATTATTCCTGTTTACGTGAAGCACTTTGAATTGCCACTGTAGGAAATGTGCTATGTAAATAAACTTGCCCTAAAATAACAATAATACGTTTATATATACATTTAAAGTATTTATATAAAATTAGTTTAAAGGTGCTAAAGAATAAAAAGCTGTATAACTAGGCAAGGCTGAATAATAAGGGTTCAGTACATGTAAATGATGCACCATGAGCCACAAACTTAATTGTTTCCTCAGACTCATGTAAATTTCGTGAGTGTACATCTTTGCGAAAAAGAAGCCAAATGGAACAAAACACAGACTCTTACAATACAGAAGGGATCATTAATATGAATGCCCCAGGTAGAGTTTGATAGGCCACAATATATCCTAGTGAGATTACAACAATCTTACTATCTAGACAGGACTCTTATTTTGAAAACGGGAGAAGCAGAGAGTTTTGTTCTTAAACTTCTTTTAGTTTTTTTATATTGTTATTATTATTATTATATTTATATAATATTTATTTCAACTTTATTGCTGAAAAAAGTTATTTAAACAGCTTTTGGTTGACCATGTCAAGTGGCTATGAACAGTGCTTCGCATAATTGAGTACACTTCATTTTGAAAATGAATGTTTGTATCCATTTCTCAGTGAATATAGGAAATGTATTTTGGTCCATTTAAACAAAACAGATTTATTAAACAGATATATTTATTAAAATAATATTTTAGGCACCAAACATGTTTAGAAATTAAAAGATAATACAATTAAATTCAAGCAAAATATCACAAAAAAATTCAACTAAATTTTTCCATTTATTTATCTTCCCTCGATTTTTCTCCTTTTTAAATTTGTATTTAATATTGTTCTATAACATAAATTTGGGTGCACAATTTTTTGATCTATTAACAGCTATCTAACAGTTATTGGCAAGTTATTAAATATAATATATTGTAGAGCTTCCTATTAAAAATGTGGATTAAAAAATAAATTTGTAAGGGGTGTACTTATATGCCGAGGAGCAATGTATATCAAACTTCTAAAATGTAAAAAAAAAAAATATTGCTAATACATTTGAAAGTTTAAGTAAATATCTATTGAAGCTTCCTCTGTAACTCTAAGCCTTTCAATTCATGGATAAAATGTTGCTAAAATATATTTAGAGATCATAAGTTGACAGTTTCTATGCATGTATTTTTATGAATGCAGTATATTTATCACTTGTTTGTCTTTTATTGTTCACAAAAAGTCCGGAAGATATAGAGGAAATTAAGTCTCTGGCTAAACGACACAATCTGGAACTGATACCTTTGGTGCAGGTGTTTGGACACATGGAGGCAAGTAGAGATTTTATCAACAAAAAATCTCAAATATGTGCATACTACATACTTCAGTGCAGTGCTAAAGAGGCATTTACATTTTGTTTTACAAGTGGATTCTTTACATAATGTCTAGTTCAACCATTTCTGATAAATGTGTGGAGGCAAAAATCATTCAAATGCTGTGGATGCGTTGCAGCTCTGCTTAACCAGGCTTTCTGTTCACATTTCAGTTCGTCTTAAAACATGAAAAGTATTTTAAATTGAGAGAAGTGGAAACGTTTCCCAATAGTCTAAACTCTCTGGCCCAAGGAAGCATGGAACTCGTTCAAAACATGCTAATGCAGGTTATGAAGAAGCACCCAGAAGCACGGTGGTTCCACATTGGTGCCGATGAGGTCTGTGGATTTCTATTCTTTGCAGATCAGAATTATAAAGACATAAATATAACCATAATAATCATTTTAGGTGCGTGGCTTGGGCGAAAGTGAAGATTCGAAGCGATGGTTAGAAGCCAACAACGGAGACATGGGCAAGCTCTACCTCAATCATGTGACTGCAGTTGCAAAGTTTATGACCAAACAGAAGCAAAGAATCAAGCTGATCTTGTGGGACGACATGTTCAGGAAATTTAGCCCTGACACTATAAAAGGTCTGTATATTAAACTCACTGTGTGCTAACTGTAAATGTACAGATCTTAAATGGTGTGATGAGGAAAGTTAATTAGTGTAGCTTTCAATCTTAAAGTCCAGGTAAAGAGAATTCAAAAAATAGTTCCTAAAATATTATAGATGTATTGCTGGAAAACATAAAGACTCTGAATTATGTGTGGTACGGAATTGTGAAGTTTTTACTAATTCTGTATTCAGGTTAAAATGGAGGCTCGATGAAGCAGTGAAGCCAACAAGTGTTAAATAAACATTAATTCATTTTCTTTTCAGCTAATTCTCTTAATTAATCTGGGGTCGCCACAGCAGAATAAACCGCTAACTTATCCTGCATATGTTTTATGCAGCGGATGGCCTTCCAGCTGCAACCTGTCACTGGGAAACACCCATACACACTCATTATCACACATACACCATAGAAAATTTTAGTTCACCCAATTCACCTGTACCGCATGTCTTTGGACTTGTGGGGGAAACCAGAGCATATGGAGGAAACCCACGTGCAAACAGTGAGGACATGCAAACTCCAAAGAGAAATGCTAACTGACCCAACCGGAGCCAGTTTCTTGCTGTGAGCTGATTTTGCTACCCACTGCGCCACCACGCTCCCCTGTTATATAAACAGTAGTGTTGAGATCCCGAAGTGGAAGTGTTTCAAAACGCGGCACTGAAGCATGATCTGAAACACCCAGGTCACGTGACTAAAATGTTTCGATACACGGGTCACTTGAATAAAGCAATTCAAAGCATCTGTCAATTCAGCATTTCGAGATCTGGCGAATCTGCTTTTGACTGACAGAGTCAGATCTTATGTAGCCTAGTGGACTGTTTGTGTGAACAGTTACTGTGCTTCAGAATGACATGAGTTTGAATGACTTGATCTGTTTTATTAATGTTACCTTTTTTATGAACAAAACAAGACATATTTATTTACAAAGTGTTTATTGGGTTGTTAAACCAATATTAAAACAACACACGTTACAATTCAATTACAATTAAAAACATTTAAAAAGCATTTAAAAACGAAAATCTGTTGCTGCATTCAGACCCAATATTTCTGAATGCTGGAACTCTCACTACTTCACTAAATTACTTAAAAACTCAACTCTACAATGTGGGGTTTAATACTTCAATTTGCTCAACTGTTTCTTTGCTGAGGCTGCTCCAGAACAATAAATAAAAAAGGTCACTATGTGTCACTGTAGAGACGGTTTACGAAATGAAAGTTTCAACACATTTGCTTAGACAGTTTCATTGTTTCATGAAGCCTCGCTTTGCCCACCACTATTGCTAACATTCATGAAAGCAAGAAATGAATTACCATTCTGTTGCAGACCCATTAGATGATTCTCGGGTAACCAATCATTGTTCTCTGAATTGGATTGTTTCCTAAACATGTATGGCTGTAAAAAGCTAAGTTAACGTTACTATCGTTAGCATCAGTAGCATTCGAGAGTCTGAGTGCTGCCTCGATTGCGTCCTATTTTAGACACTTGCATTTTTCAATCATTAAAGTTTGGCTAGGTTGTAACATAATTTTTCTGTTAAGTGACAAACACAGAACACTCTGAATTGGATTGTTGCCCAAACATGTATGGCTGTAAAAAACTAATTAAGCTAACGTTATATCGTTAGCAACAGTAGCATTCGAGAGCAGTCTGAGCGTGGCCTCGAGTGCGTCCTATTTTAGACACTTGCATTTTTCAATCATTAAAATTTGGCTAGGTTGTAACATGATTTTTTTGTTGAGCGACAAACACAGAACACACTTTTTAATATCACTTAAAAAACACACACACAACGTCACCATAACTGGAAAGCACATTTTTGACCCTGACATGATTTTTTCCCTTTTCAGAATCAGGTTTGCAAGATCTTGCTTCACCCATGATATGGAACTACCATGCAAACTTGAACGTGAAGGACATTGGTAAGGCCTGGCTCTGTTACTTATACCTTAATAAGGTCAATATGAACAATCTTACCCAATTACCCATTAGCTTAAAATATCTTCCTTATTTTGAACGGAGTTCTTATACCCATGAGAAAATAAAATTTTGATTTAATAATCTTTTTCTTGTATTTTAATCAAATAAATACAGTCTTTGTAAGCTCTGTGACTAGGTCCGTCATGATATCTAATTTTTGTTGTACAATATATTGCACCAAAATGTATTGCGATAAACAACATTATTGTTATTTTAAAGCAGCTATGATAAATCATCTTTTGTAAGCTGTTTAGACAGAACTGTGTGTAGGTATAGTGTGTCCACAGACATATTTGGGTGGTATAAACACAATAAGTCTTCTTTTTTTTTTTTTTTTCCTGACGTTAAAATAGGATGCAAATTCCTCCCATTTTGAGGCCCACCACAACATGGTGAAGGATAATTATATCAATGAGACAGGACGTCCACAAAGCGACCAGGATTAATAAATCTGTTCAGCTCTCTGTGATCATCAAATGTGATCAAGAATGAGTTTTACAAGTTTAAAATGTTAAAATTTACAGCTGCATGTCAGAACAATTATAAAAAAGACGCTTCAATCCTTGTTTGTGGACGTTAAATTAGGTTTATTTTGTACATTAACATAACAAATATCCTTACAGCAGTAGATATTAATGCGTATCCTGTCACATTTGCTTAGCAAAAACAGTGCAAAGTTAATAGTGCGCACTGTGTGTGTGTGTGTGTGTGTGTAACGACATTGTGTGTGACTCATCGCAGAAAGGCTTGAATTAACTCCACATTAAATACATCAAATAATCATTGGGAAAGTTCACAAACATTACATGAGATCTGTTTAATTTGTGTATGTCACTGTGCTGTTTATCTGATGCAGCCAAGGCACAGTCTGTTAGGCATGTGGGAACGGTGGGTGGGGAGAACTAGCCTTAAAGGCAAAGGCCACAAAAACAGCTACTAGATGTTCAGAGCTAAAAAAAAATCTGAAAGGTCTAATAGATAATCTGATGGGTGTTTTGAGCTGAAACTTTACAGACACATTCTGGAGGCACAAAAGACTTCTCCTAAATCTTGAAAAAGGGGGTCAAATAGGTGCCCTTTAGGACTATTTTATGCCACTCATTATATAATGCCAGAATGACTTTGTAATATCATCACAATGCAAGCACACTCTTTCAAAGAACACATAATAGTTTAATCCTTAGAATATTTAATTTATTTATAGTCATTTTACAGTTTAATAATGAGGCATTGGAGTCAGAATGTGAAAACCCTATCCTAAATAAATAATAATAAATGTTAACAAAAAAGTGCAAGGTAAAAGAGTAACAAAGGCTGCGATATCTGCTACCAGATCTAAATTCAGTTTTCAGACACCCACATGAAAATATATAATAGTAATTTATGATAAATACTACAGTGTTTTTTTAACCATACTGACACCTCCAATAGAGATGTTGCACAATCAGCTAAAAAAGTTTTTACATTTTTTTATGTGTGGGTGATTTATATTGTATCACCACAAACTATTGATGTCATGTCCATGTGTTGTGCCATATAAGTCGATATATTAATTATCGTGACAGGCCTATCTGTGACTACTTTTAAATAGTCAAGGTTAGGTTAAGACAAACCATCTTACTTTTTTGCCTTTTTAATTTGTAGGTAAGTATATCTCCAAGTATGAGCAGGCTGGATTTCGTGGCGTGTGGTTTGCTAGTGCTTTCAAAGGAGCATCTGGGATCGACCAGATCTGGACTCCAATTGATCACCATTTAAAAAACCATATACAGTGGCAGGAAGTCATCGCATCCATGCCGCAGTACAAGTCAGTGAGATTTCAAGGCATTGCACTGACTGGCTGGCAAAGGTAAATGCACCATTTTAGCATATTGCAAACTTGCAAAACCATACAATTATTTAAACATTTCAGACATAAAAGAGTAATACAAAACAATTTGTTCTAGGTATGAGCATCACACAGTGCTGTGCGAGCTTCTCCCGGTGGCCATTCCTTCTCTCACTGTCTGTCTGCAGACACTGAAATATGGTGAGTGTCTGAAATAGGCGTATGCTAATATTCAGTAATTCAGTATAGGGCTGCACAATATATATATCGTTTTAGCATCAATATCGCAACGTGATCCTTTGCAGTAGACATATCTCAAAATATGCAATGTTGAGTTTGTATTATAATTCTTACTTTGCATGTGTTTTTGATGCCTGTGATTGTATAATAATCTTAAAAGCATTCAGGCATAAGAAATTGTACCATTTGTGATTTTAACACTGATTGATTACGTTTTATTATTTTTATTTTATCATTCAATTAATGTTCTTGAATATTGTTAGAGTCGGAAAATGATAAAACACTTTATTCCAATTATATCTTTTTTTTCTAGATTGTTATGCATGAAAATACGCTCAACGCATGCAAATACAGAAATGCACTGCACATAGCACAGACCACAACAAAAACTTGACGAGGGACCCCAAAAAGTTTACAGATTGTTTATTAGATTTTATGGAGATGCACTACCACTGCAGAGTCATCCCAACCCAACATTAATAACGGCAATATTTTCTCTTGTGAGTCTCGTGTTAACATTACCACAGCACATTAACGCAGATAACAGCCCACCACTAATATATATGTACTAAATATTTCAGTGGTGGGCCATTATCAGTGTTAATGTGCTGGGGTAATGTTAACACGAGACTCACAACAAAAAAATATTGCGGTTAATCTAGGATCTTTAATCTGGATCTATCATTAACTTCAAAGACACTACTTACTACCCTTACATGGACATCTGTAATCTGTTTTATTTGCCTTAATAGAAAATAATATAAATAAGGTGTTTACTTTAAGTGCTTTCATGTCAGAGTTTCCTGTCATTTTGAGTGTCTTTAACTGCAGTTCGACAGTTTTACATTCACTCATGAACATTTCATTCATGCCCCCGTGACAAACTGCGGTTTAAGAAGCAAATAAGAAGTAAGGTCTGGTGAGAGTGTTATGCAATTTAACTTGTTAGGTAGTGCTATCGCCTCACAGCAAGAAGGTCGCTGGGTCACTGGTTCAAGCCTCGGCTCAATTGGTGTTTTTGTGTGGAGTTTGCATGTTCTCCCTGCGTTTACGTAGGTTTTCTCTGGGTGCTCCGGTTTCTCCCATAGTCCAAAGACATGCGGTACAGGTGAATTGGGTAGGCTAAATTGTCCGTAGTGTGTGTTTGAATGTGTGTGTTAATGTGTGTGTGAGAGATGGATTGCGGCTGGAAGGGCATCCGCTGTGTAAAAACTTGCTGGATAAGTTGGCGGTTCATTCCGCTGTGGTGACCCTGGATTAATAAAGGTACTAAGCCGACAAGAAAATGAATGAATGAAATGAATCTATGCCCACCTAAAAAAAAAAAAAAAAATATATATATATATATATATATATATATATATATATATATATATATATATATATATATATATATATATATATCGCAAAATAAAAAAAATATTGCAATTCTAGATTTTTCCAATATCATGCAGCCCTAATTCAATATATTTTGATAAAAAACGTGCACAATATTGAGATTTACTCTTCCTTTACAAAAAACTTATATTGAAGAATGTAGGAAACCTGTAATCATTGACATGCAACAAAGGAAAAACAAATACTTTGGAAGTCAGTGGTTACAGGTTTGCAACATTTTTCAAAATATCTTCTGTTTGTGTTTAACAGAAAAAATAAAACTTACATTTATTTGTAACAAGTGTGAGTAAATGATGACAGAATGTTTATTTTGGGTGAACTATATCTCTTTAATGTGTGTAATATAATGTTATTGCTGCTGTATGAGTTCAGATCAGTTCTGCAATATGATCATGCTGTCATGTGTTTGTGTTAGGTGCATTTAATGCTAAGGCCCAGGGTGAGGTCCAGCGCATGCTTGGCTGTGAAATTCAGCTCGAAAAAAATGACTGGTATGAAACAGTTTATATTTTCAATGACTTTATTGTTGTCAGCATCAATGGAAGTATCTACTGTAAATGTAATATGTAGGTTATATATGTACAATTGAAGTCAAAATGATTAGACCTCCTCTAAAATTTGTAGTTATTTTTCAGTGTTGTTTTCTAAAGTTCTGTTTAACAGTTTTTTTCAACAAGTTTTTTAACATAATAGTTTTTATAAATAATTTATTTTGCCCTATTTACAGTACATAATACGTTAAGCTGAATACCAGTATATTTCAAATTAACTAAAGTAACTAGGTTAATTAGGCAACTTAGGGTAATTAGTAAAGTAATCAGTCATCGGAACAGTTTGTTCTTTAGCTTGTAAAAACAAATTCTTTAGGGAGCTAATAATATTGACCTTAGAATTGCTTTACTTTTTTAAAACCTTCTTTATTATAGTCAAACTAAAAAAAATAACTTTCTCCAGATGAAAAAAAAAATATTATTGAAAATATTAAGAATTTAATTTTGCTCCATTAAACAATATTTGAAAAAGAATGCAAATTTCACAGGATTTCACATTTCAACTTTGTCTCTGTGCATGTACATCCTTTTCCTAAAAACTACCAGTTTTAAATTCTTGTTGACAGAATGATTTCAATACACACACACACACACACACACGGATATATATATATATATATATATATATATATATATATATATATATATATATATATATAAAATATGCTCTTTCAAATCATGTGTTATAATTCATGAAATAACTTTGGGAAAAGTTATTGTTTACTCAATATAAAGATAATATACTGTTTTCAGCACCGATCAAAATGATTTCTGGGGTCTAGAGTGATGGATTTTCAACTACATGAATACATTTAATATTAAAATAAATACAATTGAAGTCAGAATTATTAGCTCTTCTTTGAATGTTTGTTTTCATTTTTAAATATTTCCCAAATAATGTTTAACAGAGGAAGGACATTTTCAAAGTATGTCTGATAACTTTTTTCTTCTGGAGAAAGTCTTATTTGTTTTATTTTGGCTAGAATAAAAGCAGTTTTACATTTTTTTAAAAACCATTTTAAGGTCAAAATTATTAGCCTCTTTAAGCTATTTTTTTCCATAGTCTACAGAAGAAGCCATTATTATACAATAACTTGCCTGATTACCCTAACCTGCCTAGTTAATCTAGTTAACCTAGTTAAGTTTTTAAATGTCACTGTAAGCTGTATAGAACTGTTTTGAAAAATATCTAGTCAAATATTATTTACTATCATCATGGCAAAGATATAATTGGGGAAAAAAATAAACAGGGGGCTGATAATTCAGGTATGTTAATAATAAATGACTCCAACTGTATATCCGTTTTATTGTAATAATTATAATTATAATTTCTACTTTGCTGAGCTTAAGCAGTTGTTTTGTTTTTATTGTACCCACCCTAAACTTTGGAAATTATTATCAAATAAAAGTAGCTGTGAATGTTTGTAACTGATGCTCTCTTGAATGTTCTTCAGTAAGGGTGCATCCTTTCCTGGATCAGACATTTATGAAATGGTGAAGAAGATCCACACCAACCTTCAGAGTTCAATTATAAACCTCAAGCAAAACTAGTAAGTGAATTATAAGATGAATACAAGCTTCACACTGAGCACATTCTGATACTTATTCTCTGTATTGTGGGCCTTTTGTTCTTTTGCAGTCACGTCAAAGGATCATTCAGCTTTTATCATCGCAAACGCAACTTTGCCAACCCTCGAAATCTTGGATTTTTCAAAGACGATCTGAAAAAGTAAGATTAAAAAAAAAAAACTCATTTCATTTATTTTTTATGTTGTTCGAATGTTGATTTTGATTTTATGCAAGAATTTCAGTCATTGTGAACCATAATGAATTTATGTTTTATTATATTTACATTTATCTGGTTTGTTTTTCTTTTATTTTTGTTTGTTAATAAAATTATTTATTCAGAACAATTTTGATTCTGTTAACAATTGGTTCGAAGTGGGGAAAAATATAAAATAATAATAATAATAATTCTAATAATAATAATAATAATAAATCATCCCTTCATTTGTTTCCAACATGAGTTTCTTTTTTCTCTTAAAAAACATAAGAAGATATTTTGAGGAAAGTTTGTAATCAGACAGTTGATAGTAATAGTACTCATTCACTTCTATTCAGTCTTTTTCCTACTTTGGAGAACAGAGGTTACCCTTAAAAATTTGTATTTTCCAACATTCTTCAAAATATCTTCTTCTTTTGAGACACCAGTTCATTTTTGGAACAAGTTTTGGTGTAGTAAATGAGGACAGAATTTGCATGTAAGGGTGAATTATTCCTTAAATGAGCTGGCCTGACAGATTTTATGCAAAGGTCATGGAAATGTTGTGGGATCCCTGTATGTCTGCAAGCAGAAGTAGGAGATAAAGGGGTAATTCACCCAAAAATAAAAACATACTCACCATTTACTCGCCCTCAAGTGGTTCCAAATGTTTATGAGTGTTTAATACTAAACACAAAGGAAGACATTTTAAAAAACGTTGGAAACTGATAACCACTGACATCTATAGAAGTTTTATTTCATACTATGGATGTCAATGGTAGCCGGTTTTCCAACATTTTTCAAAATGTCTTCTTTTGTATTGAAGAAAGAAATAAGTGGGCGTGAGAAACTGGCAGTTTTAATTTTGTGGTGAACGATCCTTTTAAATGACTGTGATCTTGATGATGTGTTTATGAAATAAAGTGCATAAACAGAGATGGAGTAAGCTAATATTTCTCCTTTTTTATGTCAGAATGATGGATGAATGGGATTCCTTTTTGCTGACTTTTCGGGAAAGCATGGAGGCGATTTTTTACCCGGACACTTTAGAGGAGTGGTTGGAAGAGAACGTGAATGAACACATTGAAACGCTTCACAACATGGTGGTTGATGTAGAGCGGATCATTAAACTCAACGGACAGCCAAAGGTGGACCCCTTGGAAAATAGGTGAAACAAATCGGTGTAAAAGACATTCCAAACATGGCATTCAGACCTCTTGTTTCTGCACAAAAGGAGGTGTTTCCCCTCTCAGGGACCTTGCTTATTACCTTAGGACTTTACTGGAAGTGACGAACACATATATTATATATGAACTGCTTGAAAAAATGAATTCACAACGTTGCATTGATGTGTTTATTTAATCGGTTTTTGAGTGGACTTTGCTAAAGATTTAGCTGTAAAGGGATGAAATGCAATCATGCATAAATTAATGTTTTTTATAACTGTGGTCTGAGGAGCACAAATATTGTGCAATTCTGTATAAATGCAAAATGTGTGATCACTTACTGTAGAAATGTTACAGTAGAGCTTTCCATAAAGATGCCAAGAATTGTTAGTACTTCAATACTATTAAAGAAGACTTGTAATTATATAAATATTTGGTTTAGATTTATAGGGATTTACAAAAGACTACAATAAAACTGCAAATCTGTTGATCATGGGGTTTACAACATATCATAAAAAAATGTGGAAGCTTTGTACTTGTAGCTGCTTTTACTCTTTATTATGGTGAAATCTCAGTATTTTTATATTTAAAGGGGCAGTTTACTCAAAAATGAAAATTCTCACTTGTCACAAACCTGTGTGAGTTTCATTTTTCTCTTAAATGCAGAAGAAGATATCTTGTTTGGAAGAGATATAGCTTAGGGGATATTGATAAACAATCAATCAACACTAGATTATGCCTCATCCAGTTCAAATACTACATAGACTACACTTCTCCAAAAGAAAATACATATGACTTTCACCACAATATATCTTCTATTTGTAATAAGTGCTAATCAGAGGAAGCCGATTTAGCTCATAGTTTGTATTCTGTCATAAAATACAGGGATTCTGGGATGAGGTTTTAAAAGTGCTTTCAGATGTTATTGATCTACAGTTGAAGTCAGAAATATTAGCCCCCCTTTTAATTTTTATTTTTTTAAAATATTTCCCAAATGATGTTTAACTGAGAAAGGGAAATTTTCACAGTATGTCTGATAATATTTTTCCTTCTGGAGAAAGTCTTATTTGTTTTATTTCAGCTAGAATAAAAGCAGTTTTAAAATTTTTAAACATAATTTTAAGGTAAAAAATTATTTGCCCCTTTAAGCTATATTTTTTTAGATAATCTACAGAACAAACCATCGTTATACAATAACTTGCCTAATTACCCAAACCTGCCTAGTTAAGCTAATTAACCTAGTTAAGCCTTTAAATGTCAATTCAAGCTGTATAAAAGTGTCTTAAATATATCTAGTCAAAAACTACTGTTATCACAGCAAAGATAAAATAAATCAGCTGTTAAAAATGTGTTCTTAAAACTATTATGTTTAGAAATGTGCTGAAAAAATCTTCTCTCCGTTAAACAGAAATTGGGGAAAAATAAACAGGGGGGCTAATAATTCAGGGGGTTTAATAATTCTGACTTCAACTGTAGATCCCGACCCAGTGCTTATTATATTGGGACATGTTCCTTTCTTTCTTTCTTTCTTTCTTTCTGCCAATCTTCGTTCAGCCTATATCTCTAGGTCTAGCAGGGGCACTTTAAGCTTAGCTTAGCATCAATTATTGTATTAGATAAGACCACTAGTATCCTGTTCGAAAATGACCAAAGTGTAACTAGTGCTAGTTCTGTGTCCATGCTCACCGTATATACCCTCAGTCACTATCCCCTAAATCAGTACACTAATGTAGTCCAATTGAAGAACTGAATGAAAATAGAGCACTCCGTTCACAGGAAAGGATGCGGTTTTGTTCGTGCTTTACTGGTTTATAAATCATTCTGATGGATGAAAAGTTCAATTTCTTTGATCAGACCCTGTGATAGTTGTTTTAGTGAGCTCTCTGTTGGTAATGAAAAAGTATTTTGATTTCTGTCTGTTGTTCATTTTTAAATACATTTTCAGTGCCTATTTGTATTTTCACTGCTGTTATTTTATGTCTAATTGTAAAAATTAACGTTAAATGAGGAACACTCAAGTAAGGAGTGGGATGTGAACATGACAGGAAGGTTACATTTAAACATTTAATTCAAATGTTAACATAAACATTTAATTTAGCTTTTAACAATAAAACAAACAACGGGTTACATTTAATTTGAATTGACGATCTCCAAACCATCCCCATCATTCTTCCTCTCTCTCAGATGGTGGGCCAAATCTGGTTACCAAGGGCCAACCCAGTCAACAAATTTTCTTTGGCCCTGATCTGGCCCAAATAAACAGCTAAGATGTGGCCCAGATCAGTTAAGTGCTCCCCGGCCCAGAACTGGCCCACATCCTTTTTAGCCAGAACTGAACCAAAGTAAATTCACAACTCCACCAAGCTGGAGCCAAGTAATACATTTTATGTGGCCCAGATATGGGCCTTGTATTAAAGATAAGTCAGTCTGAGTTCTGTTACGCTCTTATGGCCCACATGTGGCTGACCACATATATTAACTGAGGAAATCACACAACAAAAATTAAAATCAAATAGTTTACTTTAATCAATGCAAATTACATTCAGATAAAACAATTATTGAACAAAATGTGGACAAATAAAGAGTTGGAAAACATTAACAACATACAAACAGAAAAAATACAAAATAGAAATAAAAATATTAATAATTGTTAAGTATAAATATTATAGATTTGATGCAAAGATGATAAAATACATACATAAATACATATTAATGTACATTTAAATGTACACAATATAAGAAAAAATATATACACACACTACTGTTTTCCAAATGCAATCCCAAAGTCAGCCAGAAGTCGATGTTTACTGATGTCAGCCTTACCTGAACCTTACTTGGATCTTTGCGAGTTCACAAACACAGATATTTGACTGAATAGAATATGCATATTTGGCATGCTGTCCGAAGAGAGGGCTCTGAGCTCGGCAAGACACTCTAACTCATGTTATTCTCCTTATCAGGATAAAGAGACATATAGGGTCTGAGCGCAGGGTCTGGCCTGGCTCCTGAACGCTCCCCCCTCAGATTTAAATAGTTATCAGGTTTAATAGTGTGGAGTTAGGGTGGTGGAGGGACACAGAAGTCAAGAGAAAACGGAGGTATGACGTGTTTGACTGTTTATAGGGGTTTGGTCTTAAGCTGATTGGATAATAGAATGATTGTGTGTGATGAATTAGCCATTTCAAAGACTGATCGTGCTCCTCCCGAAATTTGTTTATGAAACATCACGTATGTGTATTTTGCTAACTGGCCCATATACTGCAAAAGGAGCTGTGAATCAGAAGAACATTCCCGCCTATTCTGAATTTATGGCAAATCGTAATAATCTGGCCCATATCTGTTCAGCCATGCCATACCCACGCCACATGTGCGCATTTGGCTCAAATGTTCTTGCTATTTGGGAACTTTTCTCTAGTTTGGGCATCTCTTGTTTAAACAGTTTTTACTTATGCATTGGTTTACTTTATGTACACACACACACACACACACACACACACACACACACACACACACACACACACACACACACACACACACACACACATAGTGAGATAGATTTATAGATATATTTATAGATAATGCATTTTAATTGTCAGTTTGATTATGCTTATGTATTATATTAGTATACACAGTAAATAGTATAACTAAATATTCTAATAACAAAATAGCTTATTACAATAGTGCTTAAAAAGTATAATATTGTAGCTTAAATGTGAACATATTAAAGAAATATTTAAAAGATTTCTATAACATTTATAATAGTTTTTAGCTTATTTTTAGCTCATCAAAGTCAGCTTTATTGTCAATTCAACCACATGTACAGGACATATAGAGAATTGAAATTACATTACTCTCAGACCCTAGGTGCCTAACATAATAATATTAATCCAAAAGGTAGAGTTTTAAGAAAGAATTTACAATAAATACAACTATACATCAAATGTAATCTAAAAATATATATCCAACTTAATCTAAAAGTCTAAAAATATACATAAAACGTAGTCTAATATATGTAAAGAATAACAATTTGTGAACAATACAATTAGATTATAGGCATATGGCAGTGAGTGCAAACCAGAGTTGTGCAGGTATGCAAAAAGGCTTGTAAACATGACAATTATGATACAGTGACAGTGTCATAACAAGTCCTTTAAAACAGAGTGAGTGTTTTAATTTATTAAGTTATTTTTAGGCTGGAGAAAATGAGCGCGCCTTTATTTTAAATCTACGGTGACGTGCTGCGCCTTCTGGTTCTCCCTCCGCCTTCTCGCCGCCCTTTTGTTGTTATGACTACGAGGTCGTAAATCCGCCATGTTTTCCCTGCTGTAGCGTTGCGACAGAGACGGAGGCTTGGAACGACATGACTGAAGAAAATAATAATACGGCAGCAACAGTTACCGACCAAACGGAGCATAGCAACATCATCACCATCCAGACCACACTCGGGGACGAAGGTAGAAAACCGGGAGACGCGACACAGTCACGCGGGAAAAACGCGATTTAATGCACGGGCCCGTTTATTTGGCTCGCTAGCAGAGGCTCCATTAGCTGCAGTGTGTTTTGGCTGTTTAGCATGTTTAGGCTGCTAATGCTGCTTTAGCATCTGTCTGTACTCTGTACTGGATGAAGACCTGACAGACCAAACATGTTCTTCTTTCATGAGACTGCTTGATATTATGAAGAAAGATATCACGATATGAGTGTTGGGATTGGGTAGATTTTAATGAAAAATCAAATCACAACTCTTCAAACTCACTATGGTCATTTACACAACAGCATATCAGCTCCTATTATGTGTTTAGTTTAAGATTACACTATTATTTTAAGATCCCGTGTGAGAAATTACATTTTGAACTTTGATTTATATAGTCTAATTTTATTATTCATATTTCTTTTTTCTAGGAATAAGTTTTAGGGCTAGCATTTCCCAAATGCACTAATAAACACTATATTATTGTATTGTTTATTTAAAAAAAAGTTTAATATTACAAATCTGTTTGTTTCCTAATAACCATAAATGCACCATGATCACTTTTCTGAAAGCTCATGACTGAAATAATGATGCTAAACTTGCAGCGTTGAATCACAGAATTAAATTACATGTAAAAATAAAATATTAAATGCACAACAGTTATTTTAAATTGTAATGGAATATTTCATATTGCTACTGTTTTTTTGTTTTCCATCAAATTTCTTCTTTTATTTTGTATTTTTCCAACACAGATAAACATGCCGTAAACCAGTGCTTCTCAAACTTTTTTCACCAAGTACCACCTCATAAAAGTACCACCATAATGAGCAGTATTGAAATACAGTAGCATTGCATGCCTAATTAAGCAGCTACAGCTCTGCACAGTTAAAAAAAACAAACAAGCAGATTAATTACTATTATTGAGAATATTTATTATTGCCAGCCACTTTAAACATTATAAATAGTTTGAACATTAACACTGTGCTTACATGTAAAAAAAAAGTTTAAATTAAATGTGCTTCTAAAAGTTAAATAAAAATGGCACTATTCTTAAAAAGTAAAAAGAAAACTGCTGTATATAAATGTAAAGTATTATCATATAGTAGCCTTTTCATCAAAACCTAGAAATGTTACTTAAACATCATAAATATAAGCTATATGTCATATTCACATTAAAACTCATTAATACATTTTGAAATAGATGTTGCATGTATATATGACTTATTTGCATAACTATGACATCTAAAAATTAACGTGTATTTTGAATATGATTTTGAATAACATATTTAAATTAGAAGTTAGATCTGCTTACTGCACGTTAGAGTAGGCTTTGGGTGTCAGAAAAGCAAGTCATTAAACCATACCTGTCAACACTTGGATTTAAAAATACAATCACTTACCCTTACAGTAATCTATGCTATACCTTGCTGCTCGTGCCATATATTACTTATTACGGGTTTTAGTGTGTGGAAGTCTGTGCATTATGTTTTATGATGTGCAATAATCTACTAGGTGCAATATTTGTACGTTTTTTTTACTGGGTCTTAAATATTTTTAGTGCAATATCATTGTTTTTTAAATGAGTGCTGAATCACTTTACTACTGAAATATTTTTTGTGGAATATTATTGGTTTTGGTTAATATTATCTTCATTACTTGATATATGACTTAATAGTATTAGTTACCACTGATTCTTTTAAGTGTAATATCTTATATAATAGTTTGTATGCTTATGTATTGTGGCTGTTTCCTTTTATAGATTGGTTGGATTTATGTGACTTATTTCACTTATTTAATTTATTTATTTTGTCTTGTGGTTTTGTGTTTCTGTGTTTTGTGTGTTATGGCAGTCATTACATAAGCAATTTCCTGCGGGATAAATAAAGTTTTCTAAGTCTAAGTCTAAGTCTAAGTACAGGATACCCCCCAACAACCGTTACAAATACGGGGAGGAAATTAGCTTCAAATGATAGAATATATAACAAACATTAGAAAATTGAAAATAAAATAAAAGATATAGCCTATTAAAATCAGTTTACTGATCACATCAGTGTTATCGTACGCGTCAAAGGGTAAAAGTGTTTATTTTTTTACTTTAATTATTCATAGATTCCTCTGCTTACCTCTAGAAGGAAGCCTGCGTACCACTAGTAGTACACGTACCACACTTTGAAAACCACTGCCATAGACAACCAGCATATAGGAAAGTAAATAGATATACATGTAATAACCAATATAAAGGTTGTTAAATACTACTATTAATAATAGTGCTGAAGTGAACTAAAGAGTAATGACAAGGACATACTAAAACAATTAATTTCCAAACCAAAAAAAGGCAATAAGCCAAATCTGTATTTAGGGTTAAGTAAAGGTAAAATTAAGCCAGTTAAAAATAAATAAATAGAGGAATGTTAATAGACAAATAGAAATAGGTATTCAAAACCGTGCTGAAAGAGGTCTACGACAGGGAAGAAAAGTTATTGGAAGCCCAAACAGTGAACCTTAAATTACTATAAAAAGGGAAAAAATATTAAATTAATAAAGAAGGAAAATAAATAAATTTTTAAAAAGTAAAAAAATATTACTACTGTTTTAAGTGATTCAGCACATGGTTTCTTAGTGTAAAGTATAATGGCTTGCATTTTAGGTGCTCTCAATACACAATTAATATTTCTTATTTTAAAAGACTACATAATTATTCTATGGATAGCGTTTTATGCATCTTATGCACAAATGATACATAGTGTGTTTTACTTTTAATATTGAACTAAAAGTATCATAGATATTTAAATTAGATGTCGCCTACGGTATTGTTGTCTATTAGAAGGAGCGCGTCAATAAAGCTGCCATTTTAGTACAGGGTAGCGCTGCTTTGAAATTAATGCAGGACCAAGGTGCAGTGGAGGACTGCGGCCATTCAGAGAAAGAGATTTATACACATATATTTATGATCGGAAGTTTTCCCGTTGGTCAGTAACTCGGTATGCAAATATTTTTCACGAAATCACGAAAATTATCATTTTAACTTTACTTTTCTTCATTGATGAATACGTGACCGCATGGGTATGACAAAGAGCGTGTGTTTGTGTGCATATAAATATATTATCCTCCCTATCTGTTAAATCTAATAGCTAAAGTCCCGCACACTGTCTTCTTGACTAGTGTGGTCGAATGACATATGTCCCGGGAGCACTGTACAAATGTGGCGGCGCAATTGACACATGCTCAGGGTCTGAATTCGATATCTAGTGTGTAGGTCTATGAAAGTTGTATAAATCTATTTATATTTATAAAATACTTCATTATGTGCAGTATTACAGAGATCAACGCTAAGGATTTTTTCTACTGGCCCGATTGGGCCAGCAGTAAAGATTTTTACTTGCCCTGCCAATATTTTCACTGGCCCCACCAAAATAAATAAATTTATTAAAAATAGGAAAAAGTTAATAGCTATTTCTTAGCCACATTCAAAATATTGTGTCAAAAATGTTTTGAATTAGAATTTTAAAAAATGTTAATAAATGTATATGAGCAAACCGTTGCGTTGTACCCACGTGAATGTCTGCTTCCAAGACCTCCTTTTAGCCTCATAATTTGATGTTGACGTCACTTCGCTCTACTGGTTTTTTCCAAGTTACAAAAAAACAAAATGCTCACAACATCCAATCAGATAAGAGGAACCAAAACGGTTTCTTGATTCTAAGACTGTATTCATACACAATTGACAAATAGTCACAAGCAAATTGAACTTTTGTGACAAGGCAGCACAGATCGGGCCAGTGACAATCCTGTCTACTGTCCCGAGTGCCTGGCATGCTGGCCCAGGGCCCTCGGGCAGTCCTTATTGTTGAGCCCTGTATTATTTTCTAAATATATGATCTGTTGAAGTTAGGTCAATATTTTTGTGTTCCCTTTCAGATGAGGATATTCATAAATGTGGCAAATGTCTGGCCGAGTTCTCTGCCCTGGATGCTTTCATCCAACATAAACTCAGCCGCAGCTGCAAGCGTATTCAGGACCCTCAGGTTTGTTTGTTACTATTATAATTTCTCATGTAGGGGATACTTTCATTATATGATGACTTGAGTGTATACTACTAGTGAAGTGAGTTGTGTTTTCTAGCAAGGCTTTTTTTTCCATAAACACCCAAAATGCTTGATTAGATTAGATTCGATTCAACTATTGTCATTACACATTTGTTACAAAACAACGAAATGCAGTTTAGGTCTAACCAGGAGTGCAATAGCACCAAATGCAGGATAAAGGTATAAGTTATAAAGTGCAATTATAGAAAACTATTGTGATAATTATATATGCATGTACTATAAACAATTATATACAGGTTGTATTAACAATAGATGAATATACTGTACAGGTTGCTATTAATTAGAAGTATGTAGATAGATATGAACATAATTACAGCCGTATGTACAGTGGGTATGTATAATTCAGAAATGAATTAGTGTAATGAATGTGTGATAATTAATAAATTGTATAGTTTTTTTAAGGTTAAATTCAAAACAACCTAGCATAAATATTTTTATCCATAACAAAAGTATATGAGATGTCCCATTTTTAGTATCTACATTTTAAAGTGTTTTTATATGCGCAAGAAATAATAATAATTATTATTATTTCTATTTTGCAAGGACAATGCAGTATAACATTGCTACAGTTTAAATCAGCCAATGCTTCACATATAGGCTTCTAGCTAATGGCTAATTTGCAGCCTTAGTCTCTTGTTCGGCTTTGTAAACACTAATACAGTACAAATAACTTTATAATATACAAAAAAAGATATATTATCATATTAACATATTAAATTGTCTGTTTTAAATAACATTTGTGAAAGTAAAATAATGTTCGATTCCATCATCACTCTAATAAAATGTATTTAATAAAATTTAGATCACATACTTATTCTGAGCTTTATAAAATGTGCCAAAGAATCAGTGATTGTATTTAAGGATGCTCAGTTTGGTTAATTTTGCCAACTGACAACTGCCGCCTGTTAACCGAATATTAATGGTTAACTTGTCAGATTAATATTATTATTTAATTTTAAAAAAAGGCCTGTCAATTTTGTGTCTGACACATTAAATATTGCATTTTAAAATACTGATTTAGTTTAACACGTGAACAAAAGCATACAGAACATCAGAACAACAGCACATCTTCAAGCACCTGCAGCGTTTCCAACAGCTTGGAAAAACAGAATAAACTAAATGAAAAGAAAAAAAAATGGTCCTGCCCTAGATATTTTTCATTTAAATGACAAGTTTACTTTACAAAACGAAAACACTGACTAAATCCTTTTTAAGAACCGGCATATACTGTTTGTCGAATTCTTTTTTTTACCATTAAATAAAAGTAGCAGGCTACCTCAAATTGATCGCTCCATGGTAAATATGCATTTAAATCAATGGAAACTCCACTTCTGCTTTTATTTGATTAAAGAATGAAAAAGGTGCGACTGACGTAACGCGCTTTTTCCGCTCAGAGTTGAGTTTTTTTAACTGCGAGCACACTGCGTGCAACGACAAAAACGTAAGGCATGCAGGCCGTTAGTAAACCATTCAAAAGATTCCCCTCTCAACAAAAAACGTGTTCGTTGTGATCGGCCCCTTATGCAGCCAAACTTTAAAAATATATATAATAATATATTTTAATTAATTAACTGATACTACTACTGATACTATTACTATTATGATATTATTAACGTAATCTTTCGGTTATTGGTTAATCGGTTATTATGAGCATCCCTAATTTTATTATATTTTCTTTAATATTTTAAATGATTAAAAGTGTCTTAAAAGTAAACACTTGTTATTTGAAGGATAGTAGTAAAGTATAAAGATTTAAAATGACAATTGAGTGTTCTGGTCTGCACTTTAATAACAAAGTCTATTAATATTTCATCAAATAATTAGTTTGAAATATGCCTGACAAGATCATTTTTTAAAAACTTTCTATTCATTCTGAACAAATCCACAAAAAGATTAATCAGCTTAACTGTTTTCAACTGTAACAATGAGAAATATTTTTGAGGAGCAAATCAGCATATTTGAAAGCTTAGCTTTAAATTTTACTCTTTTTATATATATATATATATATATAAATATATATATATGGATATTTATGGATATTCATGTTTGCACTCATTTGCCATAATGTAAATACTGTGACTATTACATTTAGTATATTTTTATCTTACATCTTATATTTTTAGTATTATGTCTATTGTTGGTTTTTATGTGACTTATTACATTTAGTATACTTTATCTTGCCTCTTATATTTTAGTATTATGTCTATTGTTTGTTTTTCTCTCTTTTTATGTTGCTGCTGGTCTCTGTGAGTTACCAAACAAATTTCGTTGTACAACTACAATGACAATAAAGTTCTTTACTTATATATATATATACATATATATATAAAATAAATGAAACCTCCTTCATCTGACAGACCCCAAACCTTTAAACAGTCATGCAAAACTGATTTGCCAATGCTGATGTTTCTGTCTCGTCCCTTAGACTAATGTCGTCCCGAATGAAGGTGTCTCCGTTGAGGTGAGATCAAGTGAAAATGAATGTTCATCTGATGAAACGGCAACTGCCAACGGAGGTACTTCAGTATTACAGTATTGCTATCAAAGTCATTTAAATATCTCTGTTATTGATATTCCGAGGACTACAATAGTCAACATTAGAAGTGGAACAAGACCTTTCATCAAAGACCTTTCATCAAAGTTGTCCTAAAACTATTGAAACCCACCCATTCTTGTTTTAGGACAATTACGAAAAGCATTTGATCCAATTTAAATGTTGACTACTGTATATGTTGCAGTTATAATAGACCTTTTTCTTTGTCTTAACATCGTTATGTTATGTTATGTTATGTTATGTTATGTTATGTTATGTTATGAAGTGAGTTTGCAGTAAAAATGTTACTATATGTGATATTTTCAAGTGCAGCATTTACTACACTGAGATTTAGCTCATTGAAAAGCGATGCAAACAGCTGCCATTATCACACAACCATTATCTCAATGTCATTATCATGTGATTAAATCAATCTTTGCATAGCTTATCAGTGTATTATAGGTTTGTGTAGTAAATGTTGCTCCATCTGAAAGCATGTGCTGGAGGTTTATTAGAACCGGCTTTACATTACAATTGCTGTCGATTATTGCCCAGGCTTACAGTATAAATACGCTTATGCATTTAATAGAATGCAAAACAAGACAACATAAAACAGAGCAGCAGCTTTTACTTCTACTCTGGCAAGAATACATTGTGCTTTTCTAAAAAAAATTACCTTCACTGCAATTTTTGAAGGATTGCCATGGTGGCTCAGTGGTTAGCACTGTTGCCTTTTAGTTTGCATCTCAAATGGCCTGCGCATTTTACACGTCATAATGTTTTAAGAACTTAAAACAGAGATTAGATGGTCTTTTGTGCCTGTTTGAGCACATTCCAAATATTTAAACTATAAAATCTACTTGGTTGAATGCATTTTCAACTACCTCTATAAGTGGAAAAGCTTTAAACATTTAGCCGCTGTTATAGCCTGTATGTAATGCTATGTAGACTGTAGATCAGCAAAAATACCAGATGCAAACAAGGCCAAAAAATGATCCGCTCACCATAGTTATATACAGTATCAACTCTTCAAGGAGATCAGCTTATTTTATTTTTAACATGATTCACCGATCCATTTTTTTTAACTCTCTTTATTCCTTTAGAGAAGCAACATGCAAAGGTGGCATCTGGAGACAAAAAGAGAAGCCGCTCTACAAGCGAGGATGAAAGTTCCAGTCCTTCAAAAGTGGTTTGGAAGCTAAACACAGAAGGGCGATATGTCTGTGATATATGTGCAAAGACCTTTAAAACGGTACGATATTAAATCTTTTGGAAATAAGGAAAGGAAATAAGCACACAAAACTCACTTTGTCTGTAAAACTGATCTGTTTATAGACAAATATTCTGAGAACCCACATGTTCACGCACAGCGATCAGAAGAACTTTGTGTGTGAAATGTGCGAAACAGCGTTCAGGACCAAGGGCTCGTTAATCAGACACAAACGTCGACACACGGGTATGTCTAAGCTCTGTGAGACTGTGTCATTATACTGGACTGTCTACTGGGTAGGGATGGCTATTTGGTGTTTTTATTAAACATACAAAAACTGGCAGACTGTCACTATTGTGCCGATTTTCTTTGTTCATTATTTGTTTAATATGATAATGCAGCAGCTTTATTATGTACACACACTTTCAACCAATTGGGTTTTTATCAAGTTTGGTGTATTTCTTTGTCAGACGAGCGTCCGTACCGCTGCAATCAGTGTGGACTTGCGTTCAGAGAGTCTGGTGCTCTAACTAGGCATCTGAAGTCTCTCACGCCTTGTACTGAGAAGATTCGCTACAGTCAGTGTAAAGAAATACTTGTCAGCAAGGATGGGATTCGAAAAGGTAATTCACATCCCAACATGGCTTTCTTGAACAACCCTTATTGGGTATAAATATATTTTAGGTTTGTGCGATATTGACAAAAACACCCAAGTATATTAGTTGAGCGTGCTTTTGTTCTGATTTATGTAACAATTTACAGGTATAAAAAGCAAAGCTCATATGTGACCCTCGACCACAAATCAAGTCTCACGTTGCAAATGTACATTTTTGACAACATATGGAAATTCACTGTATGCGTCACAATTATAGTTTTTTTTTTACTTTTATGCCAAAGTCATTAGAATACTAAGTGAAGACCATGCTCCATGAAGATATTTTGTATATTTCCTAGTGTAAATTTGTCAAAACACTTAATTTAGATGACCTTAATGAACATTTTCTCAGTATTTATATATATTTTTTTAACCCTCAGATACTCGGATGTGCAAATAGTTTTTTATCTCAGCTAAATATTGTCTTATTCTTACTGTAAGGTCCAGCCAGTTAGTACAATACTGTACAATACTGTCTACTAGTGGATGAAGATTCACTGCGTGTTTGATCTTTCCAGTGCACAATGTTGATTTACTTTAAACTTGACTCATATCTGACTCCAATTTAGTATGAGGTGGTTTAGAGTAATAATATATTTATCCTCGTTTTATCTGACTCCATTTAAAAAACATTAATAAGGTTATTTCATTTCCTTTTGCATTACTCTAGATTATGTTTGAATATTCTCTTAGATTCATTATTGTATGTTATTCTTGTTCATTCGGATTTCTATAGCATCCTTAGTCTTGTACCGGCTGAGTATACAATCTCTTAAACACAAGCATGTCAGTCTTGGTCACTAAACAGTGCAATTAACTGCTGTCCTTAAAGGCAGAGCCCTACTTACTCAGATTAGGATATTTTTTATGCGGTTCCCATAGATCTGTTATCTACTAAATCAAACAGAGCTATTCAGTCATATTATGATCATTACTATAAAATTAAGCAGACCAATCTTACTTTAACTATTAATAACTTTGAGTAATTACTATACAATCCAAATAGTATTATAAGTTTAGAGATGGAGGTCTATCCCCTTAGATAACCTTTTACAGTATAAGTATACATGAATTAATGCCAATGTGTTAGTCGGAGCTCTAAGAACATCATATAGCGTGCCACGCTGCTCCGTCTACCGTGTTTTAGTCCGTTACTAACCTGTACAGTGGCTTGTGGTTTTATGGACGTAATCTACTAGAGATAATAACACGAACTCTGTTTGAATAATTCAAACCATAACAATTTGTTAGCCAGGTAAATGTATATTATGCTAATTTGTTCAGTCAATTCATAAACGATCAATACAAGATATTAAATTCTCAAAGATAAATCCAAGATTAAAAGATGCATACCTGACTTCAAAATATACATAACATGGAACATAAAGTTCCACGCCATGGGCTGATCTAGATAACTGAATCGCGCCAAACATTTAGAAACTTTAACTTAAGTAGTCAATCCAATAATCTCCTTGAGGAAAGGGGTGTGAATAACAAAAGGCAACTGCATTTAGTGAAAGAGTTTCTGCCTATAGGAAAGGCACACCCTTCACAGTGGTTTTGAGGGAATGAGACCATTGTACGAGTCGCACTGAGACATTTCAAATGATATCAAACATGATAGATAAAGTGACTTGGATTAATATAGAACATTCATATTTTGTAATGACCTTTCTGTGTGAGTAGAGTGAAAGGGACTGAGTGACCAAAGAGTGTTTCAGGAGATGTTTCAACTGTAAACGGAAGAAAGGAGGGGAGCTAGTTTTTGAGCATTCCTACCTGCTGTGTTGTGAGCCGATTATCTCTGTTTTCAACTCATGTTTGAATTTTCAAAGACATCAAAATATTTGTGGTATCTAAGTCTTACACTAACAAACTATATTTCAGATGAGTTATATATACAAAATACACTTATGACTGGTTTTGTGGTCCGGGGTCACTTATTGAGATATGATTTATAAGGTCCCTCTAAATGCATTCTAGGCTTCGTTATGCAATCAATTGTAGACCATTAAGAGGTGTTTTCGATTTTTGTTTTTTTTTGGTGGCATACTGACAACAATGTAAGCTTGCACATTGGAAACGACAATTATGATATATAATTAAACTCTAAATACCACCTAGTAAGATGCCATTCATTTTTAAAAATCTTTAATAAGCTTAAAATCACTATGCATATTAGGTCTGGGATAATAGTTCCAGTTTTGTGAGTCATGATTATTTCTTTTCGATTTTTGGAATACATTGCAGTTCTCAATTTTGAACAACAGATGGCACTCAAGTTTAAGTTTTAACAGTAGATGGCGCTCTAGGCTAATTTTTAACATCAAATGGTGCTTTAGGCTAGTTTTTAATCAAACACTCTTAAGGCAGGTACACACACAAGCCGATGCTAAACATCTAGGGTCAAAGAAAACAAACTATTTTGTTGCCTCGCGTTAGCTCACATTTACTCTTATTTGGACTAAAAAGCTAAGCGTGAACACACCAAACGGAAGACAGTCAACTGACTCTAAAGCTGCATTCTACCAATGGTTGGGAGGACGTCGCTTTCCCCACTCGCGAGGCACGGTATCTGTTTTGTCATTCGCAACCAGAGACATAACCAAACCTAAACATAGCAATGTTTAGTATAACTATCACATATATTGTCACTGACCACCGAGGGATTCGATCCTGCAGATATGTCTGATAATCTAGTAAACCATATTGTTTGCAAATATTTGAGAAGTGCAGAAAAATTACAGACGATTTCCTTCTTGATTACTTGCTACGTCACTTCACTACGTCACACTTGCACTCTTATTCATTTCTGAATAATACGTCATAACTCTCTCTTTAGCTGGTGCTGATTTGACATGCTGAATCGGGTCAATGAGCTCTGACTTTAATCTGATGAGAGCCAACATGAGACACACCAAACCAACTAGCCAGACCGACGCTGATCGACAAAGCCAAACATCCGACTGTCAACTTGGTGTGTCCTAGCCCTTAGCGAGTGTAAAGAAATTGTCGGCAGATGAACAAGAATTTTCATTGTATGCCAAGATTACCTTTGTTGTTGATCAACATTTTAAGGAAATTTCCTTTAAATTTCTTTCCAAGCTCACTATTGGGTATTGTTGCAGAAGTTCAACCATCGTCTCCTGAACCTGAGAAGGATCAGATTCCTGTTGTGAGAGTGGTGGAAGCTGGTCAGGAGATCATCCAGATCGAGGTGGTAGAAGAAGTGCAACAGGTCAGAATGAAACCTGTAGACTTGTATGAATTACAAACATTTCTGATTCACAAATCTCGAATTGATCTTCAACCATTTCAAAAAACTATTTAGACTAATAACTTGCATTTCTTTGGGGACTGAATTTGGCATATTTGGATGTGTTTAAGCAGGTCTTTTTTTTCTTTTTGGTCCGATTTTGTTTTACCTTTGCATTTTCATAAAAAAAAGAAAAATTAATATATATGTGTATATATAATATATTTAAGCATATTTATAATTTTAATATGTATAATTTTAAGTTGTTATTAAGCATTATTGTTTTAGTTTTTGGATCATTTCTTTACATTTTCGGGCCAAAATTTGTAAAAGATTATTTTTTTTAATGAATGTATTATAAAATAAATTATAACACATCAGATGATTAATTTTGTAAACATTCATTAAAATATTAGATATCTGTTGCATCCATTGCAAACTTTTACATTATGAAGATGATTTAAGTAGCCATGCTGTGTCTTTAACAAAACATCTTTCAAGGAACTTGCTTATAATATTTAAAGGACATTTCCAGATGTTTGAAAAGTACACAGACAGTTTAAAGAGCCCATATTATACATGAAATAGGGTCATATCTTGGTTGTAAGGGTCTCCAACAACAGTCTAATATGCATGCAAGGTCAAAAAACACTTTCATGGTCTTATAATCTGCATTTATTTTTACCTAATTATCCCAGCGACTCCCGTATGAATCGTCCAGTGATTCATTTGTTCCCAAACCCCTTCTTAGCGCGAAGCTAATCTGCGCTGATCGGACCAATGACAGCCTGTTGCGATTGGTCGACTGCCTTCAGTCAGAGTGAAAAGCCAAACAGCTAATCAGCAATATAAAAGTAATCACAGTTCATACACGCTCGATAGTGTAGGCGTGGATTTTAGCTGCCAGTGGGTCAATGTAAATACAGATGATGGACTTGAAAATACAGACGACTTACTATTTTATTGAGCAAAAACTCCAAAAACTGTCGAGGAGATCACATAGCTTTATTCACTCTGCTCTTTCAACAGACACAGACACACACACACACACACACATTGCCCTCGTCCTTGCGCGCACGCGCACACACACACACCTCCGGACGACAACGCGCGCACGCACACACACACAAGCACACACACATACCTCCGGACCGGATGACAGCGCACGCGCACACACACTACCCTCGTCCACGGAGCTTCGTAAACCAAGCAGCACGCGTCACGTTTTTAACGTGACTTAGCACGTGATAACAGAATATAGCCAGTTAACCTGATACAGTACACGCGGTTACAAGTAACACATCACAACTAAATACATTTGCAAGCTAGAGTCAACGAGGCAACAACTTTAACCGCACGTACTTACACTTGAGAAAGGTAGGAAGAAACCCATCCTGACGTCCAGCAGTAAGTTACTCTTTACTGATCCTTGAGCCTTTGTAGCATGTAGCTTCCAGAAGTTTCCAACTGCTTGGTTATAATGTTGATGTTTCATCTTTGGGTAGAGACTCAATATATCCATCTGCAGTGTGACTTCAATCGACCGGCATGTTTGTGTGCGTGTGTTTGTGGGTTTGTGTGTGTGTGTGTGTGTGTGTGTGTGTGTGTGTGTGTGTGTGTGTGTGTGTGTGTGTGTGTGTGTGTGTGTGTGTGTGTGTGTGTGTGTGTGTGTGTGTGTGTGTGTGTGTGTGTGTGTGTGTGTGTGTGTGTGTGTCTGGGTTTCTGCGTCAGAGGGCGGGGCCTCAGGTTTGAAATCTCCCGGGTTTGCGCGTGCACGTGAATAACTTGGTTTCGTTCGTACGTCATGGCGAAACACCTAATGACTCGGTATTAAGTCGACTCGTTTGAAGCACTATGAGTCGACTATTTTTTAGATGAATCAACCGTTTTAAACACTGTACTCTTACAGATTTAAGCCTTAGCTGGATACTTCACTTCACTTAGAGCTGTGTTACACACTACATGGAGGGGAATTTTCAAAAACCCATAATATGGGCTCTTTAAACACAAGTTGTAGCTAGATTCTGCACTAGTCTTATGAGGTTTTTCCATTTGTAACAGGTTGTGTCTCAGCCTCAAACTGCAACTGTGGTTGAAGCGGACAATCTGATTTGCCAGGCCATCATCAACTCTGGCATCGCTTTAGAGACCGAAGCCACGGAGGCAGCAGAGCAGGCAGAGGCCCAGTCACCTAAAGCAGTACTGGAGGCCCCTGAGACTGAAACCAGAATCACTGAGATCCAGGTGACAGAAGAGTGTGTCGAAACCCTAGCTGAAGAAACGCAGGTGAGTTTCACCAAGTGTAGACTTAAATGTTCATATAAGACTGTTTACTTTACTAGAGCATATTGGTATTCTTTTGGTGAACAGTTACTCGGTGCAATTTAATCCACTGAAAAGAGATCAATCAAAGTCTAAACTATTTGCTTCTGCATTTGCTACCTTCTCCATTAATGTCATTTTGATGGCTTCAGCAACAATATCCTTAACCATGCCTCTCTTACTGTTAGTTTCCTATGAGGGAATGCCAAAAGAAGCCCCCTACAAAATCTTTTGTTTAGTTTCAGCAGAAAGTACATCAACATACTGAAATAAAAGTCTCAGCAACTTCTGGTTGACACAGATGTTAAACTAGGGATGCCAGTGATTATTCAACATTGAATAATTGTTGATAATCTTTTAAGTTGACTTGATTAGTATATCATAATAAAGCTGAATCTGAGTCTGAGTCATCAAACTCAACTGATACACATTTAGCTTATGAACATATTAGGGTTTATACACATTTTTACTACTAAAATTCCAGGATTTTTCCATGACTTTTCTAAAACGTTCAGGTAGATATTCATGACCTAATGTTTCTTACAATGTCCATGTCCATGTGGTAAATAATAAAAATGTACATTGAGAAAATATATATAAATTTCTAATTTATTACAGCATATCTAAAACATGTGACAATCTATATAGTCTATGTTTATTGTTATATCTGTAAAATCATTCAGAACGCAGATAGAACCTTATAATTCGAAGGTGACGATTTGTTAAACAAATGTCCATGACTTTTCCAAAACATTTAAGGTTTATTTGTTATTCCAAAACTTTTCCATGACTTTGCAGTATGAACCCTGACATATATAATATAAAGACATTTTATCCTTTTGAGGCACACAAAGACAGATGAAGTTAGTTTATAATTAAATGACCTTAACAATTTAGCATACTTTAGATTTTACTTAATGTGCACAGTATTACGCCCAAAGTCTAGGGGAAACAACATGGGCATAATAAACGAAGAAAAACAAATGTGTTGGAGTGGTGGATTTCCCAAACAAAACAAAAACCTAATGCATAAAAAAAGACTTCCTTCGGTCGACATCCAAACTCAGAAACTCAGTCGAGAGCATATATGAATAGATTTATTATAGAAAAATGTGGTTAATATAAATGAGCATCTCTTCAGGGTGACCACAGGCCAAAATAATAAACAAAAGAATCTATAAAGTAAATGCTCTAAATTACCTATTACTATTTAAAGATAAATACAAAAAAAAGCTTACCTTACTCCCTAAACATAAACATAGTCAAAAGAAATCAAATAAATAGGCAGGCCACCCCTACACGCTCAAACTCTCAAAATACTGTAACGTATGATGAACATTAGTACAAAATTGGTTTTTGGTCATCGGCCGGAGGGGTGAGGGAAACCCAGGAGCTCCACTCCAAACACCGAACGCAGCAGAAATGAGCTCCCCGAACTCTGCCGGAAGCTCCTTTTTATACATGCCTCCTTGACCAGCAGCCAATCAGAACTCAAGATATGCCGGTATGGGAGCCTATGAGACAACAGAAAAACAACAAGAAGGCGGGACAAAGAAAAAGACAGAATACAATTCGCAATAATAAATAAATAAATAAACTTCAGTCGTAACAACAGATTTGTAAGCACATTTAAGAAGAATACAACACACACTAACAACTATTTGCCCAAATGGGCACAAACGTACACCAGTTGAAAGTGTGTGCATCTAGTGTCATTTATCAACCTTTAAAACCTTTTTTGGTGAGTGAGCATGCCTGCATTATGAGTGATAATGTGCAACTGAAGTAGATGTTAAGCTTAATAAATTAAAAAATAAATGAATTGTTACATGTCAGTGTTGATCATGGGAATTTACTTTAACCCTTTTCTTATCCATTATAGGATTCATCGGTGAAGGAAGTAGAACCTGTCCAGTCAAAGTTATACAAATGTCCCCACTGTGAGCGAATGTTCAAGACATTGAACTACCTGAGGGTCCATGTCAAAGGGCATGTTGGTAGGCCTCGTTCATGAGTTGATTTCTAACAGCACTTTGTGTTAGAAATTGCGCTATGTCTGATTATTTTTTCCCCTTCAAAGGTTACAAGCCGTTTAAGTGTTTAACATGTCAGAAAGAGTTCCTGACAGGCTATGTGTTGAAGAAACACATGGAGACACACGTCAGTGAGCGCCGTTACAAATGTGGAGAGTGCGGCAAGCAGTTTAAAGCCATCGGACATGTGCGCGAACACATGAGAGCGCATTCAGACGAGAGGCCGTACCACTGCAGCTTCTGTGACAAGAGCTACAAGACCAAGGTGAGGTTAATATGCTGAAACTGTCCAAAGGTTTATATGTTATTATCTTAAAATCATTTCTGTCCTGTTTCAGAATGCTCTTCAAGTCCACCATCGCACTCATGCAGATGATAAGCCGTACGTGTGTCAACACTGCTCCCGTGGCTTCAGGGAAAAGAGCGCTTTAGTGCGTCACATCCGACATCATACTGGAGAAAAGCCATTCAAGTGCTCGAAATGTGGACGGGGCTTCGCTGAGCATGGAACTCTGAACCGCCATCTGCGAGCTAAAGGTCTGTCAGTGTGAATTAATCGAATTATACTCGCATTCATTAAAGCACATCAGTACTAAAAAGCATGTATTAGGCTGTCTGGCATATTAAGATTAAGGGTGTGCAAGAGTTTTGAATGTGAGTGCGTTTTAAAAGTTTTAAAGGGATTTATTGGTTGGCTCATATGTTCAAAGCCGACCCAATTACAATTTGAACAAGTAACTGTTTTTATTATCAGTACTTCCAGGGCTTTGTAAGTCCAATGGTTCTTTAGATTTGCTGTTTACAAGAATTGAAGCAGGGTGTCTGCGGGGTCTTAAAAATATTAAAAGTTAATAAATCAATGTAGAGAGATTTAGGGCTCTTAAATAGTAGTAAATCAAAGTCCCTTTAAGACAAGTCATTTCACTTGGCGGCAATTCTGTTTGAATGGGGAAACATCAAATTCTCTAAAACTACTTGCCAAGCTTACAATTACATTTTATATGATTAATAACCAATACAGTTAAACAACAACTGTCTCTTTAATTTAATTTCTACATCACACAAAATCTGCAGAAACTCATATATGGTCTGAGCCCCCCCCCCCCAAAAGAATTATCATTCCTAGATAATGAAGGACACAACCGGTGGATCCTTCACGGCCTCGAACGTCCCAAGAATCATTGCGCGCTGATAACGGCAGGACGCTATTAAAAGAAAACTCCAGTTTAAATGTATGAATTCCGTTTATTTTACTTGGATATCTAAACACGTTAAAAAATAAATGAATAAATAAAACATAAACAAAGACTTTGGCATGTCTTACTAAAGAGATATAGACAGATTATAGATTATAGACAGTTTATGTGTACATGTATGGATCAAAGGAAATAAATTTGCAGCTTTTATAAACCTTGTTTTGCTTTTAGATCGCTAGATAGATTTAGATAGATTATTTTAAAATAAGTTTTAAAATCACTTAAAAAAAAGTCATTACAAATTTTATCAGCGCTTATTAACAGCAGCTGTTTTGCTTGCCTGGTGACGAGATCCGTCCTCTGTAGGCTAAATTGTCTCATTTCAAAATGCTCGGTTCAGCCTGTATGGACTTCAAAGGACTTTGGAGGATGCAGCCTCTAAAATGAGACACAGCTATAGTTTTTGATTAAATGCTATTTTTGCAAGATATAAATTTGATAACATTTTTGATTAAACTTAAATTTGTGAATATTAGAATGCTGTGTAGTTTATAAAATCAATAAAATCCTGCTAGATTTTACATCATGCAGCAGGCGCCAACCTGCTGAATAAGCTAGATGTAATATATTTTTATTTAGTATATGAGAAATGTTTTAGTTTTGGATTAGTTTATACATTAATATTTAGTGTATACTGTAAGTTAAGTGTTTCCGGATGAAACCTAAAGTGGTTATAAGGTTACAATATGTATGGAAAGAGTCTTTAAAAAGGTCTTAAATGGTATTGAATTTTATTCTCTGATTCCTGTATATAATCTGTGAAGCAAGCAATGCCATAAAGTTTATAATAAATAGATTTTTAATTCATTGGTTACAGTGTATGCTATGAAACATGCAAATATTCTTCTCCTTTTTCTTGGCAAAATAAAAAATAAATATCCAATATTGCATCTAACATGTAGCTTGATATTCTTGTTTTTGTTGGTTGACCTGACACTTGAGAGATTTTACCTGATAAAAAAGTCAAACTGTTTTGCCATATGACAAAAAAACAACAACTAAAAAACATGTAGTAGATCATGTACAACAGGTTTTTTCTGCAAAGTTTTGATTATGTTGATGACAGTCAATAGTCAACCTATACTTTTCATTCCATCGTCATTCATACTTTAGCAAATTCAGGAGAACAGAAATGCAAACGTGCGCAAAGTATGTTCATATTTCACTGCATTCCAGATTTCACCCTCTGACCTGCAAATTTGTCTTTACATAAAGTTTAAAACTGTATTGCAGTAAATGGGATAAAATTGAGTATGAAAAAGGGGATTTTATGTCAGTCGGGGCTTTAGATTCATATTAAACATTGGATCATAGGTCTCAAACTGGATTACTGGAGGTCCGCAGCTCTTGCTCCAACCCTAATCAAGCACAGCTGATCCAACTAATCAAGGTGTTCAAGACTACTAGAGACTATTAACAGGTTCATACACATTTTTACTACTAAACTTGAATGACTTTTCCTTGATTTTTCCAAGACTTTCAAGTACATTTTCATGACCTAATGTTTCATGCAATGTCTACATATGCGTGATAAAAAAACAATGCATGTTCAAATTTATTACAGCTTATCATAAAACACACAACAATCTATTTAGTTTCAATTTATATTTATATTAATGTAAAATTGATTCAGATAATGCTTACACCGCACTAATAATGTGAGAGTATGTGATTGGCCAAGGACAGTATACAGATTTTTGTTTTCCATGACTTTTCCAAAACTTAATGGGTTTTTCTGTTTTTCCAAAACTTTGCCAGGCCTGAAAAATGCCATGTTAAAATTCCATGACTTTTCCAGGTTTTCCATGACCCTGTATTAAGCAGTTATGAGTTGGAGGTGGTTGGTGCTAAACTATGCAGAGCTGTAACCCTCCAGTTTGAGACCATTGCATTAGATGATGGAAAAAAAAGATTGAATTACTCCAGACTCCTTTAAGACCTTTATTTGTTAATAACTTTGTATTTGTGTCTTGTTCAGGAGGCTGTTTTGCACAGCTGAAGGACTGTGAACATGTGGTGAACTCTGAGGAGCAGGAAGTGACCACTGAGAGTGTCTCCACAACCATTGTATCAGACGACCCTCACGCTGTGCTGGTGGAGTTTTCCTCAGTCGTGGCTGACACTCAGGAGTATATCATCGGGGTAAATGCTGTGTGCTACTGTATGTTTTGTTAAAGGGATAGTGCAGCCAAAAATAAATTCTCCTTCATGTGCTTTTCAACATTTATGCATTTCTTATCTTGGACACAAAAGAAGATATTATAAAATGGCTGATTGATGGCGCCCATAAACTTCCACAGTAGGGTCATTTCAATGGGTGCTGTCAACCAACATTTTTCCAAATGCCTTCTTTTGTGTTCAACAGAAGAAAGAAGCTCAAATAGGTTTTGAACAGGTGAAGGGTGCTAATGATGACAAAGATATAATTTTTTAGGTGAACAATCACTTTAAATGGCAAGTAATATGTGCATATTACATATTAATAATAGTTATATCATTAAGTTTTTTTCATAGGAATTGTCAGTATCCGTAGAGCTGATATATTGCTGGTGTGAATGTAATGACAGGAAAATTAATACAAGAAAAATGTTCATTTATTTAAAATGGATAAAGATACATTTAACATATTTTTATAATAATGAATCAGACCAATTTTGTGTGTATTCTGTGGTCATTTGATTCAATTGTTGATTTCAACTGTTACGAACCCCATTTTTTTAAGGCTCGTCTAGGAAGCGGTTTGCAACATAAATATACCATTCTCTATTTATTTAGAGACCAAAAACGTGTCTATCAAAATAAAATGGCTACAAAAATATAAATAATTAATTTACCAATATTACTCAATCAAAATAATTAATTAAACAAACAAACATACAAAAATACATAGTTAAAACAAAGATCAACAAAAAATCGAATAAACAGCAACACCACCAGCATGGCTCCTTAACAGCGGCTGCACGAGATTTCTCAGACCGTCATCAGGACAATTAGATACATAAAGATTCTCAGCAAGTACGGGTCATGCTCTCAACAGAGTAAAGATCGGGTAGGATCAGTCAGACACGCGCTGGAAAACAAAGAGCCACCTAAACTCACACTCAGTTTCCGCTTATAAAGCTGACAATCCTGATTAGCGGCAGGTGCAAGGCGGAGTTGGCCTCAAAGAGAAGAAACATCAATTAATATCAAAAAGTCCAAAACGACACAAAAACAACAACAATGATAGTAATAATAAATAAATACTAAACCAAGACACAATTAATTTTAGGGTCACTGCATGCATATCTGCAATGTATTTGATCTTCAATGTTATTTATAGTTGTCGTGATACCAGTCATTCATGTTACGATACTATACCAGCTAAAGTATCATGATACCAAGTAGTATTGCGATAATGTAATTCATAACTCAAATCCATAAAGTAAAGAAAATTCTCTGAAATACTTTATTTTATATGTTATAATAGGCTTACGTGAATTGAATTAGTCCTTTATTACTGAAGAAAAGTCTTTGCTCATCACTTTACCTAAAATGTATTCGTTCTTTCGTTTTTCTTGTATTTAATGATTGTTTTAGTCTTATCAGGCAAGTAATTCTAATTTTGGTTGTGTCGCCCTTTTAAAGAGATTGTCGCGGTTGTTGTAGCTACTAAATCATATTGACGGGAGCAGAAATGAACAGATTCAGATTCTAACTGAAGCGTTAGAAAATGTGCAATAGGTTACCATGAGAGGTGTGAATTCGGCATAGTTTTGCAACCTTAAAGGGCTCCACAGGCAATTGAAATAAAATGATCTATTACTGTACAAACGTGTAAGTATTTTAGTGACTTTTCCACATGCAACATTATCAATTGTAGATAGACTGTTAACGACGATACTATCGTTCACAAACTACTGTGGCATCTGCATTATTTTGGAGCCATAGTATCACAATACTACAATACAACCCTAATTTATAGTACCAAAAGTGTGGGCTCAACTAAAAACAAAATGTAGCTACTTGAATGTTTAAAGAAATGTAATTGATTCATATGAGGCAAATATGAATTTTTAGCATAATTACTCCAGTCTTTAGTGTCACATGATCAGCCTAATATGCTGGTTTGTTCCCCCAGCAAATATTTATTAACATTATCAACGTTAATAACAGTTGTGATACTGTATATTTCTGTGGAAGCTGTAGCACATTTTTTTTTCATTTAGGATTCTTTGATTAATAAAAAGACAAAATAATTTATTATATAATTTTTATCTATTAATGTATTTTTTTTTATTTATTCAGACCCTAACTAATATATTACTAGTATTCTGGAAAAATCTGATAAGGCGATATTTTATTTTTCTGCGATAAATATTGCGATATGAATAGTTTCACAAGATAGTTGAATAGCTCTGTTTGACGGTTTTCTGAGGAGTCTAACAGTATTCAGGTACAGAAATTCTTAGATCAAGAACTAGAAACAAAGGCCAATATTTAAAGTAATAAAAACTTTCGAAACTGTTCTATAAATCATATAAACTCCATACAAACACAGTGTTTAAAGACAATTCTGTAGCTCCAGGTCAACTATAATCCAGACTTAACATTGCATATCTTTGTGATGTGACTATTGCGGATGCGCACATTGGGATATTGATGCTGAAACGATATATTGTGCAACGCTAACAAATAAAATGGATTGCCAATAATAGCCAAATATTGATCTAAACATCAGAACACTTAGTTTTTGAAATGATTTGTTTATTTATGTATTTGTGGTCTATTTTTTGCAGGCTCCAGCTGAGGAAGCAGCTCAAGGAGAAGAAGTGGCAATAATTCAAGACAATCAGCAGCAGGTGATTTCTCAAGTTTTCATTTTTATCATTGAAATTTCTATTGCACTTAAGCTTAAATGTTTGCAAGCGTTTTGGCGTATAACCACATTGCACATGTGTCTCACGTCAGATGGACAGTCACATCATGAAAGTAGTGCAGCAGATCGTCAGCCAATCACATGGAGGCCACCAGATCATCGTTCGAAACGTCACCGCGGACGAAACTCCAGGCATCTCAGACTCTGGAGACACAATCACCATCGCCACACCAGAGAGCCTGACCGAACAGGTAGCGATGACACTCGCAAACGCCATTAGCGATGGCACTATCCTTACCACAACAACAGAGGATACCGATGAGACATCCCACACCACTGTTACCATGGTAACAGCCGAAAACGTTGAAACAATCGAGCAAGAAGAGCAGTACGTCATCGCTTCACCTGAAGAAGTGGAAATCCAAACTGTGGTTGTGGTCTGACATGCACATTTTAGTTATCTTATAAATTTTTATTTGTTGCATTGCAAGCCTTGGTGTAGCATTTCCGTTCTCTGGGAGGCCTTGTTTTACATGTTTTGCACTGCTCAATACAGTTACACATCATTTCAGTATTAAAAACTTTTTAACAGAAACGCTACTGAATTAATAGGGCGTAATGTCGTTTTTGTTTTAATTTCAGACATTAAACAATACGTTTCTTTTGTATGTTCAGCCTTTATAGCAGTGACGCTGACATATGAACATGTTGCTCCTGTTGAATGTCATATAATTATAAACGACTATCATCGACTCATCATGAATATGTAATCTTACACGTGGCCACCAATAACAGGGCCTTTAGAACATCTGGCAGGGAATGAAAGTACAAAACATTAAATATATTTTTATGCACCTCTGTGTTTTTCCATTCATTGGTCAGTTCTCAATGTTTTTGATTTTGGGTGTTATAACAAAGTTTTAAAAATAGGATTATAATAAAACAATCAATTACAATCAACTTGAGTTTTTAGTGAAGACAGTTAGACCCTGTTTTTTACATGCAGACCTGGATAATGAGTAGGGGGTAATAAAGCAAAAACCTTGAGAACTGCTAACTTAGTGGAACAGATCATCAGATAATATATATCACATAATAGATTTTTGTTGTTGTTTTGGAAATAGGTGGCGCAGTGGGTAGCGCTGTTGCCTCACAGCAAGAAGGTCGCTGGTTTGAGCCTCAGCTGGGTCGTTGGCAATTTAGTGTGGAGTTTGCATGTTCTCTCCGTATTTGCATGTGTTTCCTCTGAGTGCTCTGGTTTCCCCCTTAAATCCAAGGACGTGCTATAAGTGAATTAGGTAAGATAAATTGCCTGTAGTGTATGTGTGTATGAATGAGAGTGTATGGGTGTTTCCCAGTGATGGGTTGCAGCTGGAAGGGCATCAGCTGTTTAAAACATATGCTGGATAAGTTGGCGGTTCATTCCCTGATTAATATAGAAACTAACCTGAAAAGAAAATGAATGAATGAATGTTTTGGAAAAAAGTGTTTCACCGTAGGTTATAAAGGCTATGTTTATTTAATAATATGACAGTATAATACATCAGTAACAAGCTGAATTAATCATAATTTGCTCCAAAATTCTTATAATTTGTTTATGTAGATGCTCCAGAAAGATTTTTCATTATTATCAAAGTGTAATACACATTGGGCCCTATCATATACCTGGCGCAATAAGGCACAAGACGTGTTCGACTTGATTTGTTGCCATTTTCAGACCAGCACAACCCTAATTTTCAAGTTTTGTGCCATGTTGTTTAAATAGCAAATCCATTTGCGGCACTTTGTAGGCTCATGGGTGTGCCGGCCTAAAATAGTCGTGTGTTAAGGTGCGTTGTTGGTGCGTTTTGAGGAACTGAAATTGACTGCGCTGTTTACTAACTAAAAGCTGGTCTAAAGTCCAGTGCAGAGCCTATGCAGGTCCAAAATTCTTACATATTGCTTAATTCACACAGGGTGTACAGCAATACATAAATATCTTTACATATGAAAAAATTTAAGGATTAAAATATTATAAAAATAATTATTTTCTACATAAATATAAAAAAACACTGCCTCCATGCCATTTCAGGGTGATTTATTTTCAGGTTGTTTATAACAATTTGCATTTGTATAATGTTATTATTAGAATTTTATTTATTATATGCATATTTATATTTGTTTTAATAAAAACAAGTTTAGATTTGTCCATCTGTCAGGTTTTTTGAGATGTATGCGTCACCAAATTGGGCTTAAGAATAGGAGGTGTGTTTGGATATAACTCAGTTGTTTGGTTGAAAATTATAACTGAATTTAGAAATAGTTTTGAAACAAATCTTTGAAACAAATCAAACTAAATTACACATGTAAGCTAACTAATGTCTTCAATGGAGTGTTTACAACAGCGTTTCTTATCCATGAAAGTAAAGGAGTTAAGTTGAGTAAAAGTAAAATGAAGAGAGGGTAAAGAGGCAGAATGGAGGAGGCTCATTCTTTATCCTCACATTGCAGATGGCCTGTTTAACTGTTTTCTCACTAGTAAAGCGTTCTTTTTTTCTACAGCCTGTGATGTAAATAGCAAATGTGCCTTGGCACAACACAACTGACTCTTAAAGACAATGGGAAATGAGACTCTGATTGGTTTAATGCACGTTATGCTCAAAACACAGCCAGAACTCATTAAGAGAATAAGCACAACCCTGTTAGACCATGCAGCTTAAACTGTATATTTCCGTCCTTTAAAGTGGATTCGGACATGCCCTTAATGCGTTTTAGAATTTGCGCCTAGATCATTAAAATAGAGCCCATTGTGGATAAGTCAACAAATCTACATGGCGTGTCATTTTGAGATTTGGTGACTGTATTGTTTCACATTGGGTCTGTTGTTTCAGTAAGGCAGTAGACACTTTAGTTTGGCAGATTGGGGCCATTATGAAGCTCTGGTCACCTTGACTGTCTGTGTTCTCCCTCCTATCAGCTCATTACCACACATGCTGGAATGCTTCAGGCCCTCACATATGCCCATTTAATGGCTTCTGTCTTTTTTCCAGCTATAATTTAATCCCCGACCTGTCTTGCTATTGATGCATTTAAAAACAGTTATGCCCTCCGGTTTCACAATGACATTAAATTGTCTCATCCATGGTCACGTTGACTGCTTTTTGTTATTGTTGACTCTTAATTATAGCCAGAAAAAATTATGTGGAGGTAAGTGTCATTTTAATTTTACTTTCAATGATATTGTTTTGGTTGGTTTTATTACATATACATTTATTGTTTAATATTTTATTGATTAATTTTTTTGTCATAAATACAAATTGTATATATATATATATATATATATATATATATATATATATATATATATATATACACACAAACAAATTGTCATTGTCATATATATATATATATATATATATATATATATATATATATATATATATATATATATATATATATATATATATATAAATACATATATATACATATACATATATATATATATATATATATATATATATATATATATATATTTTTTTTTTTTTTTTTTTTTAATTTATTTATTTTTTCCATGTTCGGCTTTTTTTAGTATTACTTTTTTTGCTTTTTTTTTGTTGGGCTGTTTTGGAAGAATTACTTATACTTGAAGTTAGTCGCAGGGTATTGATTTCTTAGGAAGTAAACAAAGTACTGTACCTTATTTATGTCCGTGTACCTTGCATCAACCTCATAATTTATTTTTCTCAGCAGAGGTCAAACCTGCAGTCTTATGAATCTCAGCACTAAGCACCGCAGACAACCAAGACGTCATCCTTTATAAATGCTATTAATATCCCATTAAACCATTACCTGGTATTGGTATCTGCATCAGAATAGATCTGGATTCTTAGAAGGGGAATTGGAGTTAAATGAGGCAGACCACATCTAACTGTACCACAGTATCTCTGAGGATCTCAGTAATGGGAGCGTCGTCCTCTGCTGCTCTGACAGGCTGTTTCTGGGTCAGTCCTCAGCCCTGAGAGAGGCCCGATCCACAGCATCACACACAGAGAGAGAGAGAGAGGGAGAGGGAGGTATTTTTAGAAAAATGGGGCTTCACTGTACCTTTTTCTTGCAAAAGAATCATTAAAAGACCCAGCTAGCTTGTCCCAGATTTTTGCTCAGTGGGTTTAGACTGGACCAACTGAGTGGAGATGTAGAGGCACGGCTGCGGAGAGCTTGACAGCGCTCTCTTGATTCGGACTGGACTGATATCTGGACTGGGTCCTTGATGGAGGATGAACCTGCTCTGAGCGATTCTTGCTTTTTGATGATAATGGATTGAGGAGGTGCTGACCTGAGGTGAACTCTAAGAGATCTACTCCAGTATCCGGCCAGAAGACCCAGAAACCATGATGAGAAGATTTCTGAAGAGCCAGAAGGGCCGTTTCTCCCTTCGCCAGAGCCGATCGGGGTCCCGGAGTGCCTCTAAAGACTTCTGTAAGTTTTTGATGGAGAGCATGAAGATCTGTAAGACAATGCAATGCTGTAATAAAGTGTCATCATACTGGTGGTTATTGCTCAGAAATGAGAAAAAATAGAATCTTTTAATTGTTAAGACCATATATTTTAGTATATTAAGTAATAAGTCATTATGTATAGTGTAAATTGGAGATAAATAATATTGTGTATATCTTGTGTCTTCATTGCACTTTTCTCATATGCAGACAATTCATATACAAATAATGTTTGTTTTTCAATCCACAGACCCAAACCCCAGCGTGCTGAGAGATTTCCCACTGACTATTGGGGGTAACATAAACGCTTAACGGTTTTTTATACCTTTTATTAGGTCACAAGTAATTACAACAGCTACAGTAGGTTATATGATGAAGTGACTGGTTATATGAAACTCTGTAATGCTTGAACTGGTCTGATATCTTTAAAATGCATGGGTGGTTTGATTCTAATACAGGTGTAGAATTACTATTTATTTATGTATTTTATATATTACTTTTTACAATATTGTTCAGACAGATAAATATATTTTGAGTTTATGTTCTTAAATTGAGATTATTAAAGTATAAATTTATTAATTTTTATTTGGAATATATATACAACTTCACAAAAGTCTTGTCATCTATCCAAAATTTAGGAACAACAAATAATTTGATTTCTAGTTGATCATTTGGTATCCGAAGTGGCTTAAATGAACGGCAAAGGCCTCTAGATTACACTTATTTTATCAAAATAAAATACGATCATGCCTTGATTTTTAATTATTTAATTAGGACAGTAAGGTCTGACTTTGCTTAGACAAAAGTCTTGGCACTTTACAGAAATAATGTACAGTATAAAATATAAAGTCATGGTGCAGTGGAAAAAGAATAAACATTGTGTATGACTCCCATGAGCTTGGAGGACTGCATCCATACATCTCTACAATAACTCAAATAATTTATTAATAAAGTCATCTGGAACGGCAAAGAAAGCGTTCCTGCAGGACTCCCAAAGTTCAAGATTCTTTGGATTAATTTTTAATGCCTCCTCCTTCATCTTACCCCAGACATGCTCAATAATGTTCATGTCTGGTGACTGGGCAGGCCAATTCTGGAGCATCTAGACCTTCTTTGCTTTCAGGGACATTGATGTGGAGTTTGAAGTATGAAAAGGAGCGCTATCCTGCTGAAGAATCTGCCCTCTCCTGTGGTTTGTAATGTAATGGGCAGCACAAATGTTCTGATATCTCAGGCTGTTGATGTTGCTATCCACTCTGCAGATCTCTCACACACCCCCATACTGAATCTAACCCCAAACCATCATTTTTTCTTTACCAAACTTAACTGATTTATGTGAGAATCTTGAATCCATGCCTGGTTTAATAGGTCTTCTGCAGTATTTGCAATGATTAGGATGCAGTTCAACGGATGATTTATCAGAAAAATCAACCTTCTGCCACTTTTCCTGATGAACTAGAAATTAAGTTATCATTTGTTGCCTTTACAACTGGGATCGAAGACAAGTCTTTTGTCAGGTCAAGCTTGGGTTTTAAGCATCAAAAATAAAAGATAAATGCAGCTTTTTACTGTTCATATGAATATTTCTTTGTTTAATTTTGTTTTATTATAATTACAATTATTTTTCAATTACCTACTAAAGCCATCCAGTACAGTTTAACAGCTTTATATAGCAAACAATCCTGACAGACATAATAACATCATTAGTTATTTGAGGACATGATGTAACATCTTTTAAACCCATAGATTTTAGCCATTTGTCAACAATTTTAATAAATTTAAATAAAATAACATTTTATATGATGACTTATCGAAATAAGTAGAGTCAGAGTCAGTAGAGTCAATAAGTCAGAAAGCATGTTTTATATTTATATGTGATATTCTGAAGGACGGTTTACCATTATTTCTCCTATTTTGCAACATAAATAAGTAATGTAGTATCTTTCTTTTTCTAATCTCTCATGTATTGACTTTCTCCAGAACTGGCACTTCCAGCAAATAACCAGGGCTGGCCGGAGGAGTTTGGCTTTAAGCTGGGTGGTGATGGACCGAGTTACATCTTGTCTGTGGTGGAGGGCAGCAGCGCTTACATGGCCGGACTGCAGCCGGGAGATCAGGTGCTGGAGCTGGATGGCCAGAACGTCTCGTCTCTCAGCACTAAAGCTCTCGTTGCTCTGGCTCAGACCCTCAAGACTGTGCCGCCCAGCATCGGAGTCGTGTCTAGAATAGAACAGGTCAGTTATTCATCTCTGACTTGCTATTTAATGAAACTGACATGCAATCGTTTGGGGGAAACACTTGGAAAAGAAAAATTATTGTATATTTTTTACCATGATTTACAGAAGACAATTTAGATTTTAATTAAACAAGAGTCATTTACTGACATATCTAAAGACCACAGAAAAGTAAAGATGCAAAATGCTCACTATCAGTTTGAAACTTTTTAAAAGGAAGGACCTGGTCCAGTTGCATGAATGCATTTAAGCTAAGAAATCTCTTAGTTTTAAGGTAAAAGCAGTGGTTATCAATTTTGGCCTTTTTGCATCTTTTACTTGACACACAAGGATTTCAATTCAATTCATCTTTATTTCCATAGCGCTTTTAGAAAGTAGATTGTGTCAAAGCAGCTTAACACAGAAGCTCTAGTAAATTTAAACTGTCAGTCCAGTTTTCAGAGTTCAGTTTAGTTCACTCCAGTGTGATTCAATATTCACTGCTGAAAGTCCAAACACTGAAGAGCAAATCTGTTGATGCGCAGCTCCACAAGTCCCAAACCAAGCAAGCCAGTGATGGCAGTGGTGAGAAACGAAACTTCACCAATTGACAAAAGTGAAAGAAACCTAGGCTCATTTCGGCACAACCATTTCCATTTCTCCTCTGGCCAAACTTCTTGTACAGAGCTGCAGTCTAGGCGCCAGAGGCTAGAGAATGCTGGACGTCTATCATGGACAAGTTGCAAGTGTGAGTAGTGTGAGCAGTTGTAGAGGCTGGCCCAGTTAATTTGAATCAGTTAAGTAAGGGGAGGTCGAGGACAGTAATTGAGAACCAATGGGTTAAGGGAACCCTTTGTAAAAACTGAGTTGTAGTCAACTTAAAACGTCAAAAAAACGTAATAGTCAACTTAATGAATTCAAGCCTTATTCACTCTTTATTATCTAAGTGTTCCCTTAAGCATTACAAATTCCATTGCATCCATTTCACCTTAATAAAATTTAAGGGACCGAAACAGCTTAATTAGGTCCTTTTAATACAAAGCTCCTTCCGACTGAAACAACATCCCCTTCTCTTTTAGATCAATTAAGTAATTTAGTCTTTTCAGGGCTAATTTATTTTCTATTTTGGAAACAACTTGTGGATGTTATTAATATTGGTTCTGCATTAAATGATTATTATTTATTTGTATATCAAATTGTTTGTACTTTTAATGATATGTTATTGTTTATTTAGGCTTTAGACTGTGGGATGTGTTTCAGGTGAAGTGTTCTGCTTGTTTGATGTTTGTTTTATCAGTTTATTTTTTGTTATGATGTGAAGTACTCTGTTTTAGTTATGAACTTTTTAGGGACCCTCTCGAAAATGACATGGTTCATCTCAAGGGGCTATCCCATTCAATAAATTCAAATTCAATTATAACTTGTTCCTAAACAAACTCAATACTTTTTGTGCAAATAATTGACTGATGGGTTGCAGCAACTTTTTTTTTTTTTTTTGCAAAATTATCTAAAAGAATAGCCTTTTATTCAGTTTTTAGTTTGTTTTATGTTTTTTTTTCTGTGTTGACGTTTGTAGCATAACTTATGAATACGCTTGTGGTTTTAGTAAAAGTTGTTTTTCGAGTTTGTTACTATCTGTTTACTGTTAGAGGCAATAACTATAGTTATCGCAGAACTGATTGGGAGATTGTGAGAGACTACAGTGAAATGCTTAGTAAAGACACTTAGGTAAGGTTGAAAATTAAGTTAATTGGAATGCTCTTATTACTTAAGGACTTTCATGCAACCGTGCCCTGGATGCAAACAGATCAGGAGAAATAACATTTATAAACAAAACAAACAACTGGTGCAGGAGCACAATCAACATAATAGGGCAGGGAAAGAACGTAGCTGAAGTAAGAATTACATTGTACAGGGAACCTGTTTGCTAACTGTGTGTATGAGAACACATGCTTTGAATCTTGAATCCCAATTAGAACAGGTTGGACAGGGGTAGACTAGTCTCTCGTAGCCAGATCTCAGACTGACAGTTGAAGGTGTGGGAACTTTGGCCACTTTGAATGATAAAGGGCTGCCCACGATGCTATTTGCCTGACAGGTTAACCAACCAATAACCATTCGTTTTGTTTTGCTTCATGTTTAGGGCTGTGGAAGTGTCCACAGAATAACAGCCTGGCCACACACAACCGTGCGTGATTCATTTGTGAAGGTCTTTAAAAGCATCAATATTCCTAATGATATGTCAGAAACATAATAAATCAGTAGGACATGTATGTGGATGCAGACTTTGCAGAGATTGTAGCTTTTTTTATCCGATCAGACTTGTTTACAGGTGGACACACTTGACTTGACTCCTGGAAACCCTGTATATCTAAACCAATCAGAGAATGACTCTGAATCTGCTAAAGTGTTTCCAGAAAACTGTGCCATATGCATCAGACATTTAGCCAAAGTTCTGTGGGCAGTGCTTGGCCTGACATCTGAGGCTGAGACTAGGGGTTGACAAACTCCAGCCACATTGGGATTATAGACAACTGCTCAAGCAACCAGAGAAAAAAACTAAAGCAAGAAAATAAAAAAAGAACCATAACCAATTTAAAAAATATACAAGAGAACAAAATTAAAGCAAAACAAGAACTATGGAAACCAATACTAAAAACTGAACATTACAGACTAAATGTAGCGCAATCCAACAAGACTCAGGCAAGGAATTTGCACAGAAAATACACAAAGACACAAAAAAGCTCTAAACATAGAAAGCACTTACTGAGCTGCTAGCACAGAACCTTGACACTATAATTCAATCCACATTAGTCAACAAAAAGTACTCTGATTTAGCATGATCACCTATTCTCGTAAGTGCATTTTAGAATAAGTAAACAAACAAAACAGAACAATGCAAAACAAACATTTATCAAACACTAATATAAATGTTGTATAAATCCGTAACAATTCAAGTTTATCAATAAGGTAGTTGAACAGAAACTAATGATTTGATTTATTATATGCTGAAAATTATTCATTACATGCTTCGTTTTGTCAAATAACAGGAATAAATTACAATGCACAATATACACTCACCGGCCACTTTATTAGGTACACCTTACTAGTACTAAGTTGGACCCCCTTTTGCCTTCAGAACTGCCTTAATCCTTTAATCCTCCAGTTTTGGTGAGCTCGTGTGAATTGTAGCCTCAGTTTCTTGTTCTTAGCTGACAGGAGGGGCACTCGGTGTGGTCTTCTGTTGCTGTCTGCTGCTGCCTCAAGGTTGGAAGTGTTGTGCAATCAGAACTGCTGTTCTGCATACCTCGGTTGTAACGATCGGTTATCTGAGTTACTGCTGCCTTTCTATCAGCTGGAACCAGTCTTATTCTCCTCTGACCTTTGGCATTTGCGCCCTCAGAACTGTCACTCACTGGATATTTTCTTTTTTTTCTGAACATTTTCTGTAAATACTAGAGATGGTTGTGCGTGAAAATCCCAGTAGATCAGCAGTTTCTGAAATACTCAGACCAGCCCGTCTGGAACCAACAACCATGTCATGTTCAAAGTCACTTAAATCAGCTTTCTTCCCCATTCTGATGCTCAGTTTGAACTGCAGCAGATAGTCATGACCATGTCTACATGCCTTAATGCATTGAGTTGCTGCCATGTGATTGGCTTATTAGAAATTAGCATTAACGAGCAGTTGGACAGGTGTACCTAAAAAGGGGCCAGTGAGCGTATGTTACAGTACTTTTCACTACTTACATTCATTATTCCAAACTTTTGATAGTGTAAATTAAATGCGTAATAAAATGATAATCTCTCTTACTGTTTTTATCTGCTTTCCCACCACAGATGGACATTGCCCCTGGGCCCGATGGCCGTTTTGGCTTTACCATAGTGGGTGACAGTCCTCTGCTGGTGGAGGACTGCATCCTCAACTGTCCAGCAGGCCGCAGTGGACTGCGAGCAGGAGACTATGTGTTGGAGGTGAATGGGATACCAGTGAAGCAGCACGAGACGGCGGCGGCCATGATCAAGGCCTCTCAGGGACGGACTCTGCGTCTGGGTGTTCTGCGCATAAACCGCTGGCAGAAACGCACCAGCAGCAGCATGAAGGAGACCTATCACAGCGGAGAGGTCGTCAGGCAGGACCGCAAACACAAAGCTCTGGAGTTCAACAAGAAGGTGAGATTTCAACAGAATAATTTCAGGTTTACTTACCTACCCTCAGTTCATTCAACATGTTGGAGAAGTTCTTTAGTAGAACATGGTTTTTAGTGAACATTCTCGTTCATTATTCTGGAGAAAGTCTTGTTTTATTTCAGCTAGAATAAAAGCAGTTAAAAAATAATAATAATAATAAAAAAATTATATATATATATATTTTTTATCATTTATTTTATTTTATTATTATTTTTATTATTTATTTATTTATTTTTTATGTATTTTTTTAAGGTTTATATTATTAGCCCTCTTAAGCAATACTGTTTTCGATTGTCTACAGAACAAATCATCGTTATACAATAACTTGCCTAATTACCCTAACCTACCTAATTAACCTAATTAACCTAGTTAAACGTTTAAATGTCACTTTAAGCTGTATAGAAGCGTCTTGAAAAATATCTAGTCAAATATTATTTACAGTAAGGAGGTCGCTGGTTTGAGCCCCAGCTGAATCAGTTGGCATTTTTGTGTGGAGTTTACATGTTCTCCCCTTGTTCACCTGGGTTTAGGTGAATTGAGTAAGCTAAATTGGCCGTAGTGTATTTGTGTGAATGAAAGAGTGTATGGAAGTTTTCCTAGTGTTGGGTTGCAGCTGGAAGGGCATCCACTGCGTAAAACATGTGCTGGGAAATTTGATGTTTCATTCCAATGTGGCGACCCCTGATTAATAAAGGGACTTAGCCGAAAAGAAAATGAATTAATGTTTAGAAATGTGTTGAAAAATATCTTCTCTCTGTCAAACTGAAATTGAGGAATAAAATATACAGGGGGGGCTAATAATTCAGGAGGGCTGATAATTTTGACTTCAACTGTAATGCAAGTCTGTAAGAGCAAAAAAATAAAAAACACAAGCAAAACAAATGAATAGCTGTTGCTCTGCACAAGACATTGAGGCCTTATGAAGTGATATGATCATTATGTGCAAGCTGAAGATTAACCCACTCGCAGAGAAGCTAGTTTGGACCTGTTAAAAATCAACCAAAAGCACTTTTAATAGTATTTTCAAAGAAAGTAGGCTGGCAAAGCCACATTTTTTTCTTTTTTCTTAATATTTTTAGGTTGAGGAGATTTTGGGGGAGGAGCCTGAGGTGAAAGAGAGGCTATTTGATTTGCTGAAGCAGTATGCAAATGAGAGGGATGTTGAAGGACTGGCGTCGACACTTCCAGAAATACTGCTCACAGAAGAGCATCAGCAACTAATTGACAACATCAGGTACCAACAAGCTTTCATCGATCCACTTCTAGTCCCAATTTACAGATTTCTTGTAGCATTTTAGGTTTTCTCTTTGTGTTTGGATTGGTTACAAGTCTGAAATGTAATTTTATCTTTTATATTTATTATTTAGGGTCATGAAATGCTAAACATTTTTGACAGATGCTTTTGTGTTTCCCATTAAAGACAATGCTTATATCAGTTCATTTTAACTGTAGGAGAAAATGTTTATATATATATATATATATATATATATATATATATATATATATATATATATATCTGCACAGGCTTCATGACTCTTCAAATCTTTAAATTGTATTTTCTAGATAAAACAAAAAAAATCTCAGCACAAATAAATAAACTTGCTAATTTTTATTTTATTTTAACTGTTTGTGTTTTGTTGTTTTGTTTAATTTGATTGATCAGTTATAATGGTTGCTTTGCTTTATACATTTTAATGATCCTTTTGGAGTGCTAATTGGTGTCAAGGCTGAAATATTTCTTAATTTATTTATATTGTCGGGAACCGTGAATGCCTTCTTTAGCAAGTAAGAAATGTTTTTTTGGTATTTGCACAAAGCTTTGTATTTGCTGTCATTTTCCATTGTTCAAACTGCTTTTTAAGGGGATTTCTTGCATGTCTTTAGAATGTATTTATTTATCATTTGTTATTGGGAAATCTTTAAATTAAAATATTTAATTATTAATCTAAAAACTCTATAATAAGGGGAGTTTGTCAGAGAACAAATGTGCTGATCAAAAATGCTTTCTAACACTATTGTGATATCACTTTGCATTTCATTGCATGCTCTATTTAATACCACATTTTTATTTTTTAGGTTTATATTTTTAATGTATCTGGTGGTTTCTGAGTCATCTGGTCTGATCTGATGCATGCTGTTCAAACTGTTTAAAAAAAAAGGTTCAAAACGACTTTTTTAAAAAAGTTAAAAAACAAACAAACTGCTAAATAGAACAAAAAGAAAAAAACTGCAATACAAATTTGTTGTGTCATTATGGCCAGTCATCATTAATCCAGTAAGTTCACTATTCCCTCCCATCTCCATTTAAAAATGTCTCATGGCAAACAAAATCAGGGCAACTATAACATCCTCTGAGGACATTACTTTCTAAGGATTGTTTGTATTTACTATTTAAACCATAGGTCTCAAACTCAATTCCTGGAGTGCCACAGCTCTGCACAGTTTGCAAACAGGAGTTTGAGATCACAGTTGAAGTCAGAATTATTAGCCCCCCTTTGATTTTTTTTTTCTTTTTTAAATATTTCCCAAATTATGTTTAACAGAGCAGTAAAATTTTCACAGTGTGTCTAATAATATTTTTTCTTCTGGAGAATCTTGTTTGTTTTATTTGGGCTAGAATAAAAGCACTTTTTTATTTTTATTAAACAGCTTTTAAAGGTCAAAATGATTAGCCCCTTTAAGCTAATTTTTTTTTTTATATATAGTCTTCAGAACAAACCATCATTATACAATAACTTGCCTAATTACCCTAACCTGCCTAGCTAACCTATTTAACCTAGTTGAGCCTTCAAGTGTCACATTAAGCTGTATAAAAATAGCCATTCAATTTTTATTTACTGTCATCATGGCAAAGATAAAATAAATCAGTTATTAGAAATGAGTTATTAAAACTATTATTATTATAAATCTGTTGAAACAATCTTCCCTCCGTTAAACAGAAATTGGGGAAATAATAAAAAGGGGGGCTAATAATTCTGACGTCAACTGTATGATTTAAACATTTAAGATTGTTTATTTGTGCGCAATTAACAATTATATTACACATTGTGAAATTATATTAGATATTAAAAATTATAGGTGCAATTTAGTATTCTTATTTTCATGCTTCTTATTTCTGCATGTTTATTAAAAAATTGTATTATATGTAATATTATTAGAATTTGTTAAAGATATTCTTTTTAAAAAGTCCCTCTCATAGGTTTGCTAGTGTCAGTTCTCTCTGGCACTGCAATAACTCGCTGATGAGGGTCTTTGTCAGGAGAATTTGACACATCTCATAGCAGCAAGGTTTTCATTTACGCTAATGGAGCGGTTTTAACAGCAGCTCTACACTGGCTACAACTGAAGAATTATGCCTGTGGTGTTTAACGGATACAATACTGTTTCTTCAGTAATTTGTCAGATAAACCTTATTTAAAAAAAAAAAAAGTTAGACTGGAAACTATTCCAAAAGGGACTTATTTTTGACCTTCACTGGGAGTGAATTATGAAGAAGAACAGCATGCTCCAGATACCTAGATTCACACTTTTCATCAGCCTGTTCTGGTTTAACCCTTGATTGTATTGTCGGGAACAATGAATGCCTTCTTTAGCAAGTAAGACATGTGCTTTGTATTTGCAAAGGATTGATTTTGCAGTCATTATCCATTGTTTAAAAGCAAGCTGCTCTTTTATGGGATATTTGTTGCATGTCTTTAGAGCTGCAAGAGTTGTTGATGGAGTTTGTTTTGAGTGCACATCACATTATACTTTAAAGTGCCCATTGTGCTTTTTTGGATATTAGCTTTCATGTAGTGTGCAGCTATTTCTAAAAGGTCAGCAACGTTTTCAAAATCAAAGTGGAGTTAATCTCTCCCAAAAGAAGCGATTCTAAAAATGTCTGAAATGAGTTGTCAGTGTTGTTTCCTGCCAAACAAATTTGCAGTATGTTGTCAGCAAAACAATATACTTCAAGCTTTAAATACCAGTTGTAGCCGAGATGTTGTCTACATGTATAATAAAACGAAATTCCACTTTAGATATGTCTTCAATGGGGCGACACAGGGACTCAGGGGTTAGCAATGTCATCTCACTGCAAAAAGATCGTTGGTTTGGGTCCCGGCTGGGCAAGGAAGGGCATCCGCTGTGTAAAACTGCTCTGGCAAACCCCTGATCAATAACGGATTAAGCAGAAGGAAAATGATTGAATGAATGAGTCTCCAAGGTTTGAATTGATACAGTAAAACCAATGACATTGCTACAGCTTATATTGCTCTGTTTATACTGTTTATGAGTGTTAAGGAAGGCAGCTGTCGCCTCACAACAAGAAGGTCGCTGGTTCGAGCATTGTCTAGGTCAGTTGGCATTTCTGTGTGGAGTTTGCATGCTCTCCCAGTGTTCACGTGGGTTTCCTTCGGGTGCTCCACTTTCCTCCACAGTCCAAAGACATGTGGTATAGGTGAGTTGGGTTGGCTAATTTGTCCCAAGTGTATGTGTGTGAGTAGGAAGGGCATCCGCTGAGTCAAACATATAGGGGTTAAGTTGGCGGTTCACTCCACGGTGGTGACCCCTGATTAAAAAAGAGACTAAGCCGAAAAGAAAGTGAATGAATGAGTGCTAAGGAGGCTTTTGAGGTTGAAATTCTGGTATGATAATAGCACTTGATTTCTAACTAATATCAACAGACTGGGCGGTCTGACCAATCAGTGCAAAATATACTCGGAGAAAGGCGGGGTTTAGAGAGAACAGAGCTTTTCAAACACTGTGTGAAAAAGCTAATGCTTTAATGTGTATAATAAGAAAAATAAAGTTTTTTTTTTTTACTTTGTAAGCCTTTTGTAGACAACCTCCAAAACTAAATTAAGAATGCATATGATAACATATGCACATGTAGATTGAGTGCAATTAAACAAAATAGAAGAAGCTCTTCATGCTCATTTACAGTGAAAGCTTTTGCAATTGGTGACCATCTCTGCATTCTCACTGTCCTTCAGATCATTTGAGCGATGACCAGCTTGTGTTCTGCACTCCGTCCCAGCAAAAAATTTGCCCAGTGCTCCCCATGGAACCTCCCTATTTTTGAAGCAGCCTACTTCTTATAATAAACCTCTCTTAGGTCTGTGACGCACCAGAAGTTTGCACAAAATCCACATAACAACTTTCTTGATGTAAAGTTGCGTGGTACAAAGCAGCGGCTAACAAGATCTTGGGACTTTGCCTTGAATTGTTGAGGGAACCGCTTCTTTGTGTCTTCAGGTTTTGACTGCTCGGTGTCATTTTTGAACTCAGGAGTTTTCAGCCTCGAACCGGGATACATCAAGGATCTTCTAACTCATGCTGAATTATGTGGATCAGATTGAGTAACTCTCCCTCACGCTGACCTGCCTTAGATTTCCAGTGGGACAGTTTCTATTTTCTCCCTCTCTCTCCGTTCGTGTTCTACTCTTTTATTCTGTACTCTCTCCTCACCTCTGAAGAAGCTGCAACTTTGTCTTTCATCTGCAGTTAAAAGCACCTGGTCCGCGGTTCTGGATGTAGGCTCCTTTCTAACATTAAACTCCCCAAGGCAAGCCAGCATGGAGATGTGGGCATACTTGACAGAGCTGACTCGATGATGACGTGACCTTAAGTTTCTTTCTTCACCCGTGCAACGTCATCGCTCCTCAGGTTGGCGCTAATAAGCATCTCCTCATCTGGATACTGGAGATAATGGCTTTTCTGATTGTCCAGTTGTTTTCGGTGATTAACTCTTCCGGCTCTATGAAGACCTCAGCACTGAGATCAACAACATATTGTTGCACTTGAAACGTAATTCAAAGGAGAGATGGGTCGCAACAGGGGTCGCGAAAGGGGTTTCTCCAGGCGGTTTCGGTAAGAAGAAGCTTGTAGGATCATTATCAGAAAAGCTAGTTTTGGACATTGGGGTCTGATTGAATTTATAGGGTTATTGTAATTCTAATTTGGGGCTTTATAGATAAAGGACAAACAGCTTTGATATTTACTCAAAAATTCCCATCTGTTGTATTTTTAAAACATCTTAACTCCCCATTATTTTGCCTTGTTTTTGAACTTGCTTTCTTTAATAAGGATTTCGTCTTGTCGTTTAAAACCTGTTAAGCAGATGATAATTAGTTTGTAGCCATTAGCATGCTTTGTTTGTTAGAATTAAGCAGGATAAAACAGTTGCAGTAGGTTTAGAGATCACCTCCTTGTGTTAATAGATATCTTTTATAATCAAGACACTTCCCACCTTCATTCATTTTAAAAAGTGCGTCCTTAATCTGTGTTCCCTCCCCTCTCTGACTTGGGGTTAATTTTAGATTTCATGTGACCTCTTTCTAATTGAGGGCATTCTGAACTAAGTTAACTTTTGGAGAAATGTGGATTTAAGTCCCATTAACTGTTTTTGGGGTAACCTACAGGATTGCTGACATCACTGAGATTAGATTCTATGATGCCACAATACTTGGTTACATTAGACCTCATGATTACCACTTTTACAATCTTATATTATTTTAAAGTTAATATTAAGAATGCTAAAAATGCTTTATCTTACATAATGTAGTGGGAATGCATGCATGTATGAGGCTAAACACTGACCAGACCCTTTAGGTACACCTTGTAATACCCTTTTCCTTCAGAAGTGCCTTAATTCTTTGCAACATAGAGTCATCAAGATGCTGCAGACATTACTTTGAGATTTTGATTCATGTTTACATAGACATGCTGACTTGAGTGCACATCTATGATTAAAAAAAATCTCCCATTTCACCACATCACATATACAGTTGAAGTTATAATTATGAATTATTAGCCACCTGTTTATTTTCCCCCAATTTCTGTTTAATAGAGTGAAGATTTTTTTTCAACACTTTTCTAAACATAATAGTTTTGATAACTAATTTCTAAAAACTGATTTACTTTATGTTTGCCATGATGACAGTAAATAATATTTGACTTAATTTTTTTCAAGACTCTTTTATAAGCTTAAAGTGACATTTAAAGGCTTTACTAGGTTAATTAGGTTACCTATGCAGGTTAGGGTAATTAGGCAAGTTATTGTCTAACGAAGGTTTGTTCTGTAGACTATCGAAAATGTATAACTTAAGAGGGCTAATAATTTTGACTTTAAAATGGTGTTTAAAAAAATTAAAAACTGCTTTTATATTAAAAAATTAAAAACTGCTGAAATAAAACAAATAACTTCCCCACAAGAATAACATCTTTCCCCACAAGAACAAATATTATCAGACATACTGTGAAAATTTCCTTGCTCTGTTAAACATAATTTGGGAATTATTTAAAACAGAAAAAAAAAATCCAAAGTGGGGCGAATGATTCTGACTTCAACTGTTTGCTTTACTGGATTGAGATCTGGTGACTATAGAGGTCATTTGATTTGTATGAACTCCCTGTAATGGTCATGAAACCAGTTAAAAATAAGATGAGCTTTGTAACATGATGAAATGGACATAATAATTAACAGTACTCCAGTAGGCATTTAAACGATGCTCAAGTGGTACTCAGGGTCATAAAGCGAGCCAATAAATTATGACCACAACATTACTTCACCACTGGCTTGAAGAGCAGATACTGCACAGATACATTCATGCTTTTATGTGGTTTGTGCCAAATCCTGACCCTATTATGCAAATGTATCGAATGTGGCAAGTCGCCACTTTGAGTGGCCATTATTATCTAATAATAAAATGTCAGTTAGGTTAATTATTCCTTAAAGGTCCATGAAACCCCCTCTTTCAGTTCAAGTTTACCTCAGAATTTTTTCAAACAATGCATCATAATGTGCGTGGAGCTCTGCGGTCAGAGGGAGGAGTGGGCGTTGCCAGCAGAGCAAGGGAAAGAAAGAGAGGAGCGAACAGCTGTTGTCAGTCGACTCACAAAATGAGACACAAACCGTAAGGAGACCCACGATTTAATAGTTTGCAAACTTAAAATCCAAAGAAATAAACAGTAATTTAATTTCCTGCTGCATTTGTTATTCGTAATTTCATACACACATAACCACAATCAAAATCATTATAAAGAAAACCATGATTATATAAACACTATATATGAGGAGGACTTCTCTCCTCCTCAATCTCTGGGTCTGAATGCAGACTCGGTGCAGCAGGTCTCTTGCCCTGTCTATTTCAACTATTAGCCCTGCCGGTAATCTGGTGGATTTTAAACATGTGCGAACACGGCAGCACATATATAGGCGATGTGTTTGAATGGTAACGAACCCAACTGATAAAAGACAGTTCGTCATTCTTCAATTCTCCTACAGCTCTCCAGAGAAAAATGCTTGCTGCACACAGCTTTGCTGTATCAGCCCTGACAGCATTGCGGGGAAAAACATGCAACAAATTCAGTAAATCATGGAAGCAAACACATAGGACCCTTCATGAACGGCTAAATACTGCATGCTGCATGCTGAGTCCGTGGACGCGGTCTCTCTTAGTCACCATCACAGGGTCTCACAGCTTGGCAGGTCTGTGTCTTGCCTTCGGAAAGCAAGTGCAGTCATGAATAATTAAGAAGCGCAGTCTTTTCATAGGATAAGAAATCTCAGCTATGAATTATAATGAGAACTCGACGCATCATCACTGATTTTGATTCCGTCCCAAGCATTATCTTAAACCCGGAAGAAAATTATCAAAATTGTCCAGTTTTCCCCACAATTAAATCTAACAGGTGCTTACATTGTCTTAACTGATGCTCAACACACACAAATCTGTTAAAATCTCAAAAATAGTACTCAAGGGTTTCTTGAACCTTTAAGTATTTGGGCAGTCCTGCAAAAACTGCTGAAAATGCTCCAGGTTATGCAGTACATATCATAAAAAAAGATTAATAAATCATAACTAAAAAAACAAAACATTAAATCTTATATAAAGAAAATAAGACTGATCATTATAAATAATTATTGATGATACTAATAATCAAAGTGAGATTAAGATAAAAGCTTTCACTCACAAGAATAATGATTACACAATAAACGCTAATACAAAGCATCTGATTAAAATGATTATTACTGTAAATAATTTAGTGCAAACAAACAATGAGACAATTTGTATAAAAAATACAATAATCAAACACAATAAGGTAAAACAAAAGTGTGACGAGGGGTAAATGTACCACACTTTATTTAAAAAAAAAAAACTATAAAAAAATCAAGTTACAGTATAAAAAATAGTGTTGTTAGTCCTAAAATAGGCTTGATTATTAACTTTAAGGCACAGAAATGTCTATTCATCTAACATCTGTTCAACAATTTTCTTTTAAATTAACATCCAGCCTTGGCACATCTGTAAAGCACACATAGGGCTGAAAACGAAGATAAAATTATGTTTAGAACTTTAGATAGGATGGTGGGAATTAAAAATCAGCAAGGAGAGTGAAAAGCACTCTCACTTTAATCATTCATCCTCGCACAGCTTCAAAATAACCATCAGACACCTTTCAGTAGTCACCTGCTTACCTGCTTAGCTTTTGTAGTTGATCAAACAGGATATTTTTACCTGTCCCTTTGCACAGGACAGACAGGAAAAAAAAGCTTCATGCATCACATGAGTCCTCTTTTCTTTTCATAGCAGGTCATACGAGCATCTCTGTAATCGGGTATAATTATAGCAGACTTTCTCATAGCCGTTCCTCCTCCTCCAACTTTGCTTGCGTGTCTTCATCCAGTGTGTCTCAGCAGGCTTGAGAGTATGTTCAGTTTCTCCTCTGTGACTCCGTCTGCTGTTTGCCATGTTTGTCAGGATCTTCATCCCTAAGAAGCACAGGCAGCGCTTTGATGAGATGGTCTCTCAGAGTCTGATCAGTCGATTGAGGGGCCGAAGCTTCAGCGAGCACAGGAACAATCGGCTACGACGCAGCCGGAGCGAAGACCACCCTGAACGGCTGCTGTCTGTGTCCACTAGAGCCAGCTCTGTGCCCAGGACCGCCAACGACGAAGTGGTCATGCCTCCTGCCCGCGGCCTCCGCAAAACCACCTCGCTCATCGCGGGCCATTCCAGCTCCTTCTCCACTCGCAGGTCAGTCCAGGAAATCAACGTTTTGTGGTTTTCATTTTGATTATTTGGTTTGAGTTTCTTTTGATTTCATTAGTTTTTATTGATCGAATGATCAATTTGTTGATTAATTAAAGAAGTAAGTATAAATCATGCATTTTTAGGTTAGATGGATGGATGGAAAGGTGAATGATTGGTGGATAGATATACTAATTGAAGTCTTATAAATAAAATACTAGATGATGTGTATCGACAGTTTGATAGTTTTTATAAAATTTTTGGCTTTTATTAATACTTTTTAAATGTTGTTTTATTAGGAAAGTAGAATTACTATAAGTTTATTTAAAATTATATTATTGTGCGTTACATTATTACGTTAATTTAAATTAAAAAAGCCCAGTGGACGTATGTCATTTTACCTATGCTTTTTGTTTTTTGCTTTTATTTTAATATTTATCTGTTTAAATAAAAAAAAAAGTAAAATAATAAAAGAACTATTTTGCAGTTTAATTTTTAGATTCATATCATTTAATTACTGGGGGATGGGTGGATAAATGGATTGATTATTAGGTGATAAATAAGTATGAACTGATAAATATAATGCTAGCTGCTGGAGAGATTGATACCTATGCTTTTTATTTGTTTTTAATATATTTTTATGTTTAAAATGCTATATTTATGTTTTATTTTAATTTATTTTTGTAGAAATATAGAAGAATGAAATAAAAACAGATGAGGTGTTATGTTATAAGCTTCAAATGAACGTACTTTTGAAAGAATGGATGGATAAATTACGATATTACGAGAAATATACAGATTTATTTGTTAATTTGTGAGATGAATAAATACATGATGCATGTAATGATGGGTGATGATAGGCAGACAAATAGATACAGGTAATGCAGACTGAAAGATATTTCATTAACGAAGATTAAATGGTAAACTTCACGCCTTCTTTTGGGGTTTCTAGTTATGTAGATTTTGTCAACATTTACAGTATTATATATCATTTTAATCTAGTTAAGTTTTTTTTAAATGATATGTGTAAATTTCCCAGATTATTAGGATTCATTCCTCATTAGTATACATTATGATTTCAACATTACTATGTAAGATTAAAGAATTATTCTTGTGTTTGATTAACCAGTAGGAAAAAGGCAGGAGGATGTGAAATCTTCTCACCAGTATACACACTCGCAATGCTTTGTGAAAGCAAGTGCAGATTCTATTTAATAATGTTGCTAAAACTGAATATGTGGTTTCAATGGATTGCTAACATTTTTCATACTGACAGCATACTGTATATACAGATATTGCTTGAGCCACTGAGACAAAGCAAATGAAGAAGAGATCTATATAAACAGAACCTGGAACCCAGCAGTAGTCTATGACTGTTATGGAAGAAATTCAAAGAGCTTATCTCACTTTATCTATATTTAGCATCACTATAGAGAACACTCTGAGTTGATAATGTAATTTCTGTTGCATTTAATTTCAAATCTAGAGTTTGTATCCACTTGTTTAAGATATTTTCTATTTATATTCCCCCTTGTGTTTCATTAGGACAGTACGTGTATACAAAGGCAACCAGAGTTTTGGGTTTACCCTACGTGGCCATGCTCCAGTCTGGATCGACTCCGTGATACCAGGTATGAAATGTATAGGTGTATGGATGTATGGGTGGATGTATGAATGGATAGATGTATGTTTGTAGATTTTGGTTGTACGATTATAGTCTGAGGAATAATCACGGTTCTTTCATTTCAAAATATACTAGTTTAGAAAATCACATGAAATGCCACTTCTTATGTTTTAAAGTGTTATCAGTAACCAATTAATACAGCACAAAATAACAATAAAAAACAAACAATATAATCCATTTATCTTTAGACCTAAAAATAAGTGAAAAATACTTTTGGCATTTAAACATAAGGTAATAATTTTACACTGAATATAAAGGACGAAACAAAAATAAATAAATAGTTTTGTCTAATGTAATTTTAAGCATCATATTAGTTAAGTATTTCCCTTTTAAATAGAACAGATGTAGTCAAAGGCTGCTGAACCCCTGTCTGAAAGGCACTAATATGCACGCAAACCCTGTGCCTTCATTAAAAATAACAAACTTGTGCGCATAAAAGATGGAATATGTGAATGGCCCTTAGTTAAAAACCTCCTCAGCCATAGTTAAAATCAGCTTTTGATCCAATGTGCGTGGGTATTGTTTACAAGCTTGAAACTTTAAACTAGTGCACAGTTGGCATAACTTTAAGTTGCAGCAGTTTAGTTCTATGCAGAAATATGGTGTTGAGAAGCCTTTACGTTTAATTAATCGTGACGAATTAAACCACGGTTAATGGTGAAATCGGTTAATCGTTGCATCCCTGTATGTATGGATGTATGGATGGATTTGGAGTTTTCTGCTTTTCAACAATTTGCATTTCATATGCTGTATTACTTTAATTAATGTTTTGCTTTCCCTTTTTATGTTTTGTATGGCAGCACTATTGTTGTCATGTCATATTATTTCCCAATAGGTCTTCTCATTTATATAACAAAAGAGCAAAAAAGCATTTATCCTAGTTTAAAGGCAAGGGTGAAAAAAAAATAGAAATGCATATATTTTAAACATAAACAAGTGAAGAGTAGTCTTTCCTCTCCATATCCACCAGACACCTTATAAGCTCACACATACTTCTTAGAAAACATTGTGCAATTCTGAGTGTGCTTACCCACCACCACCACCAAAAAACCCAAAATTTAGACTTTATATACTGCAAGGGCCCTTTTCATACACCCGGTGCAAGGCGTGACACAATTGTTGTTTGCTAGTTTCAGCTCGGTGCAAGAGTTGTTTTGGCATTTTGCACCATGCTGTTTAAATAGCAAATACATTTGTGCTCATATGTGAGCCCATAGGCGTTCTGGTCTAAAAAGGAGGCGTGTTAAGGTGCATTGCTGGCGCGTTGCTATTTTGAGGAACTTAAATAGACTGTTCAATAGACCAGATCAAAGCAGGTCTATAGTCCAGCGCTGAGCACGTTATTTGTGCGCCTTAATCACACAATGCTTAATACACACAGGATGTACATAATACGCAAGTATCTTTACCAATGAAAAAGAATCAAAGGATTAAAATATTTTAAAATGTATTATTTTCTAGCCTACATAAATATAAAAACCACCACCTCCATAACTTCTTCATCTCGGGGGGCTTTTTCAGTTAATTCATAACAATTTGCTTTTGTATAATGTATTATTATTAGCTGTATTATTTATTATATCCATATTTATATTTGTTGTATTAAATACAAGCTTAGATTTGTCCACCTGTCAGGTTTTAGAAAATATGGGGCACAGTATGTGTATTTGCATATAACTCAGTTTTTTGACCACACTTCATTATTATTGATCATTTATTCGTTTGCTGGAAATTAGAACTGAATTTAGAAATAGTTTTGAAGCAAATCTTTGCGGATAACAACTTAAATGAATTATTTATAAGCTAATGGATGTTTGTGCGTACAACACGTTTCCTTATCCATGAGAGTGAAAGTGAAAGTAAACAATGAAGAGGCTCGTCTCTCATTCTCTGGCTGTAGATGCTCTGTTTAACTGTTTTCTCTCAAATGAAGTGTTCAGTTTTTCCCACTTACAAAGTCTGCCATGTACAATGCAAATGCGCTATGGCCCGGCATAACTGGCTCTTAAAGGGAATGTGAGATGAGACTGATTGGTTTATACTCAAAACACACCTATAACTCATTAAGAGAATAAGCTCGACCCTTTTATACCATGCGCCACGGCGCAAAGCGGATTTTCCCTTCCTTAAAATAGCAAAAGTGGATTCTGACACGCCTTTAATGCGTTTGGGCCCTGCGCTTTGCGCATGGAACGTTAAAATAGAGCCCCTACTCTCTGATGATTTGAAGTGCTTCTTTTATCCTCACTTGTCAGTGACTTAAGATAAAACATCTGCTAAATGAGTAAATGTAAATGTACTGTACATGAGTCAATTATCAGGCGTATTATTGAAGCAGATGACGTGCATGCTGAAATCATGCAAAATTCTGTCATAAATGACTCATGTCGGCCATTATAAAGTTAGGCGGCAAAACTGGCAGAGTACAAGAACAGCAGGAGTCGAGAGAGAGAGAGAGAGAAACAAGAAGACACAACAGAAGACTCTCCACAGGCTGAGTCAGAGGGGCACAGGTGGTGGAGCTCTCTTTTTATCTAGCGCAAATCCTTTTAGATTCACACTTTTCCCACAAAAAGCCAAAAAGAGACATCCATTCTTGGGCAGGATGTGACAAATACCCAAGCTGCAGCAACTTGACTTAGAGATCTCACGTCATTTCAAAGGGCAGCGCATGAGCACAGCTTAATCTCAGTTGGAGTCCATATGATATGCTGTCAGTAGTTACTTTCTACTTGGTCTCTTGCCATTCCTCCTGCAGGCAGCCCTGCTGAGAAGGCGGGTCTCAAACCTGGAGATCGCATCCTGTTTCTCAATGGATTGGACATGAGGTGAGGCTTGTGATTGGGTTGGACTGGAATACAGTGATTGTATTTATATTATATTATCATTTATATATAAAAGTGCAGCCCAGAAACAATCTTTCCACACCAGTTTGATAATATATACTGTGTATATAAGTTAATCACTGACTTTATTGACAGCATGTAATACTGATCTATAAGTATTATCTGAGGATTTGTTTACCTCATATGTTGTGTTGGGACTTAAATGAAACTCAAAGCACTCCTTGCATCATAATCATCAGAATGGATTCACCATTGCCAGCTGGGTTTTTTCTGGTTTCCTCAGGAGCTGTTCCCATGAGAAGGTGGTGTCCATGCTACAGGGAAGTGGGGCAATGCCAAGCCTGGTGGTTGAAGATGGCCCACCGGCCTTCACCATGACTGAACCCGAACAGGTGGAGGTATCTCCCCGATCCCGTGCTCCTGTGCTCAGCTCCCTACAGTGGGTTGCTGAGATCCTGCCTCCTAGTATCCGTGTACAGGGCCGCACCTTCAGCCAGCAGCTTGAACACCTTCTCACACTCCAGGAGAGATACACCATCTGCAAGGCACTAGAAGCCTTTTTCCAGCATAGGTGATGTGTTAACTTGTATGGAAATTTTTCCATACTTTTCCTGAACTGTGTGAGAAGCCTGATCATTTTTCTCCTGTGCCATTAGAAATGTAGACACCTTGATTGTGGATGTCTTCCCTGTGTTGGATACGCCAGCAAAACAGGTGATCTGGCAATTTGTTTACCAGCTGTTGACCTATGAGGAGCAAGAACACTGCCAGAATAAGATCTCTCGCTTTCTTGGATATAAAGTTACACGTAAGCTGTCACATTTCTCGTAATTCTTCTTCCATTTGAAAACAATTTATTTACATATACATGCTTGCTTTCCTTTCTTATTGATAGTGCCAGCAGCAGAACCTGAACCTCCAGCCCATGAGCCTCATCGACGCAGCAGCTCCATGAAGGTGACAGGAACCACCTACAGAAGCAGTGTGAGGGGACGCAGCTCAGATGATCTGGTTATTGGCACTCACCTGGGGATGGGTAGGTTTTCTTCAAAGACTGTTGTACTACACAGCATGTCATAGCATACGATAGCACTAAGTTTCTTTTGATGTCAATGACTCCCAAATATATACATCTACATTTCCTTACGCTGATTGAGCACTGTGTAAAGAACATCCATTGGAAATAACGAACTTGCACATGCAAAAGATATATGTCAACGACGTATGAATCAGCATATACTGTACATGATTAGTTACCGGTATGTAATGAAACTGTTTTAAGTTTCAAACTTGCAGTACTAATATAAAAACTGAATACAACATTGTCCATTATTATAGAAACTAGGAGCTTTTTTTGGAAAATAAAATGAGAATCAATGTACCCTTTTCTTTGTTCATGAGGGATTTGCACTGAGCCAGTGGAGGCGGCTCCTATGAGGCTGACACCTGGAGAGAGACAATCTGGGGATGGAACATCCTTACCAGAAACGCCTAACAATTTGACAAATGTGAGTGCCCTTTATTGATTCCTCTTGAAAAAGTAAAAAAAAAAATTGACACAAGTATACTGTATATGTCCTTGTGCTCTGTCTAGTTGTCAGCTGTGTATGCCGAGCTGGAGAATGTCTATGCTGGGAAAAGATCCAAATCTCTGAAGAGTCGACCTCCTCCTGCTCCTGATACTCTGGTTAGCGTGGATGTCTTCCCTCACACTACCTCACAGTCTGTTAGGGCACACTCTTCTACTCCATCTGTTCGCGCTACTTCAGGTACCCAACTTTATATTTTTGACTTGTATTGTAACTGGTGGTTTCCAGAACGTTTTGGTCAAAATATGTACAATTTGATGGTCTCAAAGGCTGCCAGAGACTATTGATTTTCCATCTTCGTTTCTTAGGTAGTCGCAAATCTGGATCAGCACAACATGTGCCTCCTCCTCCACCGCCACCTCCTCCAGAGCCTGACCCTTGGATGCAGGAGACTCCTCTCAGTCCTCAGTGCCCCTGCTACCCCCCAGGTCTTCCTTCTCAAACCAGTGCTGAGTCCAATCCCTACATCAGTTTAGACAGTCCACCGCTCTCTCCACCCTCACCTCCTGACTACCCCCCTAGTCCACCCATTCGGAAAAAGCGATACACCTTCTCACGTCCGCCCCGTACAGCAGACACTGATCTGTTCATGGAGGCTCTAAGTGAACAGCTAGGACAGCAGTTATCTGTGGATGACTTCTTGTCACCGGAGAATGACTATGAAGAGGTTTGTATATCAATAAGTGGATTGATGCTTGTTTTTTTTTTGTGGCTTAACAAGCACAATAGCTAATCATTAAAGAATGATTGTAAAACTGATTGCTAATTTGATGTTTTGCTTCAAAATAGGATGTTGTCCAGATGACTTTTCAGGACGAGGAAGAGGAGGTAGAGGTGGATGAGGAAGAGGAGGAGGAGGAGGAAGAGGAGGAGGAGGAAGAGGGTCCGTACATGCCTCCTGAGCTAAGCAGTCCGAGTGAAGTGCATAGTAGTAGTGAGGATGCCAGCTCTCTCACCTACTCCTCCAGCTCTGAGCACATTCCTCCACCCCCTCTGACTCCTCCTCCCCCTCCCCCTGTCCAATTCAATGACCCCCCTCCACCTGCTGGGTTCACCCCAGAACATGCACCTCGACAGCTGACATTCCGTCGTCACCCTGGACCTCCTCCGCCACCTCCACCAAGAGCCAACCCACCTCCAAAGCGGCAGTCCATTCACAAGGTATTACCCACACGTGATGAGCTAATGAGCCAGCAACAACTCCTTCAGGAGCACCATTCACTTCCAGTTCAACCAACAGCTGGCCATCCTCAGCAGTCTCAGCAGCAGATGCACCAATCTTTACCTCCTATGCCCTCTCCAGAAATAAACCAGACATCCATCTCCGGTCATGCAATCTATGAGATGCAGTCTCAGGTCCATCCAGCTCACCAGGTTCATCAACATCCCCAGATGCAACAGGATCACCAGATGCACCAATTTCATCAACATAAACGTCATCAATCTCAGTCGATCAAAGTACACCACAGCCATCGCTCACACCAGCCCATACAGACTCAGCTCTCTAGCTCAATGGATAGGCTTGACAGGATTGACCGAAATCCAGATAGACTTATCTATGAGATGCAGCCCCAACCCCTTCACTCAGATCAACAAGTGCATCATGCTTATGAGATGCACCAGAGTCATCAGGCTCACCTTACAAGCTCCATGGACAGACTTGACCGCTTGGAGCAGATCCAGCACTTGGAACGCTTGGAGCGTATGGAGCGGATTGAGAGACTGGAGAGGGCAGATAGACAAATGCACCGGGCACACATGGCTCAAGCTCTTTCTCAAGCTGTTCAACCACCTCAGCAGAGTCAGCAACAGTACAACCAGCAGCAGTACCAGATGCATCAATCTAATCAAGACTACCCACCGACCCAGCCTCCTCCACCAACCCGTCACATTCACCAGATTGAACACATACACCAGGTCCAGCCCATTCAGTCAGCTCCGCAATACCACCAGATCCATCAGCCGCATCAACCCCACCAGACCCAACAGATTCTGTCTACCTTCCAGCCTCACCCTTCACAACTGCAGCAGCAACAACAACTGCTTCAGCAGCAGTTACAGCAGCAGCAGCAACAACAGCTTCAGCAACAGCAGCAACGTCAGCAGCAACAACAGCTTCAGCAGCTTGAGCAACAACAACAGCTTCAGCAGCTTGAGCAACAGCAACAGCTTCAGCAACAGCAGATTCAGCAGCAACAAGCTCAGCAGCAACAACAGATTCAGCAGCAACAACAGCATCGCTCAACTCCGCAGATACCTTCTGTTGCACAGGCTAGACAGAGCCCTCAACCCATGTACCATGAGCATCGTCATCACCACCACCACCGTAGCCACCATGAAGCTCAGTCTCAAATGCAACCACCAATTTCACCCCAACCTCAAACTCACAACCCCACTGAAGGTTCCTCTGTGGAACCACCTCCACCACCCCCTTTACCCCCACCTTGCGTGCCTCCTCCACTACCAAAGGGCTCCCCTCAAAAATCTGATTCCAGTCATATGAGTGTAAAGCGGCTACGTTGGGAACAAGTGGAAAATTCTGAAGGAACCATTTGGGGACAGGTAAACTTAAAAAAGCTGAGTGTTTGTGTGACAAAAGTTTTTTACGTCTCAAATGGCTCACAGGTTTTGTATTTGACTTCAGGAATTTCGACAATGAGTTGTTGAAAATAGTGGCTGCTTACTGTATCTGCAATTTTAAAACTATAAGAGAGCAGTTGACAATTCTGAACTAAAATTCTTCTCTAATCATCCAAGGAGATCTTAAAAAGGAACAGTATGCCATTTGAGACATACATTGATGTCTGTATATAATGTAGCATGAGTTCCATCATCATAAGTTTGTCTCAAACCATTAGATTTTTTTAAATTCCATTAGACAATGATTTTATTTTTATATTTCAGATGGAAGAAGACTCTGATTATGACAAGCTGAGTGACATGGTGAAATATCTAGACCTGGAGCTTCATTTTGGTACACAAAAGACTCCTGGTGAGTAAAGTGTGGTCATTTGGCAAGTAGCTGAAACCAGCCTAATCTACTGGACACCCACTTCCTTTCTACATCTTTGAAGGATACAGTGTAGTTCATAGCTAGGTGGCATGTGTTGTATATAGAGTATGAGGTCTATATAATTGTTCATGTAATTGTCAATTTTTGACCGAAATTTAAAACAAACCAGTATTTTTGAAAGTGTACTTTATTTACAGTATGTGTATGCTTTGATTTAAGGATTTGTGAGCATGTAAAAATTACTTCCAATTAATAATAATAATAATAATTCCTTATATTTATATAGCGCTTTTCTAGACACTCACAGCACTTTACACATTGAGGGGAATCTCCTCATTTACCATCAATTCTATTAAATATATAATATAATATTGGGATGGTTTAGAGGCCATGATAGGCAAATTTGGCCAGAAAGCCGGGGTTAAACCCCTACTCTTTTTCAAAGAACATCCTGGGATTTTCCTGAGAGTCAGGACTCTCATCCAAAAGACGGCGCTCGCTGAGCAGTATAGAGTCCCCTTCACTATACTGGGGTGTTAGGACTCTGTCCGCAGGTTGAGCGCCCCATGCTGGCTTCCACTTCCAACAGCAACCTATTTTTCCCATGTGGTCTTCCGTTCAGGTACTGACCAGGCACAGAGTTGCAGAGAGCTAGTTGCCAGCACTTAACAACTACCCACTGTGATTTAAAGAATTTAGAGCAGGTTGCTTGTGCACCATTGATTAACTGCATACAAAACAACCATATTTGATTTACGTGCAAAAATGTTTAGCATGTATGCCACTACAGTAATTCTTTTTCAACTCGCAGTCCTTTTTACTGTAGTACTTGCAACATACATGTACAACCCTGGCCAGCAAAAAAGCAAATATAGCATGCTTTGGGAAGACTTACTAAAGGTTTAATGGGTTTCACCACAGCTGTGATGCAGATCAATTGAAGCTCAGAAGCTCTTCTGTACACATATTTTAAAATGTTGAAAAGAAAGGAACATGAAAATCTGAATGACAACATCTTAAAGAATGACTATGAGACAGACCAAAAACGGTGTATTGTGATACTGCCATATTTATGTCAGAAAGATGACCATCAGTTTTACTGTTTTTAAACACATGTGCACTCAGTGTTTCAGAGTAATGATGAAAGCAACATGAGCTGTTAATATTTAAAGGTGATTACATTGTTACAATCTCACAAGGTTGGCTCGTTGTGGCCAATCAAACACACTGTGAATGATGAATGGTTACAGGGGTGATCGTCAAAATAACAATGTCATTACGTATTCATGTGTTTATGTGTTTTCATATAATTTCCGAACAGAATCACTGAGAAGTAACGACTCTATTTATTAAAACTCTGACTGTCCTTTCCTCTCATGACAACATGTCTCCATTTGAAAGTTATTTTCATTCATGTTGCAATTCATGTCTCAGTTGCTCTTCCAGAGCCCTCACCTCAGGTGGAGACTTTCAAAAAGAAAGATGTGGTGGAGATTCTTTCCCATAAGAAAGCCTACAATGCTTGTGAGTAGCAATGCAACTAGGCAGAATACTTTCATCTTGAATGTCGTTTTTTAAAGTAAAACATCTTTAGTGTAATGGGCTGTACATGGCAAATTTGTGCTGATGTATGAGTTTAGTGGAGTTAAGTGGTAAATGTTTAGATGATGTTCTTGTGTGCTTCCCAGTCAAGGATTAACTTGTATATGTTGGTGTTTTTTTTTGTCTGGCTTTGCTACTGTGCTTTTCCATTTTGAAGCAGCTTGATTTTTTGATTGTTCCAACTGTTTTAGCCATAATTAATAAGTTATCCTTATGCACAATTGTCTCTTCTATCATTTTTATAGCAATCTTGATTGCCCATCTGAAGCTGTCTCCAGGCGAGCTACGTCAGGTACTAATGACAATGTCAAGTGAACGTTTGGAGCCACCACATATCAAACAACTGCTCCTGTATGCACCGGACGATGATGAGGTCAGACAGTACGAGCAGTACAGAAATGACCCAGGCAAACTCAGCGAGCCCGATCAGTTTGTCTTACAGGTACAAGACATGATGTTTGCAAATAAGGTTGAAAGGTTTTGCATAAAAATGACAACACTGTTTTAATAATTCCCATTCAATCAGAACCAAAATGCAAATGTTTTTCTTTTGCATTTTTGAAAGGTTTTGCAAGAAGATGGCAATGCTCTCATGACAATCCCCATTCAAGTTGAGCCAAAAATGCAGTTATCAACTATATGAATAAATGTTTTCATCTATTTAAGGGGAACTTCTCTAAATTGAAAATGCCCTCCATAATTTGTAACCACACCACACTCATTTGGAAAATGGTGAACAATTTAGACACATCAGTGAGCCACTATCATTATGTGAGGTTCTGAAATTGCTTGCAAGTGCATGCTCACTTATACTTTGAGTGACTTACACAATTATATGTTCTTTATGTACATGCACCATTTGTACTGAGCGCACATTTCACGAATAAGAAATTTGTTGATCAAGTTCAGGATCAGTAGTCATCAGAATCGGAAAGAGCTTTACTGCCAGGTATGTTCGCACATACGAGGAATTTGTTTTCGTGACAGAGCTTCTACAGTGCAACAGAATTACAGAGACAGGACAAAATACAGATAACAAATATATATAAAAAAGCAGTAAGTAGTGAATGCAAATACACAAAAAGAAAAGTGAATGTAGAGTGAATTATTATATGCAATTTTATATGTGCAGCTGTTATGTGCAAAGTGGCATGTAAAGTGTGTTGTTAAGTGTATATGTGCAGTCAAAAAAATTATATGTTGGCTTTAATTAACTTTTTTATGTCAACAGGTTCCACGTAACCGAGTTAGGTTACCTTAAAGAAAGAATATTCATTTGAGCTTAAGTTAGTTAAATAAAGGTAATGTATGTTGTTTAGTTCAATTAACGCAACATTTATAATTTAGCTTTAATTTATTTACACCGTTAAAAAAAAAATTTGTTAAATTTACAGAAAAATACCGGCTGTGAATTTTCTGTAAAAATACAGAAGTTTTATAAGACTGTTTAAATTTACAGAAAATAACCATATTCCATTATCTGATACTATGCTCATTTTACAAAAACCTAGTTTAGCTCACAAAAACGTAAAGTCATTTAATGCACTAATGTGTTCATGTGTGTACAATTAGCAAGCAGATTTTCACTGCATTAGTAACTGTACAGTTACCTTTAAATAAAAGAAGATGCAGCACAACATCAGCTATCCTTAGTTCATATTGAACTTGCACACAGATGCTACTTTCTTCCACAATGATAGAGACATTTCCCAGTGGCCTGACGGTCATCTGGCCTGCCACCGTGATTCTGGCCCGCTCCGCCCCCACTTATCATAAACATTGCGCTTCTCTCCCTAAAATTAATTTGATAATAAAAAATTAATCCTTAACAAAGTATAAAAGTACAATTATTAAGCACGTATTATTATCAAGTGTTCATGAGATGGATTGCCTGAGGAAAGGAAATTGTTTCTGTGTCGGGCTGTTCTGGTGCGCAGTGCTCTGTAGTGTCGACCAGAAGGTAAAAGTTCAAAGAGGCAGTGTGCTGGGTGTGAGGGGTCCAGAGTGATTCTGGCAGCCCTTCTGCTCGCTCTAGATAAGTATAGTTCTTGGGTAGTAGGGAGGGTTGTACCAGTGATTCGCTCAGCATGTGCAGATGACCAATGACTCATAGTTTTGTCAGTCATATCTCTTTATTATTATCACAGGATTTGTGAAATATCATGCTGCAGCTTAAAATGGTTTGCTCATCACGTAAGGGACCAATGTCCAACTAAATGGTTTGCACTTCAATAAATACAATAAAAAAATGACAGTCGAGATTTGCCATGGTAGGCAAGGAATGTAATTTGTGCATGGATGAACAATGCATAACACAGATGAGACTAAAATCTGCAGCAAGCCTAAAGCTAATGAATATAAACTAATGTGCAAAATGAAAACGTTACGAAATTGTTGCCGATAAATGACCGCTCAGTGTTGCCACTGACCATGATTAAATTGTATTTAATTTTATTTGCATTGATTACATTCAAGTTATTCTTACAATTCTAACAATACTTGTTCTTTTGTATATTTTCAGATGCTTTCAGTGCCAGAGTATAAGACCCGCTTGAAAAGCCTGCATTTTAAGACCACGCTGCAAGAGAAAACAGAGGAGATGAGAGGGGCCTACGATTGTGTTTTCAAGGCTTCACTGGAGCTCAAGAACAGCAAAAAACTTGCCAAGATTCTGGAGGTATAATTCCTTCATTCCCACTGATTCATTTAGTTTCTCCTCGGGCACACATGATCCCACAGTCACGAAAATTAACACAGCAAAGAAAATCATCCATGGATAAAAGATTGTTGACATGTACCTAGGGCAGACTAGTCGTAATGCACAATAAATATATACCATAACAGTGCACACATTGAATTAATATGAGCTTCTTACTATGGCATTACAACTTTTTCTTGTTTTCCAGTTTGTGCTGGCTATGGGGAACTATCTAAACAACGGCCAACCTAAGACTGGCAAAACAACTGGGTTTAAAATCAATTTCCTCACTGAAGTAAGCAATATAGCTGTGCCTGCATATAAGGTTATCATTTGTATTATTAAAATTTCTCCAATGTTCTGATTCAAGCTCAGTACTACCAAAACAGTTGATGGAAAATCCACATTTCTGCATATCCTGGTGAAGTCATTGTGCCAGCACTTTCCTGAGGTTCTAGACTTTGGGAAGGAGCTAGTGATGGTGCCACAAGCAGCTAAAGGTGAACACGCTGTGTGTTATTGAGTCCAAATTCATCTTAATAAAATTTCATTTGACATTTCATAGACAAAGGCTTATTTATGCAATCCATGTTCTCTTTAGCAAGTTTTATCCAACACATGGATCAACATTTCCCTTTAAAATTGGTTTATTGTTATCATAAAGTGTGCAGAATGGTTGATAGCTCTGTATTTGTCACTGCTTTACTCTCCACAGTGAATCAGAGAAACATCACCTCTGACTTTAATGATCTACATGCCACAATCCAGGACATTCGTGTAGCCTGTCAGAAGATGCCAGCCACTGCTGAGGACCGATTTGCTGTTGTTATGAGTGTATCCTCTTATCAATATCTAAAATGACTCGATGTAGTGCATTTAAGTTCATAGAATGTTTTGGCACAATCAAATTGATGATATACAAGTAAAAATGTGTGCCGGGAAGCAATAATCAATCATTTTATTTTTGTATACTTGTGTCAGAGTTAATGACAACTCACATCATACTGACCCACAATCAAACAGAAAGACTAGCATGTTTCACATGCTCCAGTCCTTTACAACAGGTTCAGTAACATCTATTTTAAATATTGTTGGTGGAGTTATTTAATGGAATAAGTGTTTGTGGAGCTGTAACAACAATACTCCTGCCTCTGAAATGTTTTTGTCCACTACACTACAAGAATTCAAAAGAATCCTTGATTTTCTAAGCAGTTAAACTGACCAACAGGACTAGATTATATAAGCATTTCAGGGAAGGAATGTGCTTAATATTTGCCAAATTCACCACAAAATTCCTTAACGACCTGCATGTAGGGGTTTCTGGAAAACAGTCACCCTGCAGTGCAGTCTCTGGAGTCTTTACAGCAGAGAGCGATGGAGGAGTTCTGCAAAGTTGCATCATACTTTGGTGAGGATGGAAAGACCACCACCACAGAGAATTTCTTTGGTATCTTCGCAGAGTTCATTGCTAAATTTGAGGTAGGTTTTTTTATTAAATAAAATTGTATTATTTATTTGTAATTTGTAGGATGACCTAGTAAATTAGGCGCTAGTGGAGAAATGTATTAAGGCTTTTAGCACAGACAGGTGGCAAAAAATAGGTCACTCCTCCTTCCCTCATCTGAGCTCTCATGAGAGTTGTTTTTTATACACAACTAGTTAACAAGACAACCCAAAAACAGCATTAAATACAATGTCACACTGACTTAAGAAGAGATATTCGTATTCAATAAAGGTATTCATTTCTTTGTCAATAGATGAACATCTTATATTTGTGTTAATCCAAGGCAAGACTCCAGGTGAATAGGGTAAAAATGCAACTGTTGGCTATGACCATCCTTCAGCTAACTTAAAATTTTAGAAATAGTAAATAAAATACACAAACTACCTAGTAGATAAGAAAAATGATAACTGACCAGTGCTTTAAAAATATACTTAAATATTTATGTCTATTATATTTAGCTTATTCTAGTCCGTAGAATGTGGATATCATTTTTACTTTAGAATAGGGGGTCAAATTGCCTTTATTAGCACTGTATTAATGACAATATCCTTGAATATTAGCTTGTTCTAGCCAATAGACTTGAATATCCCTCAATAAGTGCCATAATTAATGTGAATAGACTTTCACTTTAAAATAAGGGGTCAATTTTCCTTTATTAACATAGTATTAATGACATTTAAACCTTGATTATTAGCTTGTTCTAGTCAATAGACTTGAATATCCCCCAATAGGTGCCATAATTAATGTGGATATCAATTTTACTTTAAAATAGGGGCTCAATTTTCCTTTATTAGCACTATATTAATGACATTTCAACCTTAATTATTTGTTTGTTCTTGTCAATAGACTTGAATATCCCTCAATAAGTGCCATACTTAATGTGGAAAACACTTTCACTTTAGAATAGGGTGTCAAATTGCCTTTATTAGCACCATATTAATGACATTCTAGCCTTAATACGCTACTAACTAGTTTTAGTCTATAAACTTGAATATAAAGTGTCATTATTAATGTGGACATAACTTTAGGACATGAGGTTAAACAGTGTTTAATACCCTATTTTAGCCATATATAACTGCAAAACAGCAGTAATCTAACCATTATTACTAGCTTGTTGTTCAGTAACTTACACAATGAATCAAAGAAAAAATATAGGGCTTATCAAATTGTAAATAATGGTTAAAATGCCTTTAATATATGTTTAGTTAATCATGAATTATGTGTTTGCTTATGTTTAACTGATGCATAATTGTGAACAAGTGAATCATGATTAACTTAAATGGCTCCTTAAGCTCCTTAATGATTATTAAGGTGCATAAAGTTAACCCTTAATGACTAGTAATTTTGTTTTTAACTAATGCTTGTCAACAATTAATTAATGTTAAACTAATGCATTTTTGGACTCTTAAAATAAAGTGTTACCTGATCTTTTCTGTGTACTGTGATTGTCTAGATTAGGTTATTAGATTATGACATTTAATATGGGAATTGCTTTTAGAGGACTTTGAGTGATATCCAGACCGAAAACCCTCCACGAAGCCCCAGGAGCCCTCGCGCCACCTCTCCTGTAGCCTGGTGAAGAAACCACCCACCATGAGGCAAACACACTCGTACTGTACAAACAAACATACAAGCTCACTTGCATACACTCCTACAACTGTCAAGTCCAATTTAGTGATACTGTAGTCAGGTATTTAAGGAGACATGTACAATGACAGTTTAATGGAACAAGGGCAGTGAATGGTGCATAAATGGTTTTAAACTATCAGTGAGTCATTTATATGGTTGGGCTGTGTGATTGTTATTTGCACTCAAAAACCAGAAGGATCTGCTTCTTATAAACAGAATTTGGGGTAAAATAATATCTTCAAATTTTGTGCAGGGGATTTTGTAAATATATTAAATACAGTTAAATAAATTATTTAATGTAAAATGGATTTCACTAGGACTGTGAGTATCAGATCTTGACTGACTTGATATAGTATATTTATAATGTTGTTTAGGAGAAAAGTGCTTTAACAATGTGTCTTAACTCTGCTTAAATGCTTAAAACAACTTTGGTTGGAGTTGTTAGTTGCTCATGTAAATGGTATTTTTGCTGAACTAATGTCTTAACAGATAAAAGCCGATTCCTCATACGCAGAATGTTTTAAGTGCAATATATTATGAAATATTTAAAGAGTGTAAAGATATTATTGTATAAGAGATGCAGATAGGACTTATATTGCTTTGGAGAAAAGATAGATTATGATTTTGCTATATGCATTTGCTATTTTGAAATTTTAACTTTTATTTAAAAATGGACTTTCGTGCTGCTTAATTCCTTATTACCATAGTTAATCACACAATTATGGTATCGTTCTGTGATCATACTGAATGTTTAAAAATTATATGGGACTTTCCGTATGATTTGTTTTGAACTATCTGAATGTAATCATTTGAAAATATGAGACATATGATTGATGATTAAGTGTTGATGGGTGTAAAAATATTTATGACAAATATTGTGTGAATTCATTTGATTTGTATAATGGTTTAAATTTGTCCATCAATATTTTTTTACTTTACATTTTACTTTAAAAACATGTGTCTTAACATTACATAATTTATTACATCATTTATATTAATTTGAGTCACAATTTCAAATGTCAGTATTGTAAAGGCTCTGATGTTGTCTGTTTTACATAACTGTTGATTTTAATATGGTTTACAATGTTAAAAGACATTTTTATTTTCTCAAGATGGATGGGAAGGCTGAAAGAGAGTTTAGATTTGAATGTTTTGAACTTAAAGTGCCATAGGAAGCTATTTAAAGGCTGGTTGTGATTAATGCAAAAAAAGCTATTTTATATAAATATATATATATATATATATATATATATATATATATATATATATATATATATATATATATATATATATATATATATATATATATATATGAACACTTACAGGACATTACATACACACTATATATATATATATATATATATATATATATATAAACACTTACAGGACAGTACAGCACTTTTACAACAGTTCATTCGTTTGAGAAATTTCTTTTGTAATATATCATGTTTAATAAATGTTGGCACCTCTACTGAGTAACTTTGTGAGTGAAGTTGCAACATTGCTCTGTTGTCATTACTGTTTTGGTAATAAAACACCCTTACATTTTAACTAATGTGTAGTCTTACATGAAGGCAAGTGGAATTTGATCCCTTTGATCGAAGAAGGGTTTTCTAGAAACACTGGATTTGATCACAGGAGACCCTACAGTTCTGTTTAAATGGCCTATTCACTAGGATAAAGTCTTCTATGTTTTTCTGACACGTTGCTCAGGTGAGTCTTTAAATATTATATTCGTTCTCTTTGTTCATGTAGTGGATGTCCATGTCCATGTCATGTATGAATGACTGAAAAAGTTCAGTTTTGTTCCATTCACCAGACAGAGAACACAGTTTTGTTAATATTAATATATTTGTTTATTTTACTTTTGGTGGGTGTGAATGATATTTAACAGTTCAGGCTTTTAAACCACTTGTTCAGGCTTATAAACAATGCTCAGGTCTTGTTTAGGCTGACGCTATTAGCATGTTTCCTCTTCTATTTAGACAATGGATGACTAAACCACATATATATATATATATATATATATATATATATATATATATATATATATATATATACAAACATATATATGTACTGTATATGTATGTATATATAACTTGCTGGCTACTTTATTAAGTACACTGTATTTATCTGCTTGCTAATGAAAATATTTCAGCCAAACACATGGTAACGATGTAGTTAAAACAATATAAAACAAATAGCAGCAAAAGAGGGAGAAAGTGACTTTTACTGATTTTAAACATGCCATGATCATTTGTCCCAGACAGGCTGGTCTGAGTATTTCTGAAATGTGTTCGTGATTTTCACGAACAACCTTTAGGGTTTACGGGGTATGCCTCAAGAAAGTCTGAAAACCCTGATAAACTGGTTCATATTTGTTTTAATAGCATTACTCCTAAACATCGCAGGATTGGACACCTCAGGTTTACAAAAATGTCTAGTTTTCTGTGCAAAAATGCCTCTGATGTCAGAGCAGAATAACCAAATTTTAAAGATCAGTAATTCAAATAACTACTTATTACAAAAGAGGTCTGCAACAGAGCAACTCTAAATGCACAACACATCAAACCTTGAAGCAAATGAGCTACAGCAGCAGAAGAAATGCACAGCAGTGAAACTTCTGTCAGATAAGAACATACAATTTCTGCTTTACTAGCTTTAGCCTTCCTTTACTGCTTTACTAACATTTTTCAATTTTTAAAGAGATATTTAGAAGGTAGGGTCAGAATGTTGTATGGACGCATGGATCTTGCCTTGTATCAATAATTTAGGCTGTTGGTGTAATAGTGTGTGGAAGCAAAGTATTTTCTCTGTACATTTTAGATTATTTAGTGCATCGTTTAAATGCCAGAGCTTACCTTTCAGCAAGATAATGCACAATGTCACTAAGCTCATCTATATTCTTGAACATGACAGTGAGTTCACTAAACTCTTGATTCAGCAGTTACTAGATATCACTCCAATAGAGTACATTTGAGTTGTACTGAAAAGGGAGATGAAACAAGTATAAGTGAAATTTCATGTCTTACCTTGACTGGATAATGGACATAAGGAAAAAATGCAGAAAATATACACAGTGCTCAGCATGATTGAGTACACCCCATTTTGAAGATGAATATTTGTATTCATTTCTCAGATAATATATGCAATGTACAGTTGCCATTAGAATTATTAGACCCCCTTTGATGTTTTTGATTTTTTTTATATTTCCCAAATGATGTTTAACAGAGCAAGGAAATTTTCACAGTATATCTGATAATATTTTTTCTTCTGGAGAAAGTCTTATTTGTTTCATTTCAACTAGAATAAAAGCAGTTTTAAATAAATGTAAAAAAAACATTTTAAGGTCAAAATCATGCCACTTCAATGTTTTTTTCCGATAGTCTACAGAACAAACCATCATTATACAATAACTTGCCTAATTACCCTAACCTGCCTAGTTAACCTAATTAACCTAGTTACGCCTTTAATTGTCACTTTAAGCTGTATTGAAGTGTTTTGATAAATATCTAGTTAAATATTATTTACAGTCACCATGGCAAAGATCAAATAAATCAGTTATTAGAAATTAAGAGTTATTAAAACTATTATGTTTAGAAATGTGTTGAAAAAGTCTTCTCCCTGTTAAACAGAAATTAGGGGAAAATCAACAAGGGGGCTAATAATTCAGGGGGGGCTAATCTGATTTCAACTGTATTTTTGTGCATTTGAACAAAACTGATTTATTAAACAGATATATTTATTAAAATAATACTTTAGTCACCAAACATATTTAGAAATTGAAAGATAATACAATTAAATGAATGCAAAATATTGGAAAAAAAATAGCAAACTTTAAAGTTTAAACAAAATTTAATTTTTATTTTTTTTTCCTTTTTTTAAATTTTGTATTTAAGATTTTTCTCTTACATATAAATTTGGATGTACAAGTTTTCGGACCATTATCATAACTTATTTTGTTAGATTAGCTCCAGATTTAGCTTTAGAACTGACTAATCTAATTTTTATGCACATATGTAATATTGTATAGCTGTCTTTAGAAAATATTAATTGAAATGAGAGATTTGTGAGGGAGTACTCATACATTTCCCAGAGATGGGTTGTGGCTGGAAGGGAATCCGCTGCATAAAAACATGCTGGATAAGTTGGCGGTTCATTCCGCTGTGGCGACCCTGGATTATTAATGGGACTAAGCCGACAAAATGAATGAATGTGTACTCATACAGTATGCTGAGCACTGTATGTATATAGTCTGCAATATACTGGAGTTCAATTTAAAACAGCTTAAATTGCTCTTCAGATGTGAATCTTTCCATTAAAAGTAAAAATCCTTATTCAGTATCATGAACAACTGGAACATTTGAGGAGTTTCACTTGTCAAAGTGGAAAACTTTTAATAGGTTACTAATGGTGTGATATTCTGTGAGTTTGGGGCTGATGATGCACATACCTTTACACACTTTGACGCAAAAAAAACTTTACTCTTTAACAAGACCTGAAAACGTGTCATTCATACTGCTATAGGCAAGTTTGCATATAATAAAAAATTTTTATCAGCAGTAAAACTATCATTTGTATGGCTTTATCAATTATCTTTTTGATCCTTTCTCGAGAGTTTTCGGATTTAAATGCTTGACATTCTTTCATTTTAACTTTATACCTGGGATCTGATTACACAATACTTGTAAAAGCATGAAACATGAAAATAGCGTTCAGATAATGTACTTTATAATCAGCTAAGATATAAAGTCATGTCTTGATATAATTACACAGTGTTCATGTCAGAGTCTGTGTATGAGACAATCATAAACCCTGTGCTGTTTTAAAGAGACACGCGCCTGAGAAACTCCCTGGCCTCATGGCTGCCACTGAGGCTCCCGATGCGTCTCCTACTCCCACCAGTGATGGCACAGCACAACAGACCACCCTCGCCACCACAGATATAGTGGTGCTTGTCATCTACTTCCTCTTGGTACTGGCTGTGGGCTTGTGGGTACGTTTCCTGAAATCACAATCATGACCATGTAATTATACAGTGACCCCTTTAGGCTTTATATTCTTGTTCTTTTTGCAATGCTCAATAAAAAAACATTGCTGTGTAAATATTTTACTTATCACATTTATGACTTAACATCTTGTATATGGCATATTTATAACCTTTGCTCACCCAACAGTCCATGTGGAAGACCAAGAGGAGCACAGTGGATGGATATTTTCTAGCTGGCAAAAACATGACTTGGTGGCCAGTAAGTGAGTTCATCTCAGTCAAATAAACCATGTCCATATTACAAGTGATGATTCACACTAAAATAAGAACAAATAATAGATGAGTTGTACAGTTATTTTTGTTAACATTAGTTAGTTAATGCATTAGTTAACCCAAACTGTAGTGTACATTTTAAAACACGTATTAATCTTTGTTGATGTTACTTAATAAAAATACAATTGTTCATTGGTTATTCATGTTAGTTTACAGAGCCTTGGCTAAATATTCATATTTATAGCTTAAAACAGAAATTAACATTTATACTGTAGGATCTTTTCACAAATTCTGTTCATTTATGTTAATGCAGTGAACTCATGTTCACAAATGAAATCTTAATGTGAAGTTTGACCATTTTACTGTTTATTGTTTGTGTTTTTATTATTTTTCCAAAATGTCCATCTAGTTTTGATTACTTTATTTGCTTGTTTTACTTTTTTTTTATTTTAAACAATACTAAAAAAAAGTTTACTTGGTAACTGAATGAAATAACAGTTGCAATCTGAATTATTAACCCCCCTGAATTATTAGCTCCCTTGTTTATTTTTTCCCCTCAATTTCTATTTAAGGGAGAGAAGATCTTTTCAGCACATTTCTAAACATAATACTTTTAATGACTAATTTCTGATAACTGAATTATTTTATTATTTCCATGATGACAGTAAATAATATTTTACTAAATCTTTTTCAAGACAATTAATGTGATATTTAAAGGCTTAACTAGGTTAATTAGGTCAACTACACAGGATAGGGTAATTAGACAAGTTATTGTATGACGATGGCATGTTCTCGAAACAAAATATAGCTTAAAGGGGCAAATAATTTTGACCTTAAAACTTTTTTTTTAAAAATTTATAACTGCTTTTGTTGTAGCGGAAATACAACAAATAAAACTTTCTCTAGAAGAAAAAATATTATCAGAAATACTGTGAAAATTTCCTTGCTCTGTTAAACATCATTTGTAAAATATTTAAAACAAATTAAAAAATAAAGTAAAGGGGGGCTAATAATTCTGACTTCAACTGTAAATTGTATATCACATTTCAGTTAACATTTATTTTACTCCAAGCAATGTTTTTGTTTGTTTGCTTCCTTGTTTTAGTCTTATTGTTTTGGCTTTTTAAAATCTTGGAATTAATGCAATTTCTGTCTCACACCTTCTCCATCTGTCATGTTATGCAGGTGGGTGCGTCTCTGTTTGCCAGTAATGTGGGCAGTGGTCACTTCATTGGTCTTGCTGGCTCTGGGGCAGCAGCTGGTATCGGTGCCGTCGCTTACGAATGGAATGTGAGCACACAGTATCTACAATTTAAGAAACAGAGAATGTATTGATCTGAAGAATTTAATACTTTATATGTGACCCTTGTCCACCAAACCAGCCATAATTATACATTTTGTGAATTGAGATTGTATTTTACCTATAAGAGTAGCACAACTGCCTCACAGCAAGAATGTCGCTGGTTCGAGCCTCGGGTGGGTCAGTTGGCATTTCTGTGTGGAGTTTGTATGTTCTCGCCATGTTGGTGTGGGTTTCCTCTGGGTGCTCCGGTTTCCCCCACAGTCCAAAGACATGTGGTATAGGTGAATTGGGTAAGCGTAGAGTGTGAATGGGTATGTGTGGATGTTTAAGCGGAAGTGACAAACTATATCTCCTAAATGTAAATTGTGCCACTGTTTTGAGGCATACTAGATTATAAATATCCGTAAGACTAACTTACTGATATACTAACTAATAAAAATTTAATTTCACAGGCCCTTAAAAGGTTTTCCAAATTAAGCTCAAAGCAGTGGTTATTACCAATCAAATATTAGATTTTATATATTTATAGTTGGACATTTACAAAATGACTTCATGAAACATGATATTAATTCTAATGATTTTTGATAATAAAAATGGCTGATTTTGCCTTTTGACCAATATACCCATGCATTGTCTGGTTTGTGGTCCAGGGTCTCATATACAGTAGATTCAGGAAAAATGTGAATAATTATGGAATAAGTGACCTCTACAGGCTCTTGTGTTGTATATAGTTAGTATCTCAGAGATTAACTTCACATGTTTTTGTGCAGGGCATGCTGATGGTGCTTGTCATGGGTTGGCTGTTTTTACCCATCTATATTGCATCAAGGGTGAGACAGCAGCAACACGTTTCATATAGCATTACATGCACAATTTTAAAATGTTTTGTATGGATGCATCAAAATACACTAAAAACAGTACCAGCTTTTACTGATATGCACATAACTGTTATGTAGATATAGTTAACTCAAACATGACCATTCATTTACTTATAAGCTGTTCGTTTGGATGCCCGTCACTGAATAAAAAAAAATAAAAAAAATCAGGATTCTGAGCTATAAAGTCGCAATTGCGAGTTGTAAAGCCTATGTTTATAATGTCCATGTGTAATACATGTGTCTGCAGCTACAAGTACACCACATATGCAATATGAAACAAATAATAGCCGCAACACGAGGTAAATCATGTCATTTTTACTCATATAATAGATAAATAATATAGAAATTTTAATTTTAGACTTTTGATGGAATCACACAACTTACAGCTAATAGTTACAGGCGCTCTGTTTTATGATTTATAATTGCTATTTTGACCAAATAGTGTAAATGGCATAACTAAAAAAGATCCAAATCCATACGAATAAATAGACAGCCTAGTTCAACAAGCCTATATACTTCCTTTTTGAAAGCGTGATAAACAATAAAACCTTGGATATAGGCTTTATGTTGTGATTATGAGCTAATGTGCATGCGTCCTTAACAGACACGCCATTTATGGCCAGTCGACATAACACAAAACTCAGAATATAACTCAGTATTCTGACTAAATACCTCAAAAGTCTGACTTTATAACTTAAAATTCCGACTTAATTCCTCAAAATATGACTTTACAACTTAAAATTCAGACTTTATAACTCACAGCTCTGACTTTATAACTCAGAATAATGACTTTATAACTTTTAATTCTGACTTTAACACTCAGAATATTGACTTAATACCTTAACATTCTGGCTTTATAACTAAAAATTCTGACTTTATAACTCACAATTCTGACTTCATAACTCGGAATTCTGACTTTATAACTCACAACTCTGACTTTATAACTTAGAATTCTTACTTAATAACTCAGAAGTCTGACATTATAACTCGGAATTGCGACTTTATAACTCAGATTTCTTAATAACTCAGAAATATGACTTTATAACTCAAAATTTTAACTTTAAAACTCAAAATTCTGACTTCATAACTCAGAATTATGACTTTATAACTCACAATTTTGACTTTACAACTCAGAATTCTTACTTAACTCAAAATTATGATTTATAACTCAAAATTCTGACTACATAACTCTGACTTTATAACTCACAGTTCTGAGTTCATAACTCGCGGCTCTGACTTTATAACTCACAATTCTGACTTTATAACTCAAGATTTTGACATTATACCTCAAAATTTTAACTTTATAACTAAAAATTCTGACTTCATAACTCAGAATTATGACCGTATAACTCGCAATTTTGACTTTATAACTTGCAATTTTGACTTTATAACTCAGAATTCTTAATTAATAACTCAGAATTATGACTTTATAACTCAGAATACTGACTTTTTAACTAGCAATTCTGACTATTACTCACAATTCTGACTTAATACCTCAAAACTATGACTATAACTCGCAGCTCTGACTTTATTACTTAAAATTCTGACTATAACTCAGAATTATGACTTAATAACTCAAAATTCTAACTTTATCGTTTTTTTATTTTGCTAAATAATTTATTTTATATTAGTGGTGAGAACGGGCTTCCATATTTTGGTGACTGTTTTCTGCAGTAAAACATCAAATAATATTTTTATCTAAAACTGTGGTCTTTTTTCAGCACTTTTATTTCAGTTATATTATTGAATATGTATATTATTGGTTTTACTGATTAATCTGACATTCTTGTTTACTCTTTACCTTTTATTTCCTATATTCTTCAACTTGCACTTTGAATCACTAAGAACAACTGAGGAAGAAAAAAGTCTTTAAAAATAATAACTCTCCCTTTTAAAGTGACTTTTTAATGGTCTTGCAGGTCACAACAATGCCTGAGTATTTAAAGAAACGTTTTGGGGGCAAAAGGATACAGTTATTTCTTTGTGTTTTATATCTATTTATCTACATCTTCACCAAAATATCAGTAAGTATGCAAACTTACATTTAATCATGTATTTACCTGGTCTTGCTGGTTCGGTGATTGAGTATTTCTCTGTCTTCAGGTAGACATGTACGCAGGAGCTGTGTTCATCCAGCAGGCTCTGCAGTGGAATATTTACCTCGCTGTGGTTTTGCTTCTGGGCATTACTGCTCTGTACACTATCGCAGGTCAGACATTTTTTTATTTGTGTCATGACTCATTTGCATTAAATACGATTAGCGTCCACAAACCAGCAACCGCTGCGTCCGTCAACCGTCGCTTTTTAAATTTTCGCGCTCTTTAAAGCAGGGCGGATTCTGATTGGCTGTCAGTTTACATCGGCGCTCGAGTTGTTTCTTTCATTGTAGTTTTATGCAACATAGATTAAAATAATAAAGACGAAATACTTAACAATTTTATGCTTATTTCAAATATAAAGATCCAAAAGCACAAACAATTAAGCATGTAATTAGCCTTATAAACAGTATATTCACAAACACATTTAGATATGTAATACTATTAGAAAACACTATAATTGTTTGTTAATTGTTTCTTGTTAAAATGTCTAAACATTCCTTAATCAACCAACGTTTTCTTAATGAGTAAAAAAATAGTTTTATTTTCAGAAATAATTACTCAAAATTAATATTTTCCCCTTAAAAACAATAATATGCTATGGGTTAAGTAAAATAATCTTATTTTCAGTTTGAATTTAAAAAATCAAAAAAGTTTTTTTTAGTTTTAATTAATTTATTGACCTGCATATTGGTGCATCTTTACGTTTGTTTTATTGAGGATCTGATAACAGACTTTTTCTACTTTAACATACCCTTTCATTTATTTTTGAATTCACAATACTGGTATGAAATAGACATTGGTACATAAGTTCTCAATGTCATATCATTTTTACTGAAGATTATGTGACTTTGGCTGTTAAATATGACACTGGTTCAACACAGTCACAGGTTATTGTAATCAATCTTGTTGTAAACAGACTTCTAATCCTTAAAGAACTGAAATCATATTATCTTTTAAACCTTTTCTTGATTCGCAGGTGGTCTGGCAGCAGTGATCTACACTGATGCGGTTCAGACCATCATCATGGTGATCGGAGCCCTGATCCTCATGGGCTTCAGTGAGTTCTTTTCCAATTCGACTACCATAGGGTCTGCAAGTTTTAGGTCCAACCAGCTCTAGCACACTTGAAGTACTTTCCAAAAGGGTTATATATATATATATATGTATGTATATATATATGTATGTATGTATGTATGTATGTGTATATATATATATATATATAAATATATATATATATATATATATATATATATATATATATATATATATATATATATATATATATATATCCCCTCCTAAGGGCACTTCTAAGTGAAAACAATAGAGGGCGCCATTTTGAAGTGTTTTTCCAAAGCAAAGTGCTCAAAACTGGTCAGTTTAAAGGAAATTTTCAATGGTACAACCGATGGACATTTCAAGCCCATATGATCCTTTGTGTAGGGAAATGTTTAGTGTCGCACACATTGTTTCAATTGGAATGGATACCTATGCCCTAATCCCTTCAGAGATGCACTCCAGAGGGTAAACACTTAGAAGTGATTAGTGTAAAAGGATGAGCCCTTCCAAATGGAGTTAGTAATTCGCTGTTTCAGCTGGGGTTCATATAGGTTAGAGCAAAAATCTGCTGGAAAATGGACCTCCAGTAGGTTTGAGCGCTGCTGTTTAATGTAATAATAATATTAGGCCCCAATTGAGATTTATTTAATTTTTTTATATCACTGTGCAGGTTTTGCAGAAGTTGGGGGATTTGAAGCTGTCCTGGACAAGTATCCTCAAGCTATTCCCTCCATCCGAGTGCCCAACACCACCTGTGGAATCCCTCGTGACGATGCTTTTCATATTTTCCGTCACCCTGTGACCTCTGACCTGCCCTGGCCTGGAGTAATCCTAGGCATGTCCATACCATCCATGTGGTACTGGTGTTCTGACCAGGTGAAGTCTCAATGGTTTTGCTTGTATTTAATTATGGCTTGAACATATTCTTTCTTTCTTTTTTTCTTTCTTTCTTTCTTTTTCCTTCTATCTTTTTATCTATACCTGATGAATCTAAGTCCCATCCACCCATCTACCCACCCACCAATCCATCCATCATCCATCCACCCACCAATGCATCCATCCATCTATCCATCCATCCGTCCGTCCGTCCGTCCGTCCGTTTGTCTGTCTGTCTATCTATCTATCTATCTATCTATCTATCTATCTATCTATCTATCTATCTATCTATCTATCTATCTATCTATCTATCTATCTATCTATCTATCTATCTATCTATCTATCTATCTATCTATCTATCTATCCCTGATGATATTATATATATATATATATATATATATATATATATATATATATATATATCCATCCATCCATTAAGGGGAATCCCTTATTATGGTGGGAACATCCCTTATTTTCATATCCCAATGTTGACAGGTATGGCTCTATTATGTTCTTGCACCTAATAGTCACTTGTAGTGTATGTCAAATTGTAAAACATATATAAATCAAATACACAATATTACATGCAAATATTTTTTTAGTTTCTTTTTGACTGAGTCCCTTTATTAATACGGGTCGCCACAGCGGAATGAACTGCCAACTTATCCAGCACGTTTTTACACAGCGGATGCTCTTCCAGCCACAACCCATCTCTGGAAAACAACCATACACACTCAAAAACACACATTCACGGACAATTTAGCTTACCCAATTCACCTGTACCACATGTCTTTGGACTGTGGGGGAACCTGGAGCACCCGGATGAAACCCACGTGAATGCAGGGAAAACATGCAAACTTCTCATAGAAACCCCAACTGACCCAGCCGAGGCTCGAGCAAGCGACTTTCTTACTGTGAAGCGACAGCACTACCTACTGCGCCACTGTGTCGCCCCTGCAAATATTATAATAATTATATAAAAATGCCTCTTAAGTGAGCTGATTAACCACCATAGCTTCTAAGTATCATTTATTTTGTTGTCATATCTGTGTGTAGGTGATAGTGCAGCGTTCACTAGCAGCTAAGAATATTCTGCATGCTAAAGGGGGATCTCTGCTGGCCGCTTACATCAAAGTTTTGCCCTTCTTCATGATGGTGATCCCAGGCATGATCAGCAGAATACTTTACCCAGGTGCACCACTGAAAATAAGGAAAGAAAAAATAAAAACACCCTGGCCTTTAGTGACTTTCCATATGTAAACATACAATTTGTCATGTTTTGTATGTCAATTGCAGACGAGGTGGGCTGTGGAGACCCGGAGGTGTGTAAAGAAGTTTGTGGGAATTCGGTGGGCTGCTCGGACATCGCTTATGCTAAGCTGGTCATGGAGCTCCTTCCTGCAGGTATCTAATATTTTCCTAAATCAAGAAACATTTTCTAGACAAGTAAGAAATATTGTCTTGTTTTCAGAAATAATGTCAAAAATTAAGTGAGTTTTTTCTGCAAAACAAGTAAAAATAATCTTTCAATATGCTAAGCAAAAAAAAGTGTTTCAAATCGAAAACAAGATTATTTTGCTTACCTCATTTGGCAGATTATTTTGCCTGCTTTAAGGAAAAACTCACCTAATTTTGACATTATTTCTGAAAATAAGACATTATTAACTTGCTTGCTTAGAAAATGTGTATTGATTTAGTAATTTTGAGATAATTGCACTAAACAAGAAAGTAAAATAAGAATGTGTCGCTGTGTTTTTCTTTAGATTTCATAAATGGACGAGTAATTTTCTTCCTGTGTGTTTGTGCAGGTCTGAGGGGTTTAATGATGGCGGTGATGTTGGCTGCGCTCATGTCCTCTTTGACCTCTATATTCAACAGCTCCAGCACTATTTTCACCATGGACCTGTGGAGGAACATCCGTCACACTGCCTCTGAGTGGGAGCTCATGATTGTGGGAAGGTGAGACATTAGCAAGCATTTAAACTAGGAACACTCCATGTTTTTCTTCTGAGAATAAGCTCTATAGAGGTATCAGTTGAGTTTTAACAATTTTGAATCTATTCGGGGATTGGGAGCAATTATATTATGTAGATTCTAACTGGTGGTGCAAGTGTAGGGCTTAGTGCTTGGGACTAATTTCAGATGCTGTGTAACTTTTGTGTCTGCTGCAGCCATGGAACAGCAGCAGAGTTCCTTTATTATTACGCTGGAATGCAAGTTTCTAGTCATATTGACCTAGAAAATAGCAACTTTCATTTTCTGTCAGTCTTAGTACATGATGTAACTACAGAAGAGTCAAGATTTAAATAAGAAATGTATCTTTGGTGTCAGTTTTGAGTGAGATGCTTATGGTCTAATCTGGTTCTAATGATAAAAGCTAAGCTAAAAGTGCTCCCAGTAGACCCAGAGATTGGCTGAATGGGTTCAAAAAAAGTAAAATAATTGTTTAAATATAGGAGACTTGTAAAAATTAGCATATTCTCAAAAATAGAGTGTTCAAATAAACCTACTCCGTGTTGAACAAAATTAGTTGGAAATCAAAGTTAGCTTGATGCCTAAACAGTCTACACATCAAGGGCTGTAAATAAAAATCAGGTTGATGTCAAACCAATGTTGGGTTTGGATGATATCCTGATTTATATTTTAACCAAAACCCAAAACCTAAAGTCAGCCCAATGTTGGAGAGAGACAAAAAGACAGTGTTGGTTACTTCAGCTGCTGTGTAACTGCACCTGCTGCAAGAGGGGTCTGGATGCAGACCTGGTGCAGTGCACTCTGAGTTGCATCCAATGCTTTTTAATGCGCTCACCTAACTCCACCCCTAGCCTTACGCATTACAGTGACGTCACTCACTCCATTGAGTGCATTGTGTCTGACATTGCATCGCTGAGTGAGCTTAGCTTGTATCATAAAGGCTGCATCCAGATACTATTGACTGCTGCAGCTATGGTACGTCAGGAATGTTTCTTGATTATTACACTGGAAGAATAGTTTCCAGTGAGTTTCTAGTCATATTGACCTAGAAAATAGCAACTTTTCCTTTTCTGTCAGTCCTTAGTACATGATGTTACTACAAAAGAGTCAAGATTTAAATAAGAAATTTATCCCTGGTGTCAATTTCGAGTGAGATGGTAATGATCTAATCTAATTCAATGATCTATGCTAAGCTAAGCTAAATATCCTCCTGCCAGAACCAGAGATTGGCTGAATGGGTTCAAAAATAGTAAAACTCAACTGCTTAACTCTAGGGGACTTGTAAAAATGATCATATTCTCAATAATAAAGTAGATTGTTCATATAAAAAGTACTATGGTTGAACAAAATTAGATGGAAATCAAAATTAGCTTGATGCCTAAACAGTTTACACAACATGGGCTGTAAATAAAAATCAGGATGATGTTAAGCTAATGTTAGAATTTGATGATATCCTGATTTATATTTTAACCAAAACCCAAAATTGGCCTACAGTATGTTAGAGGCTGACATAAAGACATTGGTTATTGAACAGCCTCAAACATTGACAGAAAACGATCAACATCATATAGTGTGTCACTGGCGGCCCCTGCTGGTTGTCAGTAAACTGAGCTGCAGTGTGTGTACGTGTTTTTGTGACATATTAGGACACAAATCGGTATAATGACATAGGCATGGCGGCACAGAAAGTAGTGACATATGATTTAGATAGATGGGTGGATGGATCGACTAAGATTCATCAGGGATAGATAGAAAGAAAGAAGGAAAAAAGAAAGAAAGAAAGAAAGAAAGAACATGTTCAAGCCAACATAATTAAATACAAGCAAAACCATTGAGACTTCACCTGGACATAACATTGCTGATGTCCTCATTTCTCAAAAAGCTTATAAGTCAAACAGAATGAGTTTTATTCCAGAAAATAAAACTGTACATAGTTTCCTGCAAGGGTTGGGTTTAGGGGTAGGGTGAGGTTAGGGCAATAGAAAATACAGTTTGTACAATATAAAAACAATGGAAACACTTGTAATGTCCCCACAATTGACAAAAACAAACATGTGTGTCAGGGTGTTTGTACTGGTGTTAGTGGTGGTGTCGGTGCTGTGGATTCCTCTGGTTCAGGCCAGTCAGGGCGGGCAGCTCTTCATCTACATCCAGTCCATCAGTATGTACCTGCAGCCCCCCATAACGGTCATCTTTGTGGCTGGATGCTTCTGGAAACGGACCAATGAGAAGGTACAAAACAAAATGTGCTCAAACATTAGTTACGGTCTTTTATATCAGATGTACAATTCCATGTATAATTTTGACCTCATATACGGTCATAATTGTCACTCTTTTGTTGTCATTATCTGTGTGACGGGTTGACAAAATTTGGGCGGTTTTAAAACAAAACTTTTATATGCAACTTTTAAAACAAAACAGAACTGTGTGTGCTCCTACTCCATTCAGTTACAGTAGTAGTGACCAGTGCATAGCGCAAACCGCGTGGGCTCACCCGCAAGAAGAGATGAAGGAAAATCTGACTCCCCCTCGCGACACATCTTGCAGCACCTGCTGTTAAACCATAGTATGCTTCATCATGACACTTTAATCTATCCTTTTTTTTTTTCAAAATTGACAGCAAGAGCAAACATAGAAGCGTTGTCTTATTGATAAACAGCACCTAATTATGTTCAAAAGAACTTAAAACGCCAAATAGGACGAATTTACCCCATTTAGAAAGTAAAACATACTCTAACTCGTACTCTAAGTGCAGTGTGTTGGTGAGAGGGGGCAGTGTTTCGATGAGACCTGGTTATGTTGTGGTTCTGTGACTGCTGGTGTTATGACAGTTAAAGTAACTAGGTTAATTTCAATTGAAATAAATGAAAATTATTGCATGGGTTTCCTCCTGGTGCTCCGGTTTCACCTCACAAGTTCACAGACATGTGGTACAGGTGATTTGGGTAAGCTAAATTGTCTATAGTGTATTTGTGAATGAGTGTGTATGGATGTTTCCCAGTAATGGGTTGCAGTTGGAAGGGCATCCGCTGCATAAAACATATCTGCTGTGGCGTCCCCAGATTAATAAAAGGACTAAGCCGAAAAGAAAATGAATGATTGAATCAATAAATTAAAATAAAATATTAATCTAATATTAATCTAATCTAATAATATGAATTTATGTTAATGTTTTATGACAATTTGTTTTTGTTTTAATTTACTTTTCTTTTACTTTTAATAATTGACTTTGTGTCTGATAATTTTGAAATTCTATCATTTTTCAAGTTCTTGAAACTTTTGCAATACTGACTTTCAGAGATGGGTGTAATGCGTTCCACAGTTCGTGTGCTACTGTACTAACTTTAATTTTAAATGACATTTTTAGAGAACGCATTACATTGAATTAGAGCATTTCCAGTGTTATGGATGTGAAATTTGCAGTAAAAACTCAAGACATACATTCACAGTGAATCTTTATGTTAACATTATATTGAAACACCTGTTTATAACAACTCACCACAGAGGTGTGGGATCAGAAAATATCAATCTGTAAAAATGTTTATACTTTAAAAGAGAAAAATAAACCTGCGTTATGGATGTCACCAAAATAGTTTTCGAGTTTACAATTTAAAACATACCCTGTAGAAATTCTGTGAATTAAACTGCACAACCCAAAACAAATAATGCTAATCAAGAGGATGAGAGTCGGCTCACTATAGAACACAAATTGTTCATTTATTTTATTTGACATTTTTGCATTTAAGCCTTTAAATGTCACTTCAAGCTGTATAGAAGTGTCTTGAAAAATATCTAGTCAAATATTTATTGGCATCATGGCAAAGATAAAATAAATCAGTTATTAGAAATGAGTTATTAAAACTATTGTGTTTAGAAATGTGTTGAAAAAACAGAAATTGGGGGGAAAAAACAGGTGGGCTAATAATTCGGACTTTAACTGTATATTACATAGACAAGCTGATATTTTGAATGGTGGAAACTGGTAACCATTGACTTTCACAGTATTTATTTTCCCTACTATGGAAGTTAATGGTTTTTGGTTTATAACATTCTTCAAAAAGCTTTCTTTCTAGAACCACTTGAGGCTAAGCAGTTTGTGTTTGGACAAAAATTGGTTGAGTAAATACATAATATGTTGACAACTGTTGACTTGTCATAGTAATTTCATCCACCATTAATGATTTAACAGTTATATATAGATGATGCTCCATTTATAGACCATTTCAATGCGGTCATGTCATTGGCCCATGAACATTTCCTGCTTGTTATCAAACTATTTTATAACTGTAACAAGAGGCAATTCAGTCATAACTTAAATTTATGATAACTGTTTTAACATTATTTATCAAAATGTGGCTCTGTTTGGATTCTTGGAAGCTATAGAAATAAAAAATGTAAAACAGAAAATAAGTTGGGACCATTGCTTTTGTTTACATCCCTCAAAATGGTCTATATAACCACTCTCAGCTGTCTTTTGCCTGTTGTGTTGGTATAGGGGGCATTTTGGGGTCTAATGGTGGGAATGGCAGTTGGTTGTACGCGGATGATACTGGATTTCATCTATCCCACACCGCAGTGCTACGAGAGCGACACCAGGCCTGACATCATCAAATACGTTCACTTCCTCTACTTCTCCATCATTCTTACTATCCTCACGCTTGTCGTGGTGGTGTGTGTCAGTCTGGCCACGGAAAAACCCAAACCAGAACAGGTCAGAAAGACTTACCAAACATTTATTACGTTGAACATAAAAGAAGATGCTTTTAAGAATGTTGGAAACCATTGACGTCCATTGTATTGATTTTCACACTAATGGTTAACATTTTCTGGGATTCTTCAAAATATTTTCTCTGTTTTGCAGATCAGTCGGTTGACATGGTACACGCGCTTTGATGCGGTAATAGAAAGTGAAGAGGTCGTGTCTTCAGAGCTCTATACCATCGACAACGACATAAAAGTCAGAGAAAATGAAGCACTTCCTGCCAAAGAAGGTACTTTGTCCAGTTCAACTATATTTCTGCATTAATTTACTGTTTATAAAAAAAAGTGTGTGTCTGTGTGTGTGAGAGAGAGAGAGAGAGAGAGAAATATAATGGTTGGCCAAGATTTATCCTGATCTTTTCTCAATTTTAAAGGGATAGTTCACCCTTAAAAAAAAAAGTCTTAATTTACTCATCTTTCAGTTTGTTCTTCTGCTTTTTTTTTCTGTTGAACACAAAAACGGACATTTTAAAGAAACCTAAATTTAAGCAACAAGTGCTCAGGGGTAGCTTAAACAATGTATTGGTGCTCTTTGGGAAAAGCCCCAGTCAGATCACACCATTTTTATTGTCATTTATGAAAGTCCCTATGTCAGATTATGTGATTTTTGTCTTGATAAAAACAACTTGTCAAGGGTAACAAGTGTACCAGACTACACGTTCCTTAACGATCAGTCATCTCGTGACGTTTACCATGAGCGTAATTTCCCAAAGCATTCACAAGTGTTGCTATACAATATTTCTTGTCTTAATATCATTTGTTTTTAACCACTGATGCTTGCTGACAACTAATAACTACATTATTTAAGGGCATTCCTTACAACATGGATAGGTTCAAACTTATGATTTCTTTTTAATATTAAGATATTTTCTTTGAAATCTAAATGAATATTTTCCAGCCATGGGTTTCTTATTTAACAGTCCCTCGCCTGAACTTGCTGCAAGTGAGACTGAGCAAATGAAAGCACACAAGCGGCAGCAAGGAAAAATCAAATGCTCAAAGATGTAATCTTTAAAACAATGACATATTGAAAAATATATATCTGAGGTTTGTGATACAACAATCACAGAGAAGCATTCATTAAATCCTTATTTTCTTCAGAGCAAAACAAATTATCCACCTGTATAATTGAGTAATGGACAAGCACAAACAAAATATATAATCTGTATATTTCTCTTGAAATAATTACCTTTTTTAAACAAATTTCGTTTGCTATAATTTTTATCCTAATTTTAATGTATCATTTGTTGATCAGTTATCTACAAGAATAACAAATAACATTTGAGGTGAAGCACTTCAAAACAAGTCGGCTATATGCTTCAGCGCCAAAACACGAATTGCCCTGAGATTGTGGTGGTTTGTTAAATAAAATAAAAATCTAGCATAGATCAAACTAAATAATAAATATTCAGTTTCAGAGAAGCCGATATTAAACTGTTTTCACTATTAATGGCCAATCTGAATAAGCAGGAAATGCTTTTATAATGTATTCGCAGCACTAAACATGTTCCAGATAATCTCGGAAGAACAAACCCTGTTGGAAGGCTGAGAGAACTCAGAAACTCATTGTGAGAATGAAGATGTCTGCATATTTGTGCCAGTCTGTCAGATAAAATTGCTTAAAACAATATTTTTAAAAAGGTAGTTTAAAGTTTGCAAAACCAATGATTGATCTTATCAACCCGTGACCCACCCATAATTAAATATGCAGCCTATTTTTTGATTACCTGACTTGCGCATTAACGGCAGCACCCACTGAAATATCTCAGAAATGATGTGCTCCTGTTGCACTGGGTCCACCCACATGACAAAACTCTTTGTGAAGAACGAGAAAAAAATTAAACATGCTAGACCGAGGTGTCCAAAGTCAGTCCTGGAGGGCCGGTGTCCTGCTGACTTTAGCTCCAACTTTCTTTAACACATCTTCCTAGAAGTTTCCAGTATACCTAGTAAGAGCCTGATTAGCTTGTTCAGGTGTGTTTGATTAAGGTTGGAGCTAAACTGTCCAGGACACCGGCCCTCCAGGACCGAGTGTGGACACCCCTGCAATAGACTTTCTGCGATGAGGTCGTGAAGCGTCGCAGATAAGGTATTGGTTTTTGTAAACTATGCCACATTACACAAGAAGAAACTATTGAATCTTTTGTCACGATGCACATTCCCAACGACTCCCTACGTCAAGGAAATCATGCCGACATAGTGACAAATTCGTGTGATCTGACGGGGGCTTAAGGGATTCATCAGGATAAACCACAAAAGTCAGTCCAAGGCTGATTTTTTCCACATTCGAGTGCCTTGGACTGATTTTTGCTGTATTTATTTTGAATAATGTTGGAAACCGGTAACCATTGACATCCATAGTAGGGAAAAACAAATATCATGGAAGTCAATAGTTACCAGTTTCAATCATTCTTTAAAATATCTACTTTCTGGAATCACTTGAGGGTACGTAAATGGTGAATACATAAATATTTGGGTGAACCATTCCTTTAAGCCTATTTTACGTTAAAAATAATTAAGTTATCCAGCATAGGGAGACAAAGCTTGATATGTCAGTGATTTTAAATAATGGGAAATAAAGTAAAAAATGTGGGACTTTCAAAGTTTGTTAAACTTAATTTACACCGAGCCATATAACAGTAGAAGAGACACTTTTTCTAATATGTTCAGATTTTCATCATCCTCGTTATTATGACAATCAATTCTGTAGCAATTTCAGTTAACTTCAACAGAATCAATACAATTTCAACGTATTCTCTTACAATGTTTAACATGATAAAAACTTTCTACCTCAATTTGCATAATACCAAAAACACAATATGCACATTGTCCCTCAAGAACATTCATACTCGGAGTTGTCAGACCTACAATAGCTGATTGTCAGTGAGTTTGCATGTAATCCTGAGTGCGTTTTTGTTCACCAGATTCCAGCGGTTCGGTGTCCAGCAATGCAGGCTCGTCTAAACTGAAGTCTGCTCTCTTCTGGCTGTGTGGAATGGAGAAGCAGACAGAAAAGTCCTCTTCATCTCCTGCTCCTCCAGACGCTGCCATGTGTTCCCTGGAGGAAGAGCCCTGTATGAAACACGTGGTCAATGCAAACCTCATCATCTGTGTGTCAGTGGCCGTCTTTCTCATCGCCTACTGGGCATAGAGACACTCCTCCTTCATAATTTATTTGTACTGCAAAAGTCAGCTTTATGGAGTTTGATGATTACTAAATTCTGCGTAAACTGGTAAAGTCTAGATCAGTGGTTCTCAAACGTTTTTCATCAAGTACCACCTCGGAAAATAATTGTCTCTCCAAGTACCCCCATAATGATGAGAAAGAATAATTCCTAATATTAAAAATATTTATTATTGTCAGCCACCTTAAACATAATAAATAGTCTGAACATTAACACTGTACTGTGCTATTTTATTAAAAAATAAAATAAAAAGTCAACATAATGTGCTTTTAAAAGTTAATTAAAAATGGCTACTGTTCTTAAAGTAAAAAGAAAGTTGCTCAAGTCTTTGTTCTGTGTCCTGCAACATTTGAATCACATCTAGATGAATTAGCCTAAATCTGAGGTAACACATTAATTAAAAGCCACGCTGCTTTACAAAAACTTTATATATTGAAAACACGCATTGTTTTACACAACTACAAACACAAATTTAACACATTTGTGATAATTATTTAGATGGGAAATTATTTACCAAGTTTGCAGTAACTGAAATGCCAACACAACAGCACTGGTCTGCAAAAAGTGCTTCTCTAGCATATATCTGCTTCACAAGCGTCGCAGCCTCGCACCTCTTTCTTTGGCTGGCCGAAGCGGGTTTATTTATTAGCATCTGATGACGTGATGAACTAAATTAAGCATTCCTATGCACACCGATGTAATCGTACGCTTCAGGGTACAGCCGGTGCTGATCACATCAGTGTAATTGTTTGAGTCAAGGGATTTAAAGTGTGTTAATTTGTTCCTTACATTATCCAGTATCCCTTTGCGTACCACTAAAATGAAGCCAGCATATCACTATTATATTGACATGCATATCGCACTTCCGGCTGGCTGCGTATTTGATTTAGACCAGTGGTTCTCAAACTGTGGTACAGGTGCACATTTGCATATATGTCAGTTTGAGAACCACTGGTCTAGATCAAATACGCAGCCAGCCGGAAGTGCGATACGCATGTCAATATAGCATTTTTTATGACACTGTATAACAATCATTCATGTTTTCACAGTACTGTGACGGTAGGGGTAGGCGTTAAAAAGTTAGTTGGATAATTTATTAGCATAACTAATACTAGGCTGGTCAAGCTTGTTTTAGCTAGTCATTTCCCAGCCTAACCAGCTAAGACCAGGCTAGAAATAGCTGGAAACCAGCCTGGAAGTGGCCAAAACCCTTCTAAAACCAGCCTGGTCAACCAGCTAAAACCAGCCAACCAGCCTCTGCTGGTTTAAGCATTTTTTCAGTAGGATGGGGAGACTTTTATAAAATACAATTAATGGAAAATGTAATAAATGATATAAACTATTCTTGTTAACTTCCAGCCGCAACCATATCCGATCTAGCAACAACTGTGTGACCTGAAGGCTGCAACTGGGTTGTTGCTAGATCGGATATGGTTGCGGCTGGAAATTCACAATAATTATTTATTTATTAAATTTCTCGTTAATTGTATTTTATTAACATCTACCCACACCCCAACCCTAAACCCAACCATCACAGTAATGTAAATCAGTAGTTGTACCGAGTATTATTTATACTATCTAATAAATTATTCAATAAATTGTATTCTCTAACAACCCCACACCAACCCTTAACTCAACCATCACATTACTGTAAAAATCCGAATTATTGTTATACAGTGTCATTTAAAAAAAAAAAAAAATTGCAGCTATATTGTGCATATCGCACTTCCGGCCGGCTGCGACTGTTTTTTGTTTTCGTATTGTGATGCAGTTCCTAGAGAAACGAAATATTAAATGAAGAAAGTGGGCTCGGCTTGTTTTTTTTTTTTTCAACTGCGAGCTGTTTGGATGTAGTAAAGTAGGCATGTCATTCGGATCAGGAAAATGATTCGTGAGAGTTATTATAAACTAACAGACATCGCCTCCTAGCCATTTCTGTTTGTTGTCAAAACTGACAGTTGGAGGGGCGTGGTTAAGTATGTGTACGTCCACTGGAAGTTGCAGTCTTTTAATTCAGTATGTTGATTTACTTCCAACTGAAACAGAGTATTAATCAGGGGCCGGGCCTTTCTTTCTGCACATCCTTAAGGCCCAATCCCAGTTCTACCCCTTTGCCCTTCCCCTTCCCCCTCATTTTGCACGTTCACGTGAAGGAGTAGGGGTGTCCCAATTATTAATTTGATCTATTTTAATAACTTGTTTTCAAGTTACATTATTATTTCATGAGCTACAAGTTGAAATAAAATTGATATGCTAAATGTATTTTAGCTATTAAAAGGCCTACAATATATTTTCTGGTGTTTATTTTTGCAAAGAAAATAGCAGTAAATTACATATTTTTTTTAAAGATTATCATTCAGCCTACCTGCATCATATGAAAGAGGTTGATCCACGGCAAATCCACATCATGCACTATATAACTATTTCATTTATAATTGTAAACTTGACTTCACGTGTACAACTATAGTGGTACGCAGGCTTCCTTCTAGTGGTACGTGGAGGAATAGCTGAATAGTTAAAATAAAATAAAAAATTAACACAGCTTTAACCCTTTAACACCGATGGGATCAGTAAACTGATTTTAATAGGCTAAATCTTTTTTTTTCTTCTAATGTTTGCTATGTATTTTATCATTTAAAGCTAATTTCCTCCCCGTATTTGTAACAGTTGTTGGGGGGTATCCTGTATTTTTATATCCCAGTGTTGACAGGTATAGTTTAATCACTAACTTTTCTGACACACATAGACTACTCTAACATGCAGTAAGCAGATCTAACTTCTAATTTAAATATGTAAATCCAATTCATATATTTAAAATACAAGTCAATGTTTAGGTTTAAAGATACACAAATAAGTCATATGCATGCAACATATATTTCTACATTTATCAAAAAGAGTTTATATGAATATGACGACATAGAGCCTATATTTATGAGGTTCAAGGAACATTTGCAGGTTTTAATGAAAAGGCTACTTTATGATAATACTTCACATTTATGTACAGCAGTTTTCTTTTGACTTTTTAAGAACAGTGCCATTTAAATTAACCTTTAAAAGCACATTTCAAATTAAACGTTGACGTTTTAATTATTTTTACCTGTAAACACAGTGTTAATGTTCAAACTATTTATAATGTTTAAAGTGGCTGACAATAATAAATATTTATAATAACAAGAAATAATCTGCCTTGTTTTTGAACTGTGCAGAGCTGTAGCTGCTTAAATATGCCTAATACGCTACTGTATTTCAATACAGGTCATTATGGTGGTACTTGGAGACAATTTTTTCTGAGGTGGTACTTGGTGAATAAAGTTTGAGAACCACTGACCTAAGATGCTGTCTTTTCTCAACTGTAAGTGTGCTTGGTCGATTTCAAAATGAAAGCAAACATTCAAAAATCTTTTGTCAATTTTATAGTTGTTAATAATGAATAATAAATTATAATATTATTTATAGTGTAGACTACTGTGGGACTGTACAGTGTCTAACTACACATTTTTATTAGGCTAATCTAATATTAATCCCTAAAAACTAATGTAAAAATATCTGGCAGCTGTGTGCATCTCTGTTAAAATTAATTTAACGGTAATTTTGTTTCACGATTTTTCCTTTAGAGGTCAAGACAGTT